CATTGTTCGCTTACCTCCACTACTCTGTTATTAGTAGTACCATAACAAATTTAGCCCCAATCATATCCAACATTGTGTACTGCTTTTCTCCATTTTGGAAACCCCTACTTATAGATTTAGTAACCTAGGACTCTTTCATTTGGGAAGGAATGGCTGAGCTGTTTTGGATTCCGGGGCTTGGGGAATAGCCTACAACTGACCTTCTGTAATTAGCATCACAAAGTGCATCAACTTGTAAGCCATGTATAGAAAGGGGAACGGAATTCGGTAGAGGATAGTGAACGCTTAGTTCAACATTCTGTAACCGTTGCGCCAATGACTCGTGCTGCAATTGCATCTGTGTATGCCTGAGTCGATCGTCTTCAATTAGTAGGATAAGAGGTTCTTGAATATTGCACAGCTGACCTCACAAAATGGGAAGGATCATTCCTCGGTGTTCTTGTACCCACCATACATAAGCGCGATGTCAGTTACCGATTGGTAACCTTACTGCAATACACGGATCTTAGCCTTATTCGCGACTCGATCCTAGATAGGGTTTGAGTTCGACTCATGACTGAGTCTCTCGTGAATAGTCATTTGAGACAGGGTTCTCAATGACCGCTCTAGTCATACTAGGTTGATGATGAAACATCGCTCTAGATATTTAGCCAGCGTGGAGTACTTCCACGCTACTAGATCCATGCTAGACGAATCTTCCACGCGTTCCGTTTTAGGATCGTGGAGATACGTAGGATTACTACCGCAACCTACTCTATCACACTTTATAGTCTCCCGCGGGAGACCAGATCTACGATCCTTTGATGGTGATCTCTCTCGTTGATTAGTTTTCATAGCTTTCTAATCTCTCATAACTTTCATTCTCTCAAACACAAAACACTCGAAAGATCTTTACACTAGCTTTTAGCGTAGTGCATTTTGTTAACAAACACAATAGCTTTCAGCTACCCTCAACCTATTCCTTCACCATGAAGATTGCTCAAGGAAAGCATGCGTTCAGCAACTTCGAGAAACAGTTGCGTGACAAACCCATTCTTCCTCTCGTCGACAATGACGAAGACACCGAGATCGACGATACTCGTGCAACCACTTGCAAACTTCGCAACCATGTTGCCAAGCGCAAATCAGAAGACTCTGACAATGAGGACAACTCCTCTATCAATTTCAATCACTTGGATGGAGAAATCTCTATCTGAGGATTAGGCCAGGATGATGACTCAACGGAACCATGTTCCGATTTCTCATACCAAAGTGATGAAGATATCTCACTAACTAGTAAACAAGAATTGTTTGCAACTGATGAACACTACGGCAAATTAGATGATTGCCTAGAAGCTGCTCAACTAGACTCTGATGATCTATTTAGCATCGTTAACCTCGTCCGTGGCCAACCACCTCGTAAACGTCGCAAGACAAGAGACCTCAAACCCATCGTCTATGTTAGATTTAACAAGCGAGAAAAAGGGAAACCAAAACCCGTTACACTCCGTTGCTTACTGGATACAGGAGCATCCGGAACCTTGATTGCTCAACCTCATGCTAAGAAATTACGCATGAAGGATCTTGGGGGCGTCCAAACAATGTGGACTACCCCTGCAGGAGAATTAAACACCAGCACGAAGTGCAAGGGTGCCTTTATGATTCCTGAATTCCACGAAGATAGAATTATCGAGTGGGATTTACACGTCACCAAGAGCTTGGGGGCGTATGACATGATCATAGGTTGAGACATTCTCTCCAATCTAGGATTTAAGTTCGATTTCACTACCATGTCAGTGGAATGGGATGGCATATCTATTCCTACACTGGGAATGAAAAACTCTGCAGAAACGCCCTTTTTGGGTCCGCAGAAACACTTTTTTCCTGAAGCAGGCTGGCGTGCACTCTGCAGAAGCCCTTGAACTCTGCAGTTCCGAAAGCCGGCATGGCTTTTTCTGTCGGGAGGTTTTTTTCTGCCAGGAGGGTGTTTTTCTCTGGCAGATGACTTTTTTTCTGCCAAAAGCACCTGAAAACTGCACAGAATGGCTCGCAGAGTCGATTCATTGTTTGGCAGAAGGATTTTCTGGAGCAATTATCGTTTGCAGCTTGACAATTATTTAGAGATGGATACCAGGCAGGCGTGACGAAACCAGCGGCAAATAAATAGCAGGTCTTTTTTTGAAATCTCAACGCTGCCATGACATCATTGACATTTAATGCCACGGCACACTTTGGACCTAAGCCCTAACGTCTCTCCTGCAAAACGAGAACCCCCATTAACTGTCTCATTAACCCAGACTCTAAAACGAGACCCCTATTATGATGCCGAGGAATACATTAACCCACACTCTAAATCAAATCGAATTCGAACTTATTCGATTAAGATCGACTCAGTCCCACCAACACCAGCATATTTCAAAAGCATGAGTCACAGTGATGACGTGGACCCTGTTGACTTCGAAGAACATCCTGTCAGGTTCAACTCCCACAAGGAACTGGGAATGAAAGAACTGCCCAAGAGAGTCGTGCTTTCATTCACACATCTATAAAACCGTTGCAAAAAAAGAGCAGTTTAGGGGGGTTGGGGGATAAAATAGAGGATTCTATTGGAATTTTACTACTATTTGTGGAAAGAATCGTAGGTTGGGTAATATTTAAGGGTCAATAGTGGGGTAAATACCTAGTTTTCTAAGGCTTTTTGAGTAGAATGGAGATGGAGCGGGGGGATGGGAAAAAACAGAGTTACAGGATCCAAAGGGGCTACAGGATCCAAATCATCTTCACAAATAAAAGAAGGTTTGAAGGGGTGGGGGGCTGTAGTATCAATGACCTGGAAGAGCTCGAACGTGCTTTCGAATCCAAGGACGGCCACTTTTTTCGAAATGTCGCTTGCCTCCCGCTTCAAGGTCGGCCACAGTTTGTGTGTCATCAAAAAGGTCAGTCAACTGGGAACACGCAAAGTTCCAAATCTCTTTATTAGCTGGCTGCATCACCCTCCTTGAAATGGTCTCTTTTCCAATCTAGGAGAGATTTAATTACATCAATGCTCCCCTCCCTGATCATACTTGCAACATCTCCTACCACGCAATCTTTGGCTTTCTTGTTGGGACGCTTGCTGACCTCACTGAGTTTCTTGAATGTAATCCAAGGGAGTTTGAAGGTGAGGTCCTCTGTAGTGCTGGCGTGCTGTGTAAGCTCACTGAGGGATTTAATGCCATCGTGATCATTCTCGTGTCTGTAGTACCCAAAGCTAACAAACTGCTCTTTCAAACCGAACTCGTCTTCAATCTCTACATCTGAGCCAACCGACAATTCCTCCTCCATCGACTCCTGCTGCGCCCTGGAATGAACCTGTAGCAAAGAAAATAAGTGAGGGACGAGAGTAGACTCCTGCTTTTTTCTCTGCTGTCTGTGTCATTACCTCCACCTGGGTTTCTTCGTTTTTCTGAGAAGGTGAAAGCATAGCATAACACAATAAAAGATGTCTTAGCTACAACTCATCTTATCATGCTGGAACAGTATCCATTTTTTACTTACCCTTGATTTCTTGGTAGCTACTACTTTTTTGCTCGGGTTACCTGTAAAACGGCAGAGGAGAATGGTGCATACCATTTTCAAAGAGATGGGTGGTTCTTATGTTAGACGTGCCTTTCGAATGGAAGAAGAGGATTTCTGGGAATTGCACAACTTACCCAAGAGATATCTTGGCGGCAAAGTGCATTCGAAAAAGAAGAAGCAACGCAATGGAGCTGTAAATGGTCTCATCTCCAGTGCCATTTGCCTTAGTGTAGCTCTTAGATACTTTGCAGGCGGATCAGCATATGACATTGCAGTGATGCATGGCATAAGTCATTCTTCAGTCTATGACAGCATCTGGATGGTGGTGGACACAATCAATAAATGCAAGAACCGACTTCTTTCTATTGACTTCCCCAAAGAGCACTCGAAGCAATGGGAAATAGCCAATGGCTTCAAAAGAACAGTCAGATAGGCATAGGATGCTGTGTTGGCGTAATCGATGGAATGCTTCTTTGGACGGAAAAGCCTCACCAGTTAGACTGTGATATTGCAAACGTCCAACCTAAATGTTTCCACTGTGGAAGGAAGCACAAGTTTGGGCTCAACTTACAAGGAGTATGCGACCATGTTGGACGTTTCCTTTCAGTGTCCATTGACCACCCAGCGGCAACCTCTGACTATCTTTCCTTTTCAACAAGCGCTCTGCACCATCAGCTTGAGAGGGGATTGCTTCACAAGGACCTGTGTATGTTTAGAGATAACGCTTATGCGAATACATCATACATGGCAACACCATACAAAGCAGTCCGCTCTGGTCCAAAGGATGCTTACAACTTCTATCATTCCCACGTTCGCATCAAGATAGAGTGTTGCTTCGGCATGTTGGTCAACAGATGGGGTATCCTCAGGCAAGCGTTGTCGGCAACGATGGGATTGAAAAAAGTAAATGCTTTGACAATTGCACTGTGTCGGCTTCACAACTTCTGCATCCACAAGCGCTTCAGATGGAAGGAAACGTAGAGGTGGATTCGATACCGGAATCCCTTGCACAAAACACTTTCGAAATAGAATCAAGGGGAGCCATTCGTTTGGAGAGATCGGCTGCAAAATAATCAGTCACCGGAACAGCTTCTTCATGGTGGAGAACACTTCGATGATGTAGACAGGAATTATAGGCGACAGGAAGAAAAACTCTTTCAGAGACAAGACATTCTTCCATGGGAGAAACTCCTCAAGATAGTGGAAGACAATGATTATAAGCGGCCAAAACCAGTTGCTTGGGAGATAGACGAATAGATAATAGAAAGCGTCCAACTAGTCGCTCTTCTTCTTGGACTTGGGCTTCGCCTCATCAGACTTCTGTCGCTTCTTGAGATCATTCAAGAGCTCTTGTTGCTCCTCGATTGTCTCTTGCCAAATAGCTTTCTCTTCTTCTGACGTAGCTCTCATGAATCTTGCTGATTCGCGAGTTGGTTAGATCCTTTGCTGTCTGAGCCAAGTTGTCAACCACTGACTGGAAGACAATTTGCAAGCTTTCGTCTTAGGTTTGTCAAGTCATCATCCTCTTCTTCGGTGTTCTTGCCTCTCTTTCGCTTTCTCTTGGACGTATCGGTATCCACCTTGTCACCACTTGCCGCCACTTTAGTATCGAGTCTAGTGACCACTTGACCCAGTACGTCCATCTTGTCAGACAAATGCCAAAGGTACAAGTGATACGACCAAACTCTGAGCGATTGTCACCAGCTAGGAGACGTTCTTCTGGTTATACAACATGACCATAAGACCTTGCCGCGTTCTCTCCATTATCCCCCCCCTTCCTTCCTCAGGCGGATATTTGCTGTCATCTACTTGGCCGTACCCATTGCCGCTTCTTTCTCAGGAATTAATAATTTTGCTCAGCTTCAACTTACAGTTGTTCCACTTTTTCCGCTGTCACTGGAGAAGGAACATCTGTCAAATAAATTTCGTGAACAATCGAGAAGTCTTCTTGAAGGTCAGGCAATACCTCTGTTTCAGTGATCCAGCTATCATCGTTGTTGTACTTGGCAGCAAGAGCTTCCCAAAAATTAGGAGGTCGTTGGTCACTGTTTCTTGCATCAAACTCTTCATGATCCAAGCATTGCCCTTCCTGGTTCATTGCCTTTCGTACATTATCTTCAAATGCTGCGACAATCATTCGAAGGAAGGGCTCTCGCGTGCGAAACTGTATACTGGTTGTCTTTGCTTCAGCATCCTTCTGAGCGTTGGCCTCGGCAAAGTTGTTGATGGTTGCTTGACAGAGAGCAGCTTCAATGCGTCGCAGGAATTGAACATCATCATCAAGCTCAATAATGGGATTGTCCTTCAACCAAGTCTTCAACTGACCAGTCTTCCAGTTGGATGGGCGAACCTGCCTCTTGAGCCCAAGTTGTTTAGCACGGCGCAGCACTTCTTTCACCATGACTGAGTTCTGAACCTTGAAGCGGATTTTGTTCTTCTTATCCATGTAGGGCTCCAAAGTCAAATCCCCCAGCTGGCGCTCACCATCTTCACATGTCAAACCAAAAGGCACAGACACATGAGCGAAGCCTTGTCATTTCCAGACTGTGTGTAAACGTCGTGAGCAGACTGAATGGTGGTATCGGTTGAGGAAGATTCCTCACTGCCATTGACAGCGGCAGGAGTTGAAGCGGCAGCCCCTGTAAGTGGAGGTAGCCCTTCTGGGATATTGCCCAACAGATGAAGCCCTTTGGTGCTCTTCATCGCTACCAGAAGGAGAAGAGGAGGCCATGGTGATCAGGCTACAGCAACAACCAACCAACAGAAGAAAAAGAATAAAGGAAAGCCATTGTGGCTGCTGCTTTGCTCCTTGGCTTGATGGAAACTCGCTCACACAGAAGCGACATATGCAACGGGAGCTCAAAAGCTACATTATGGACTGTGTAGAGCATTGGGGCTTCAGCCCGGATGCTGTCTGCCGTATCATGTTATACTGTTTTTCAGGTGGTCACTGTAGCAGAAATTGCTAGCACGGACAAGTAAAGCTGTCCAAAATAAGTAAGAACTGGCGGGGCAACCCAAGTGCTCTGGGACATGTACGCTATGGCACAAAACACTCTCTCTGTTGAACATTTGGGCCCAAGGGCCTCAGGATGCTCTGATACTGAGCACTGTGACCATTTTGCCAGCGATGGAGCTGCTGACATTGAGAGGCTGACGACGCTTCGGGAGCTGTTCCAGTGGGCCTCAGGATGCTCTGATGCTGAGCACTGTGACCATTTTGCCAGCGATGGAGCTGCTGACATAGAGAGGCTGACGACGCTTCGGGAGCTGTTCCAGTCTTTGGGGTGATTCCCAGTTCGGGGCAGAGGTGTTTGAGGTCTTGGCATTCTAAGACTGGGTTGCACATTTCATTCTGCCAAGGTAATCATCTGGTGGACAACAAGTCTATCAATGGCAGTGTGCCAAGTAAGTGAGCCAAAAGTGTTTGTTTGGACAAAATGCCAATAGGGTGGTACCCAAACGACACTCTGAAATCAGACTGAGATGTGCTGCAACCGATTCAACTGTTTGCTCTTAACATTATTCTGACAATGGAGAAACATCAAGTGCTACCAGAAGAAAGACGGGGCCACTGAAACTTTGCCTATGACAAATTGTTATTAAGGTTGTTCCCCTCATATTGCTTGACGGAGCCATAGAGGACCATTATACGCAGACAGGCGAAGGCGCCCACTTGGGAGGGGCCTCTCAGGCCCAACTTAATCAACTTTAGAGCAGACAAGCTGGGGAAGGGGTCTATCATACAGTGGTGACCAGGTGCCCAGGTTACCTCTGAACCAAGAAAGGATGCCTGTGCGACCGGTGCTGCAGAATATGGTCCATACAGCTCTCAATGCAATGATGTACGAATCCAGATCTGATTGATTGGACAGCCGATAGCAGAGGGCAGTCAACAGACACGAGACCAGAAAAACAAATCTGGAGAAGCTATTCACGAAATAGTAATGTCTGAGAAAAACGGCTTCACAATTACGATGCTATGTATCACAGGTGCAACACGATCGATGAGATCAAACTATGTGTTTTAGAGACCATTTGATGCTGAAGTCTGCCAAGCCATGGAGCTAAAGGCGCAAGTGAAACAAGCTTAATTGAAATTTACCTGAAAACAACTGAAAATCATATCTTGAAACTTTTACTTGCACGACGGAACAGAATTATGGGATGATACGAGGAACCTCCATGAACACAAAATCGAAAAGGTATAGAAACTTAATAGGGACAACAACAAGAAATGAAAAATTTCCCTGTGTTGAGCTTTGAATATTTGTAAGCACATCATCAAAGCTAGGCGCAAATATGAAAGTTTAGAGTGATATGCGATTTACGACCGACCTTTCCGCGGTTTATTCTCTTTAGAGCTGGATATCGATTGTTGTAGCTGAATCGAAAGAGCACATGTTGTTGAGTAAGCCACACATTTCTCAACTTCATGTGACACATATTGAAGGAGTTATCGGCAGTTGAAGATATGGGCCTTGTGACAGCCAATTCTTTTTGCGGAATATTAAGGGTGCCTGGTACTTAACTACGTAGGATCCTACATACGAGAGTCCTGTAAGATTCTACGGAACACGTAGGAAGCACCTCTATTGCTCTGGTACTGAAGCTACGTAGGGTTCTACGTACGCACCTCTATCAATTACCATGGTCTTAATTAGTAGCAGGTCTTATAGTGCATATCACTCTAGTGCCTGTTTAGTTGCGGTAACCTGAAACCTTAAATCAAACTTGTTATATGAACTCCTGCAACGAAATATACGGAGCCTGCCGACAGAAACCACAATTTCAAAAGTACCACAAGCACTGATGATTCCCATGGGGGATAAAAAGTCAAACAACCAAAAAGCCTGTGTTTTACCGATTCGACTTACTTAGGTCAGTCAGTTTTTGCTCAAATCGTATGAGCTTTATATTGCCTTCTATTTGCTGATCTTTAAGCCCCCCAATATGGATAAGCGGTTTTGCTCATAGCCACGTCAAGCTGTCAATTGCATGAACAAAGATGTGTCCGGCAGCATTTGTGCTTGATTTCCCGTGTTATTGGGCGTCGCGCGCCGGTTGATAGGATGAATCGTTAAAACAGCGAGCATTTCCAAAATGCGAAGACAAATACGGCCTATTTTGCTGCCATCAAGGCGAGGAGTCAGCGCAGTCATATCTTAACATGCGTATTGCCTGCTGTTAGATGCCTGAATGGTTTGGGATGTGTATTCTGGTCTTGATCAGCCGGAAGACGCCTTTGCGATTCCTGCTTATACAACAGATTGACCTTGCCCGTCAGCTTCATGGCCGTGGTGAAGATGTAATCGCAGTAGGCTCCCTCTCCGATGATTTATCCCATTCACATGACTCTTTAGACCCCTTTTCACACTGGTTGCAAGCACAACAGAAAGAGTTTTGGCTGCAAACTGAAAAGTTTGAAATAATGTTAAAAGTTACATCACTATCAGAAACTACTCAGTAATCAAAGAAAGTAGGTGAAGATAACTTGTATGGAGGGATGAGTCACCATGATGCAGGGTGCTTGAGAGAATTCAATGATGTGTTGCTTGTGACTTGAACTCGAGAGCACGTTCGGAAGATCGTAAAATCAACTCTGGTTCTCCTTTTTTGCAGATTTTACCGTGCCATCCTCTTCAACAAACCCCAACTCGTCCATCAGTACATCAGTACGGCAGTGGCCGCCTTGACATAGAACTTTCGTCATTGTTGACTTCATGGTGCCCGTTGGTTTTTTGTCAGGCAATTGTAGAAAACTCAAGAAATCGATAAGTGGAACATTGTTGAGACTCCCATTGAAGGAAAACTGACACTCTATCTATCAATCATATGATATCCTATGATCAAATGACTAGAAAATACTCATCAAATTTTCGTAGCAGGCAAAACTTTGGTTATCATAATGGATTAACCCACCAAAAAATATTTGCAGTGCTACGCCCACTCTACATCCTTGCTTCAATCCTAATATCATTTAAAAGTAACATTGGCTATTTGAAGCTTGATGCAATTGTTTCCAAGTAATGCAGCAAAAACTCTTCTGCTAAGAAATATCTAGTTTTTGGTTCCGAAAATGAAGAAATAAGTTTAAGATGATGAATTATTGACTAATATGTTGACTGGTGATGAATGGTGATGAAAATGGTGATGATTTCAATTCAAAGTCTTTTCGGGATCTTCCTGGGGTAGCAAATTATTTAAGAGCGGTGAATTGTACTTTTGATCCAGTGTCATGGGCGAGTTTTTGGTGAAAGAAGCTGTTGATTGAATACCAAAGTCGCTTTGGAGACGTCAAAAAATGATTTTAAGAAACTGTGAGAATCAATCAAATTTGGCACGTTCAGAAATGTTTTGTGCTTATCTCAGGGAAGTGTATTCTTTTAGATTTATATGTTTCGACACTCTATTTCTATCCCGTGTTTGCTATGATTGTATATCTTTGACGAGGCAAAGGCGCAATTACTCTCACTTCGGTCAATCCTTCCGGAGCATCGCTGTCGGGGAAATGGAGGAGCCTGATGTGGTAAACACACCTGGTTGGATCATTGCGGCTCCACTGCTTCCTGCTGTTGACTGCCCATTGTTCGTGGTTCATCGTAGGCAAAGCAATGAGGCCCCTGACCTGGGCACCGTTTCCAATGGGGCGGTTGTTGTCATCTCAAAGGAACTGGTGACCATGGAATGAAATATAGAACTGACCAGGGACGCCAGGGGCTTTGTTGATAGCACCCCTAACATTGTGTTCCAGCTGTGTTGGTCCAACGGGCCAACGGAGGGAGATATCAGCTCGGCCAGGTGGCCATCAATGTCTCGCAAAGGCATGTAGTAGACTTCCATTGTAAGCACAAATGGAGGACGTAGGATGTAGGCAGTTTCTGTGGCAAACTAGAACGATTGCTAAAGGACGTCGGGTGAACCGGTGGTAGGGGCTGTCGAAGAAACTTGCTGAACTATCCTGACAGTGTGGCTCAATTCCCAGCTATGTTTTCAGCAGTGAGAACTGCTCAGTTTGCAGACCAAAATGTACTTGACCTAGCCAATGAATATACCGACTCATTGAATGGTACCGGTAATGACAATTTCAAATTGACCCTAGCCAATATTTCTTTTTGTTATCTGCTTGAGATGAGTGTTAAAAACTATATAGCTGCTACTGGAAAATGAGCATTAACACAAAGTAGTGTTCATATACCCCGGTTTTGGCGAGCTTAATGTAAACATTTAACGAAATGACCAATTTACTTAAGCGACATGACTGAAAGAATGGGTATTCACGACTGAACTGGTGCAGGTTTCAAAACGCTGTGTTGACAGTTGGGGAGTGCTTGTAAGAGGAAATGGTAAAATCAACAAACAAATGATACAGCCACATAAAGAACAACAAGGGGCATGAGGCCGTACCATTTGTTTTTGTATTTTACCATCTTCTGCTGGATCTATTCCACTCCCCAACTACATTATTACCAGAGTTTTTCAATGAGTCGGTAGCTAACTATGACTACAAGACTTTCAGAGCTGTGGATTTGGTGTGTCGCAATCAAGGTGATATACAAGTGGAAGATTGTTCTCCCAAGGCAATGTGGGATGATGTGATTGAATGGTACCATGTCTCACTGTGTCACCATGGTATGACTCGCAGACAATTGTTAGATGTTGTTTACTCTGCTTTCAGAGCTCGTCACATAGAGGAGTATGTCAGAACGAGAAGCAAGAACCTTGGTGTTGGATATGGCGACTGACTTGTCTCCAAAGAATGATGTGTCCAATCCATTTGAGGAGGTTGCAGTTGATTAATTACATTAGCCTTTGGAAGGTTACTGTTCAAGGTTTTGGTGAAGTAGAGTTCAGTGCTATCACTACTATCACTGGATACAGCCACTACCTTTCCTGAGCTAGGGAGGAGGATTGACAACAGGACTGCAGCCCATGCTGCTATCCAGTTTGAAAATCTGTAGCTATCTCACTATCCCAAGCATGATAGGTGCATCTTTGACCATGGTGGTGAATTCCTTGGTGGTACTTTTCAGGCCATGTTGATTACCCACTAGATCAGTCCAGTCAGTGCCTACAACTGTCAAGAATTCACAAGGCAATGCTATTTTGCTGAAAGGTCTCACAAGACTATTGGTGATATGTTAAGGACCCAGTGTAATGATGTTGACATTGCAAACCTCCAGCATACCAACTTGTTGATTGACGTCTGTGTTAGCCTCAACTGTGTATGCCTTGCGTTCCAAGTGCTGTTCACAGCAGCCTTGGAGTCTCTCCTGGAGCTTTTGTATTCAGGCGTGATATGATATTGAATGTACACCTATCATTGCTGATTATGAACAGATCAGGCAGCGCCGCCAAGCTCAGATTGATTGACTATGATGCAGGAAGAGAGAACAGACGCTGTCGATTCAACTAACATGAGCATGCTGGAGACGAAGTGATGGTGATCAAAGCCTGAGGAAACCGTGATGCCAAGATGGAAGATCCTACCACTGAAGAAGGTTCAGCAGGTCTACAACAATGGGACTTTGTCTATCCTCAAAGCATCAGGTGTGTCAGAGCGACTCAGTGTCCGTCGTTTGAAGCCTTGCTCCATCGCTGAGATGGTTAAGTTAGTGTTGGAGGTTGATACATGTGGTGGAATATTATAGATTGGAGAATGAACATTGTTTGTTTGCATATGAAAAGATCAAGATAGAAATGTGCCAGCCGATTATTGTGTCCGGCTGAGAATGTTGTGTATTTGTGAAGATAGAAGAATGTGTTGACCGTGTGCTTGTCTGAGTTAGTTGTCAACTGTCCGAAGATCCAATGTTGCCTTTCCTACAATGGATCATTATCTTGAGAGAAGAAGCAGAGTGTCGAATCTGGTTCAATCGTGCATAACCAGTCCCACTAGCTTGTCCTAGTCGTCGACCATGCTTACTTACTTACTCTGCTTAGCGCTCCTTCTTTGAACGGACCTTCTTGTCCGGCCGTGACCCTCCTACTGAGTGCCCCGGCTCTGAGTGTTCCACTACACCCATCAACTTGTCCACATTCTGTTTGAACAGTCGACCTTGGTTCGGCTTCGTCCAGAAGTCCGCAACCATATCATCAGTTGGACACCAGTCCACACTGATCTCCTTCTTTGCGACTCTGTCGCTCACAAAGAAGTACCTAATGTTGATGTGCTTCGTTCGCTTGCTACTAGAAGCTTTGCCATTATTTTCTAGAAGTATGGCACTCTTGTTGTCCTGATAGACTATAGTTTCTTTAACTACATAGCCTTGCTCTCGTAGGAACTGCCTCGTCCAAAGGATCGATGGCATCAGGTCATTAACGGCTACGAGTTCGCTCTCAGTCGAGCTTCTCGTGTTCAACTTCTGTTTCGTCGAAGTCGATAATGGGTAACCGGTGCCCATGGTCAAACCACCTCCGGTATGACCCCTCATGTTTGGATGGACTGCGAAAGAACCATCCACATACCATTTCAATATGCCGCTTCCGTCGGCTTTGAGATGGGTGAAGACATCGGCAATGAGCTCCGGAACCTGACACCAACCGTGCTGACAGCACCGGCATACTCAGCGGAGACTCAGGCGAGAATCCGAGCAGCAGCCGAACGACGCCAGCAGAAAAACATGCGTCTGCTATAGGCGAACCAAACCGGCCTAACGTTGATAAACCAACAGATACTCACGGTCAACCAAGACCCGAATCAAATAGATAGCTTTCGAGCGTTAACGATAGAAAGAGCAAACATCGTTAATGAAATAGCCGACCTACAAGAAGCCCTGCATTAGAATCGGCAGGTCCGTGTCTCCGTGGCTTCGGTCGTTCCGTTATCTTCCGTGGCTTTGTTCCAATCTCGCTGGGAGAGTTTACTGTGTGAAATCCCATATGTTTGAGTACCTTGCCCATTCAGAATTGAAACAAGGTCAGTTCGCTCACAATTTCGACTTCGACGATACAATGATAGTAACCAATCAACCTATAAGACTAGTTTTAAACACATTCGCCCTGGGGATACTGCATTGCTTGGTAGGCTGCGGCGTGTTGTTTCGGTTAATGTAGCGATCGCCACTGACCACATGGTTTTCCTTGATCCATTCTCGAAACTGAACCGGAATGGGGTTTTGATATTCAGTCCACCAATGACCACTCTCTTTCTCTTTCTCTACCCCTATTTTCCATGGCTCTTCACATTTGAATGCCTTGTTGTCTTTCCGGTTGGTTTTCAGTTGAGAAGAGTAGCATCACGGAACAATGAACATCCACGGCAGACGAAGTTGGCTGGCAAATTGGGCCATTATAGACAGAATTTCACGTTCTTGTTGAGATAACAGACCGTCCTGGCCCTGTGGGTACCGTATCACTGTGGCTGCTTCTGAGCGGCGGTTGCTCATCCGACGGCTACCGTCGCCGTTCAACGCATTGTGGAAGATAATATGATCGAAAATGAGCCGCCATCCGTCAAAAGAGTGACTGCGTCCAGTCCACGCACGCTCCGTTGGCTCTCTCTTAACTGTTCGCTGAAAGAATATCGAGATGAAGCCGCAGTGATCTGGGATGGTATAACTGGCTTCTTCTAGTTGTTTAGAGCTTAAGTCTACCATGCCAGATTAGTGAGGTGTCACGCTGAGAATCTGTGAGCATCCTCGTGACGCCTCTTTACGCTAGATTTTATTGCGCGAGAGGTGTACCTCCGGGTCCTCCAAAGCACGATTGGAGAGACTCATATCCAGTGAGCGCCATAGGACTCTCTGTCTCGCCTTGTGCAAAATGACGCTCACAATGACCAAAGCTCGCCTTCGGTAAACGGTATGATATGTATTTGCCTTGTTTTCACTTTTACAAAGAAATTTTCACAGTAAGCCTTATACAGTTTGGGACAGCTTCATCTACAAGCCTTGAAAAAAATTCTTGTCACCATTGGTACCGTTGACATTGTTTACCGTATTCACCACTTCATTGCTGGTGGCAAGAATAAGGAAACTTTTATTTTATTTAAAAGTGCCACTGCGAAGGACAGGCAGTTTGTGGGGCTCCTGATCCGCTGTCGTTTGGTGCAGTCTGGTCTCAGTCCATAGGAACACTTCCCATGGGGTCTGTCTGTTTCCCCTCTAAAGTGATGATTTATTTTGTCTTCAGACACTGTTCTTCCTTTGATGGAACCATCACTTCTTGGCTGCTAAATGTCACATCAAGACCAGTTCCTCTTTTGACCTCTGCAAAATACTTCAAGGAAGCAAAGTATCTTCTCAACGTAACCTTATCAAACTTAGAGACTTATATATATATATATATATCAATGGCAACGCATGGTCAGATCGCTATTGCCAGGAGACATCCATTCGATTGTGTATTCGATTTCATGGAAGTGCAGTGTGAAGTTGTGCAAATGGAGGAGAGGTAAGCCTCTACAATGGCTGGTCACCGTCATTCAGTCGTGTCCATACACGGTCAAAGAAAACCTTCTCTGTTGACGTGCAAACTGCATTCTGTTTCGGACGAAGACTTTGAAGCCGATCTTTCACTTCCGGTGGACAAAGGGTGCAACGTCGGAAGTGCTCGTACATGTCATTCGCCTTCTCTGGCAGTCCTTTACGCTTGGTGGGAAATATCCTGCTGAAACCCAAACGACCAGCCTCGCAACAGTAGCGGCAACCAAAACCAGGAAGTCCAACCTTGAGGTTTTTCCTGGTACTTCTGCATTCAATGTCCAGTAGATGTACCCTCTGAACCCTGGAGAGCAGCTCAAACAAGAAGGGAGATATGAAAGACTTGTCTTCTGGAAATACCAAAAGGATAGGAGGGCTTCTTGAAGCCGCCAGTGTCGCATTTGTGGCCGAAAAGGGTGGTTTGGCCACCGAAGCCAGCTGTGTGGCATCGTTCATGTGGATGCCATCCTTGGAGTCGACCATCCCCATCTTTTCGGCTGCATAACTCCAGAAGTGCTTGGAATCCGCAGCACCTTGGTTGTTCCTACCCTTCAGCTTGTGGAATATGTCCATCTTTTCCTTCGGAACAGCCTCACAACGACTGAAATGCTGTAATTGGAGAACACAAACGAAGGAAACCATTGTTGTTAGGGTTCAATTCACCAAATTATAATAATGGTCGGGGGTCGCCATTGCAGTACTCACATCTCGAATCATCATGTTGAAGCTCTGGTAAATTTGAGCAGTGGAAGAAGGGTAAGCTGAAGATCTTCTCGCCCTTGATCCCGGGTGCACATGAGCACAAAAACGACATCGAATTCCGAGCTGCTTATACGCGACCTTTCGACTCGTGTTTCGGAACTTGACATCTTCTTGACTTGCTCGGAAGATCTCTAGGAACTCGAGACGAACATAGGACTGGAACTCAGACAACCAGTTGGAGTCCTCCGGAATAGCAAGCGACATTGGATCTCGAGTTCGAAAGTGCAATACCTCCAATCCTTCCTCTTCTTCTTTTCGCTCCTCAACAGGAGGAGGAGGGGCCTTGAGGGCACTCGGTTTCTTGTCTTGGTCATCGTCTTGGGTTGCCTTGGGGGGAGCCTGAGGGCTGGACAGTTTCAACGTGGTGGGGAGACTCATTCTCTTCATCTCTGAAGGTCTGCCAGCTGCAGGGGTGTCTTGCAGAGGCCTGTCGAGAGCCGCTACCGACGTCGGTGATCGGTCCTCTGCAACGTGATCAGCTTGGGGCGAGGTCGGTTCTTCAGGAGCGAAGAATCCATGTTGAGCCCAAAATGGATCTTCTTCTGGCGTCGATAGAAAGTAGGGCCCAGGAGCCCCTACGCTTCCCCGCCGTTCTAGCGGTGGCACCATTGGACCAAGGTGATATGCCTTGCGGACACGCGGAGAAGGCAAATTAGCGGGGTTCACAAATCGCGGATAGGGCTGATGGCGGGCATAGCCACGCCTGTAGTAGGCACGACCACCTCCCATTGGAACCGGCACCCCAGAGACGTAACCGTTCATGTATCTGGGTCTGTAGCCCTGGCGACGAACCGGGTTGCGCAACATTGCAGGGCCAACAATGCGTCTACCCTGCATCTGCGCAGGGCTCGAGCTTGGCGATGCTATAGGGCTTCTTGAGGAGGGAGCCGTAACGGGAACGGCTTCATGATCAAGAGGAGGATACACGTCCATTTCATGAATGTACTCTTGCGCATGCGGATGGGGTACATGCATCATGACATGTCTACGTGGCATGGGGCTTCTCTGGGGCATCATCGTAGGGTGGGGATGTGGATGCGGAAGCGCGTGAGGATGTGGTCGCGGGTACATCCGATGATGCGCTCGAGGCAGTGGAGGCATGGGGACATGCATCTCCTCTTCCTCTGCGTAACTAAATGCCAGATCTGGATGCATGTTGTGCATCTCATGTTCGTAAACAAAATCTTGTTCAAAGGCGACATTGTCGTCGACATGGGTGTGTTCAAAGTCAAGTTCCATGGGAGGCAAGCCTACCGGCATGGCAAAGTGTAAGTCATTGACATCATCGTGCACAGGGCGCTCGACACGCCTCTTCTTGGGAGACATCTCCGAGTGTGCGTCTGGGTTTGGGTGTGGATGGGAGGTGGGATGGGCAAAGTCGTCGGGCATCCAATCCCTGCCCTGGTTGCTGAATTCTTTCTCCATACCACCATTCTCCATCAACAACGAGTCCAAGTGCCTCAAGTCACTACTGTCGGTGCTTGCTGCGGGGGGTGCCCTTGCATGTTCTGTTGGAACCGCTGCAACGGTAGGTGCTGCTGTGGGTGCACCGACGCTCCTGATTCCACTTCGACAGGGTCCTCGACTCCTCGCGGCATACTGAGGTTGATCGGTAGGTTCAAGGCTGACATTCTGAACCGTCCAATCTTGGACTGGCGACGGAGACAAGCTGTAGGAGGGTGAATCAGTGGGATTGTCAACAGCCGTGAAGGGGCGCACATTCTTCCTACCGGCGCCGGAAGGGAAAGGGCGTTGAATCTCATCAGTTGGCATCTCTGAGGGTGTCGGCATATCAGAGAGAGCAGACATGGTTGCTTCCAACAGTAACGTGATGAATTTGTGCAAAAGATGTGAAAGTTAAAGGATGCGAACTCAAGGGGGGGATAGAGATGGCAATGGTCTTAGCGTCAACAGGCGGTCGTTGGTTATCAACTGTATCCTTCGATGACAGATATGTGATAATTTCGTGAAAGTGTGGTGGCTTTGGGAAGATGTCTACCACAGCAACAACAAGAACAAGAGTAATAACCGCACTTGTCCTATCGGATGAAGACGCAAAAGACTGGGCTTGCAATATATATATATCTGCAGACGAGATGGAAGATATCAGAATGCCCAGAACGCAAGCTCGAGACCGAGAAGGGAAGCGAGAAGTAAGGTATGATACCAACTCTCAGCACAAGTCGCCACTAGCTCGTGAAGTAACCCAGCGGAGAGAAACCGCACTGACGAAGGTCCAAGCACGCGACTTTGGAAGAGGTGTTAGGTGGGTTTGTGATGGGGCCTTCCGCTACCAAGTGAACGAGAGTCAGTGTTCTACTAGTAGAGTGCTTTATTCCTCTCTCACCACTAACTACCGGTACTAGCTCGTAACCAGGAAGCCAGGAAGAAGAAAGATACAAAGTTGCCGTTTCCACACTTGCCTGCTGCCTCTCACCAGCATGTACATCTCGTACTGGAACTTACGCACTGACGGTTCATCTACAGCGAAAATGTTCTTCCAAACCAATTACATGTATTGGTGTCAACAGAATTCATTTAGACCAGCTTGAGACCATTGATATTTTTTTTGTCGCCCAGAAAGAAGGCCTCTCAGTTCATCCGAAATTTCAAGCCATGTCCAATGCTTCAAGGGTTTTGGTTCACGAAATATTCAATGCAATTAACTCCAACGAAAGATTCAGAGCATGGTTCAAGAAGTAATATTATCCATTTTCTAACATGGGACATGAGTTACCTGTGGGAATGACATCAGAGGTGCAGTCGACTAGTCAAAATAGATTTACAAATAAGGATTGGCAGCTTGCGTCGAATCCAGGGTTCGCCCAGTGTCTCAGCCAGCTCTCAGTCACGAAATATGCGTCGACGCCGCACGCACTTCCTCTCTTCAGCATCCCTTTTTTTGCTTGCCCAAACACTTTGGCCTCACTGCATGCATGGTCGTCTCCGTTCGATTACAGCCGTCGTGTGTGGCCTTGACAACGAGGGTTCGTCTGGTCCTTACAGTTTCCAGATGAATACCGTACGGTAGTCTTCAAGCTGCACGTCCCGACGTTTTCTTTCCGTTCAGGACACAAGAACCTTGTCCGAACACGACCTTCTCAGCAGCAATTGAAAAAAGCCCCAACCGCTTCAAACTTCGCTCTCCCTTCATATGGCTCGAATAACTGGTTCAGGAGAGATTCATCATTCAAGCAATTGGGAGACTCCAGCGCATTCATGATGCAAAGCCGGAAAGTTCCAATAGAAGGTATTCGACTATTGGGGGGTACTGAAGTAGATTTGGCCACTGGCATTTCGGGGCCCCAAATTAGCGCTGCAAAGTCTGGGCTTCAACGATCTCTGATCCTGGTTTGGCCAATCCTTGATCGAGCTACTAGCCCCTAGAACACCCTATGCATATGCGAACGGAGAAGGCGAGTGAAATCACGAGGTGCGCTCATGGGTTGGTTACCCGGTGCTGTCCGGTACCGGTACCGCACTGTAGCTGCTCCTTCTCGAGCATACCGGTATCGGTACCGGTACCGGTATCGGTGCTTGAAAAATTCAGCCTTTGAGTCTTGTCGATACTACAGAGGGCTCAAGGGCCCTTGCTGAAAACGCTGTGATGTGAGGAATGAAATAAGCAATGATCTATACACGGCGACGTCTCATTCCTCCAGTGTGTTGCGCGCCCAGTACATGTGCGGAGATACCTTTTCGGTACCGGTACACTATACTGGTATTGGTAGTCGAGCGACAGATGCAGCCGAGGACTTGACCCACTCGGTCAACTCGACGCCTCTGCTGTCACTTGGTGGCGACTGGACTGACTCAAACGAAACGACACTTCGACAACGATTTCTGTGAAGCACGGCAACGCTTGGAAGGTTGGTTTCCAATGCGTCATTGTTAGTTTTAATAATTGAGCATACTGAATCGATTGGTGGTCCAGCACAATTCTACGTTGTTACTGTGTTAGGCTGTACTTGGTAACGTGCATACTGAATTGTGTTGTGATTGTCCAATTGTACGTAGGTTTTTTAAAATTCAATTGTAAGGTTTACCAGAGGGTTGGCAAGCAAGCAGATGATGTATGAAATGACGCCCAGTGACGACGACGAGAGCGTTTACGCTGGCCGTCTCTTTGTACGGGTCGAGCGCCGTACACTCTCTTTCTTTCCCTGTGCTGTCTGTTCTGCCGTTTTGCTGCTATCATTGTTACCAACCGAATCATTCTTCTTCGATGTACTCTTTGTCGTCGCAGATGAGAGAACCTGATTTTCCTTATCCGCCTTGCGGCCGAAAGTCTCGTCTTTGACATCTAAGCTTTCAGACAAGTCTTCCTTTTTGTTCTCCTCCACTTCAGTCACTGTTTCTCCCGTGCAGTCCTCCTCCTCAGGAGCATTGACCTTGGTGTCTGCTTCGCCCTTGCTGTTTGTGTCTCGAACTTCTTTTTCAGGCTTCTTCTCGTCACCATGAGTTTCTCCCTGCGCTACATCGTGCTTCTTGTCGGCTATAACGCTACCATCTTCCGCCACCTTCTCGCCGCCCTTCGCGTCAGTTCTGTTTTTTTGGTCCGGGTCAACCTCACGGGCGTCGACGCCGTTGTCACCAACGTCCTTCTCGGCACCAGCAGCTGCACCAGCTCCCTCGGAATCGGCGAGTTTGTTGTTCGGGTCGGTATCATCTGCACTAGGCAGACTTTTCAAGAGGATCGAAAATGCACGAACTGTATGTGTGTCCTCGACTGCCAAAGCATCACCTTCCACCCGTGGGAGAAGACCAAATGCTTGTAGCTCTCGGTCAAATTCGGCGTAGACTGCGTTTATACACCGGGGTAATACCAAGACACACCAGGTGACAAACGTAAAGTGGGTGAAGAGTGGGAGCCACCACAAAAACGATGTAAATCGACCCATGAGACCAGCAACGAAGCCATGCAACACCCAAAATTTTAGATAGAGCACCCGCTTTTGGTCATGCCGATGTCCTCGGTTGAGAGCTTTCAATGAGTGCGCCTGCGGCACAATGAATTGCACATACCAGACCCCGTATTGGGTGATGAAACCAGGTGTCAGCAGCGTCAATGCAGGAAGCACAAGAGTGGAGAAGTCCTGCAAACAAGCCACAAGAGTGTCCCTTGTTTCTTCCGAGATCATGCGGAGCATGACAGCACCTCCGAGGAGATATTGAACTTTGTCCACTACAAGTCGCTTCCAGTCTTCAGAAGAAACAGCGTGTGACACTTTTTCGAAGAAGGGAATGATTGTAGGTTTCAATGCGGATGGAATGGCCAGAACAGGATCCAGGGCACACTCGTAGCACCATTGTTTCGTGGGTGACCAATCGCGACGATTTTCCTCTCCGGCACTCGGGAATAGTATGATTAACATTTCCGGCATAATGAAGATCCACATATAGAAGAGCAACTCGAGTTCGCAGCTGATGGCGTAAACATTCTTGGAAGCCAAAATCGTCCTTATAAACATGACTCGAGTGGCAAGGGCGTAGGTGGCTTCAAGGGTTGAATAGAGAAGCCAGAAGTGTAGCCAGTAGTTAACATCCTCTTTGATGTCTTGTTCTGTATATTCATTGCCTCCAGCTTGTGCCCCTTCGTTGTTCCGACGTAACAGACTGTCTATGCTGCCGATGCTGCTTCGTCTGCGTCTGTTCTTCTTTGTCTTGGTCTTTTTGTCATCTTTCTCTTTCGACGACAAACCCTTTCGATCTTTATTATTCTCTCTCTTGTTTTCACTACCAGCAGTTCTGTCCACTGCCTTCTTCGGACGTGTGTGACGCAGAACAGCAATTGAAGAAAATATTGGATAGTACCACTTCAAAATATTTGGAGCGGTCCGACCCATACACAGTCTGTTCACCCAGGCAGGAAACGCCAAGCGAATGCATATCGCAACCCCAAAATAGGCTGCATGTGGAAGCGACATGGCCAACAACAGGGATGCGTCGGCAACTTCCCGGTAGGCGCCTTGAATAGACTAAAAAAAGCCAAGTAAGAATCGAATCCAATCGAATGATTCAATGGAATGCAAATAATGAGCGAGAAAGAGGAACAATAACCCGCACAAAGCCACCAGATGCACACCCAAAACGGCCAGCCAAGGAGGAAGAGACAAAGGAGGAGAAGGAGGAGAGAGGATGAGTGTATTGGCCTCGGGTGTCCCAGGTACCCGTACAACACAACAGGCTCGCACTCGGCGGCTTGGAAAGGAGAGATCAGCTGGCACAAAGAATGGATCAACGACCATGCAACATGCAAGCATCGAGAAAGCCCCAGGTCACACAGGTCGTTATTGGGCCGTTTATTATGTGACAGACAGCCGACTTAGGGAGGATCGGAACATTAAATAAATCCACAAAATTCAGTCGCGGGTCAAACATGACTAACTCGCCCAAGACTTGACCATGGAAGAGCACCACGGAGTCCTTGTGTTTCATTCAGGGAAGGACAAATAATGATCAAGCAAGTAGTGCAACAATATAGTTGCAGGACGTACCTTTGTAATCCGTTGACTTGTTCGTCGGATGAATCTTTGCGATCTTCTCAGATATTGTTGCCGTCGCAGGTAGCGTACAAGCTTCCAAGTTGCAACCCCCAAGACAACTAATGCTATCTCCCCCATAGCTTGGTACCACGTAAGGTGCAAATGAAATCTACATATTTCAACGGCACCGTATTGGATTTTGGGAAGGAATGTACCCAATAAGGTTTGAGCCAGTCTGCCAAAGATGTAGGCAAGAGAATACACCAAAGGCTGAATGGTAAGCCATATCCAATATCCAACACTCTTTGCCCCTTTGACTCCATCGTTGAATGCGTCAAACATGGCTTGTTGATAGAAGGGCCACTCAGGCCATGAACCAATGGCTGTGAATTGACTCCATTCATCTCGCCAGGACTCTGTCCCAGAGGTTGTCGTCGACAAATCAACGGACGAAGCGTAGTCAAGTAATTCGTCTCCGCGGCTTACGACATTGCTGTGCAATGAATGTAGTCTATTCAACAGTTCCCCCTTCCAGTCTCCGTTTGCAGCTATCATCGGTGAGTTGTGGCCGTGGTGGGATTGTGTAAGTTTGTAATAAGAGATTGGTGCTTGGTGGTAAACAGAAGGAAGTCCTCTCGACAGCGAGGAAACCGAAGCAATCAGGCAGTTTCTTCTTGTTCTACAAACACTACCTGTATTCAAAGCCAACTTGATGCCTCCCAACAGACGTCCTTGCTTGAGACCGCACTTGAAGCAGTTAGTTGTCCTACTACTAGCCTATTCGATTGTTCAATCTGGAAGGTGTCCTCCTTCCTGCATTGGGTTTATAGTAACGTTGTGGCGGTTGCGTTGTTGGACTGGCATCACCTGCTTTCTGAACGATTTCGGCGATTCATTCCATTCCCGTCGTGACCCAATAAAAGTCGGTCTTGCCTGTCAAAATCCACGCAAATCGACTTGGAGGCAAAGTGCCGACCTCTGATTTCTTGGTTTGCGCCATTCGCAAAGCTGAAATCATGCATACACAATGTACAATCGTACAGGTAAGGTGCTTTCTCTGGTGAACCCTTCTTTGACTTGTGGTTTCTCTGGTGAACCCTTCCTTTACGGTGCGTATCGGCATGGATCCAAGCATCCAGTCAAGCATTCCAGCCAGGAGCTTCGGATCACTCATCAACCGTCGCGTGCTTCCTCCTTGGTTCCGGCTGCTGTACCATAGAGATCATTCGCAGAGCCTTCACTGCACGCAGAAATGTAGTACACATGGCAAGTTGGAGAAACATCGCGGTGCCACAAATGCTACCGCATTGCTAGTAGTGAGGCTTATTTGGCTAGTCTACCGAAGTCAACATTAAATTTTGTCATCACTGCACAACAGCACGACTTCCACAAACACATATTATTTCACAACCAAAACGCTTTCTTGACAACGCTACCACATCCCACTCCCAACTCTGCGCAAACTAAATTGCATATCCGTTGGTGGCCTTTTGGAAACAATCATACAAGTACGTCCCAAGGTGCCCCCGAGCTGAATTGACCAGTCGTAGGGCTTCACGTTCTACCAGACGATCGGGAGTCCAAACCATCAGGCGCTTTTGGAACTTCGTCAGCGCGACTCCGTTCCCGTATCGCCAGCCACTGAAGCAAGGAAAGTTGCTCTTGTACATCATGATTTCCACCAGACCCAAAGCAAGCTGAGCGTTCTTGCGAGCCTCCTTGAATCCAGCAACAAAGAGCTTCTTGAACTCTTGGAAACATTTCGATCGTGGACCGCCCATCACTTCAACGTACTCGGGAGTCAGCTTGAAGGGAGAGCGCTCAAAAGTGAATTCGTGAGCGACGTTCATTCCCATGGCAAAACCAAAGTCAATGAAAACCAAATGCCCCCTGGTGTCAATCATAATGTTTCCATTGTGGCGGTCCTTCAACCCCAGGAGGTACGACACGATGGAATAAGCTGCCAAACTCTGCATAAAGTTCTTTTGGGCCGCCTTGAATGACTTCGTGTTGGGTGCACCGTAGGTGTGCTCGAAGTAGGCTCGAAGCCCTCCTTTCTTGGGGTAGTTTGGGTGTTTCTTCAGCCCGTCAAGGGATGTTGCATCCATGATCACCTCAAGCACACCAGCGTCCTTCGACGTACTGAGGATTCGATACGTCTTGAGCCAAAGGGGCAACTTTGCACTTGCAAAAACAGACTTGTAGAAGTGAATCATCTGCATGACGAAAACTTCTTGTCGCAGATCGTCGTTCGACTTGGACATGAGGCTGATGACTTCTTGGGATCCAGGTTTGTTGGCTTCTTCCGGTCCTGCTTTTTCGACTTCTTCCATTAGCATTCGAGCTGATTTTTCTGCCCAGCTTTCCCCGCCACTAACCATTTGCTTGGCGCGATCCAAACTCTCCTGGTCAATATCGCCAAGGTCTTGATCTCCAAGCACAATTGTTGTCTTATACATCACGCTGCTGCTAATCGATGCGTCGTCTCCGTCGTCTCGGCTCTGGCCTTCCAAAATGGGCACCGTCTGAATATCCACAATGTTGTCCATCACACTGTTTGTTTGCTTTCCTTTACGACGATTGTCCATGCGATCGGCAAGTCTCTTGGGAATCTGAGCAAAGGATGAACGGAGAGGCCTATCGGCATTTGCGGAGCGTCTGTTCCTTTCATCATCTTCTTCCTCCTCTTCTGTGTTGTGCCAGACACGGCTTCCTTTGTCTGGACTGTCATCTGGCTCTAGAGGCTCTAGGGCTCGATTCTGGGTCTTTTCGTGCTGTGACTCCGTCATTTCTGTGTGACGCGAACACATCCCAGAGTCAACACGAAGAAAGAAAAGTAAGAAGTAGGCGCAGAACGTCTCAAAAGTGAAAGTACTACATAAAAAACATTGTAACCAGGACATCTCTCACCCTCACCTTCGCCTGCCTCCGAGATTTGAGACAGGTTGCTCTGCACCACCGGTGATTCTCCATTCGTGGATTCCGCGACCACCTCAAAATGCATGTGCATGTACTCGGCCACGTCCAAGCTGGTTTTCTTTTGTACCGACAGAGCCGGTCTGGTGCTGGCTCGTGGCGGATCCTCTCCGAACCGTGAGAGAAAAAACATGATCGTCGGACAACGAGCCTTTGTCGAGAAGACTTTGGTGTACTCGGGGATGGACTTGCACACGCGTCTCCAGGTGTCACTGGAGTTACAGAGGGGAAGATAGACGCATTTGGGAGTGTGAAGGTCCCTCATGAGTCCCGGGGCCACTCTTTTGCGCTCATCTTTCTCGAGAAAGCGGAGCTCTTCGGCAATATCCGTGAGGCGCCGGACAAAGCGCCGTTCATTGCGGAAGAACTCATATCGAGCCAATTGACTGGGTGTCAAGTCTCCGACGACTTTATTCTGGATTTTCTGCTGCTTCTCTTCGACTTGATCGGCAGTGCCCAGGTTCTTGGCCGATTTCGAGGTTTGCTTCATGTGATTGAGTTGCTGGAACGGCATGTTCGTGTGATGGAACAAGGAGCTACAATCATTCTCTTCCGTCAGTCGCCGCATCCACACAACTTTTTCCTGTTTGTTTTTGGCTCTGAGCTTGAATTCGTACTCTCTGTTGGATACGGTGAACATGTGTGGGTACTTGTCTTTCCCAGACACTTCGTCATCGGTAATGGATGCCCCATCTAGTGGCATGGCTCGGACCAGATTCCGATGGTGAACACCATCTTCCTGGGATCGGTAACAATTGAGCATTTGTTCTTCAATTACAAAGTACCGCTTTTTCCATCCTTTGCTTCTAAAGGCCCCCAAACGTACGGGTCTCTTGTACATGAGGAAACTTGCAAAAGTAGAATTGTCACCTCCCTTATTGACGTCCGCCATGGATGGCGAAACGGGCATCATTGGTCGACTGGATCCAGTGCCGCCGCTGTCATCTCGCACGGATCCCGAGGTCAATTGCAAGGCATGGAATCGACGGTCAGCATTTTCCATAATGTGTAATTCTTGTTTTGTGATTTTTCCTTGCTCATAGAGACGTTGAAGTTGTTGAGATCGAGGTCTCCCGTAAACGACACATCGCTCTAGATTGGTCAATAGTTTGATGCACCGAGCATAATAAAGCGGATTGTAAGATGGATTTGGCAATCCACTGGGTAATTCTGGCTGATAATCCTCCAGAGTTCCCTGTAGAATCCAGTTGAATTGCAAGGCAAAATGAAGAGACTGTTGTGCAATGACCAAGGCGAATCGTTCCAAGATGGCATCGTCCCACTCTGCTTCCAAGTGAATAATCATGTGTGCCAACTGAGGCAAGTAAAACTCGATTCCGTCAAAGACTGTTCTGGATCCAGCAAACTATAGAATTCAATCGAGTTGTTCACACAAAGATGAGGACCACAATGAATGAACCGGTATTCTAGCTACATCATGGAGAGGAGCGATCATTTCGTTACGCTTGACAACGACCTACCTTGGCAACGAATCGGGCCATAAAGGTGACCACTGTAGGGTCATCACGAAACTGCCAGATCAACATGACCACTTTGTCCATTGGAACCGACCGTTCGCCGCTAGTGCCTTCCGCTCCCAGCACATCCGCAACGAGCCTAATCCAATTGGGAAAGAAAAAAAAGCCTCGTTGAGTTCTAACAAGTCCTTCTCAATCCGTCCACTCGGCTCGACTGGACTTCTCGCGTTCAGGAAGTAAGTAAAACAGATCTCAAAAACAACACTATCGTGACCTACCTATTCTTGAAAGCCTCATGCTCCCGTTGAATCTCTTCACGACTCTTGTACATGGTGGCCTTGCTTGTTGAGGGTTGCACCACTGACAATAAGAAAAACAATCAAGAAGGTGCTTGCTCAAGATCCGATCCTTCCAAGTGTCACAAGCAAAACTCGGCTCCACTACTTTGTGTCAACACCGACTCGGCTCCTTCGACCACTCCGTACTGAACCACACACTCGCGCACTCACGTTCCTGCCGCCAGCAAGAGGACAGACACTGGGATGGGTGAGCGCGATGTGCAAACAAGGAGCTGTATTGAATTCTTCTTGTCTTCCGCTGTTGTCCTATTTTCGGCCGCCGATGCGCACCATCGTCGCAACAGCTGTTGGAACAAAAAGAGTCACTCAGGCATTCGGGACTCAAAAAGTCAAATTTTCAATTTCTTAAAAAGACTGCATACAACGGCTGCCGTGAAAGCCGGTGGAGCTGGCTAAAATCAGGTGGAGGGGAAAAGCCGAAGCTTTGTTGGAGGAAGAAGAGCGGCCTGGCGCTCAATCGCTCGTTTTCTTGTTTGTTACCATACGGTACTGCCGGTGCCGTCACCATGCAAACCTAGCTAGCTAGAGCAGAGATCTACCGGTAGAGCTGGACCATGCCTCTTATTTATTCTTCTGGCATTTGAGGAAGCAAACAGCAGTCTAGTACGAACGGTATTGCAGAGTATTGCAGCCACTGGCTGTCTCACTTCTGCTGCGCTGTAGGTGAGGCTTGAAAACAACAGACTACCGGTAGAGTGGCAGAGCTAGTACTAGAGCGGCAGACTACTCACTCGTCTATTATTATTACATGTAGATGTGCGATTTGTGGTTGCTATCGTGATTGTCCCCGCCCCGCTATGTCATATGGTGGCATTTGCTCTTTCCAAAGATCGTGCTGCTGATCTTGTCTACCGGTACCCTGGTAGCCATACTACTATAGCTGGCCATAGCGAGGCTGTTGGCTGCAGAAAACAACGTTTCTTGCCTCGCACACAAGGGCAATAGGGCAGAACACCACCACCATTGGCTGACCCTCGTTAGAACTGGGCTGGACACAAAGGGCAGCTACCTTGACATCTCTCATACAATGGAGTCTTTTCTCTGCTCTCACCATCTACTATTCGTACCAGTATCCTACAGCAGCGACAGGAGCCAGGCATTTCAGCTTGCAAGCTGCCAGACCGCAACATGCCAACTGCCCCTCCTTCGGAAGCCACTGACAGCCACTTAGTATGCTAAAGCAATCTTTTCTCCGATCATAACATCAGATTCTATTTAATCTTTGCTTTGTCGATGATCAAACCACAAACCGAAGACGAAGAGCTCCTAATTGATAAAGGTGAAGTGCAGCATTCCTTTTCGTGCCATCTATCCGCACAAACGCACCATCATGATCGCATAGATCAAGCTAGTACATGTACAATGTACATGTAGACTAGCTACCACAATGAGCTCACAATGTCATCACCTACCGAATCTCTACTCCGGTTTTTCTTCCTGTGTTCTGCTCAATGTTTTAGCAGTGACCGGTACTACATACATGGTACAATTAATTAATTGTGCAGACATCAACTTACCGAACTCGTTTCTAGCTACGCTGTAGCTATTAATAGCTAGAGGGCCGCAGCTACGGCCACTAAAATTTAGTGGACCTAGCAAGATACTACCGGCAAGCTCACCATAAGGAATCAGGCCAAAGCATGCCAGCCCCAAAGGTCATCATTTATTTTTCTACAGCAAATGCAGTAGGACAAAAAGTTCAACTTCAAGGGTCCTGTACCATTATTTCATTATTTGAAAACGTCTGATTGCTCCTTCCCTTTATCTGTCCTCTCTGACTGTGTTGTCTCCAGAAACCTACAAATAACTCTCCCTTTCTAATGAACTGCAAAGTTGTGCCCTCATCAGATAAATGGGTCAAGAAGGCCTTAAAGACATACAACCAGTTCAATGAGAAGCCCCATTCCACCCCTCCAGACACACTCACCGGACTCTGGACCCCCGTTTTTCTTGGGGTTACTAATCCCTTCTTCTCTGTCGCTGCATCGACGGTGAGTGGCTGACTGGATAGCTAGTACCGGTACCGTTTTTTTGGGGGGGTGATGCGCTTGTCTTCAAAGAGAATGCGGTACTACTAGTAGCTTGGGCTCTACCGTACTAGCCAGCTAGCTAGCTAGCTAGCTAGCGAGAAAGCGAGGCTGATCAAGGCTGCAATTACCATTACTATCCAAGTCCCTTTTGCTACATGAGCCGATAAAACAACATAGATGATGGCCTCATCTGAAAGCTTTTACGAAATCTTTTTCTGATGTGCCTGCCATGGCCGCTGAATGCGTTGCTCGATCTGGCTACCGGTAGCTAGCCACTGGCCGCAGAGCTAGTTCTATTACTACCAGCTACTAGCTAGATTGGGAGAACGAGAAAAACAATATATCTATTGAAAAGGGGGAGGATTTATGGCTATTTATTGGGTTGAGTTTGAAGTCTCGCTTCTCCAGCACCAATGAAATCGCGTTGAAGGGAAAGTACGTCACTAAATGGGCCTGTCCTAATTCTGCTTTCAGTGAAACCTTGATCTTGCCTGTTAGACCTGGTCCCTGCCCCTTTTGTCAACGATTAACAAATGGCTGCTCCTTTCAGACATTCTTGATTAGCTTTAGGATAACTTGCACCCTTGCTACCAAGATTATTGAACTCGAATTTGTTCAGATGGAGGCAGTAACTGTTTGCTACATGTACTAGAGGTTACTCAGTACTGCCAACTGCCAATGCGCTGCTTCTGCAACAAATCTACTGATATCCAATTACATTACTTGCTTCAATTTTATACAATTCTACCATTGGGTTTCCAGCCAAGACGTACTTCATGTCCGATGATGGAAGCAGAATCTTGTTGAGGAATGCAAAGGAGCAACAGCCATCAACTAAAATTTACGTTTACAACTACGTAGCTACTACGTACTCTACTCAAAACTTGTGCATCTAGTACCGGTACCGGTACCGTACGGTGTTCTTTCTAGCACTGTAGGATGTCCTTCGTTTTCGAAGGAGTTGAGTTAACGTTAGGTCTACGTTGTGCGGTTGATAGTCCCAGAGCTATCCCAAAAAGACTTTTTGATGAAAACTACCGTGCAAATGAACTTGGTTATCTAATAAGCAAGGTATAAACTTTTGACTGTAAGTCAACGGAGTGTTACGTGTGAGCATCATAGACTGCTCTCAGACCCCCCTTTCTGTCTAGCGTTAATTCGATGGTTGCCGGAGCTCTTGCCTTAACAATCCGCTATGAAGTGCGAGAAGTTCTGGATTGCATTCCCTTCTCGAAGTTGAGGTTTGCTCTACTTCCTTTCCAAAAGAGCCTCGGACATGAAATGCAGCTAATGCATCTCTCCGGGTTGGCGGTTTGCGAAGCTTGGTGCTCGAACCATTGATCTTTTGAGTTGTTAACTGTTAGCTACAGAAGCTAGCTAGCTGGCATGCTGGCATCAACAATTATTGAGCCATTGTCAAAGGACCCATTGCAGTCTCATCTTACCTCACAATCCCTCGAAGAGATCTCAAAAACCAAAAAGGCCATCAGCATCAAAAGGAGCGTTGAAAAAGATCGCAGCGAGAGACACGCGAGTGATTTCAAGGAGAAGGTAAACAACAGGATCACCCAATTTGGCATTGCCATTCGATTCGATTCACTTGCTTTGAATGGCATAAGGGTGCCTATTGCATTGGAGTTGATCTCATCTGATGAAGATGGCTTCGAGCGACGAAGAGAGCTCCTCGCCTCCGGATGAGAAGGGAGCCCAGTTGGAAGGCGTTTTGCCAGATCATGGTGTCCAAGCTAAAGGATCGCGCAACCAAGGTAAGTGATACATTTGAGGCATTGTGTGACCACCGGTGCCTGTACGCATTGGCGCATGACGATACTGAAGGCCCGATCATCCTCTGTTGCCCATCTGACTTTCAAATGCCTCTGACCCCGTACTGTACGTTCTCGTATGTTGTCAGCGTCACTGAAGCTAGATTCTCCTGGTAAGTTTGCAGGTTCCTTCCGGCATTAGGCCAACGCCGTCTCTCATAAAATGCTGTTTTCGTCTGGTGACTAAGAACCATTATCTGATAGTAAGAAGGCGGCACAAAGTAAGGGTTCAGAGCTTGTGGGAACCGGCAGCAAGCGATTCCCTGACAGGCTCTATGAGCTACTCAACAATGAGGCAGCACCGAGCTCCCTGTACTGGTTGCCCGGTGGAAAAGCATTCGCCATTGAACAAGTGACGTTCGCAAAAGAGGTGCTTGACAAGTACTTTCAAGCTACCAAGTTTGCGTCGTTTGTGAGGCGCCTACATAAATGGTAGGTCCAGCCTCAGCTTGCCTTGTCATCTCATCAGCTGCATTCACAACGATTTTCTAACAACTGAACACTTTCTCACTACACCCTGCGTGTATGCTTACGACTCTTTAACAGGGGCTTTCGAAGGGAGACAAGGGGTTTCCGCAAAGAAATCGGACCAGAGCTGTCTCGCAGTGTTATTGCGTTCTGTCATGATCAGTTCCAAAAAGACGATCCCGAGCTCGTCCTGCAAATGGAAGAAGCCGCGAAAAAACAGCCGCCAAGTCAAAAGGGGACTGGCGCAAGGAACTCGCCAGCTCCAGGCAGTCCAAGGAAGAGAAAGTCCAGCATGAGCTCACAGAACTCAGGATCGTCTTCTGATCTTGTTGGGGAGGATCCTCGAAGCGCACAGCGACCGAGACATCAGGCTCCGCCAGTAGGTTCAGAAAGAGCATACGGGACAAGTGCGCAGATGATACAAGAGGCCAAACAGGATCTTCAACAGGCCGCAGTGCCATCGGTTGCGTCATTGCAGCCTGGAGCTGCTGGTGGTCTAGAAGCCAACGTCGCCCCCGAACGAATTGCCGATCCAACAACCCCGGGTCAACCTGGGAGGGTGCAAACTTTAGAGCATCAGCTATTGTTGCAAAATCTCCGAAGCAATGCATTGCAACATCAGGATCATGAAAACGCCCTCGAGCTGCTTTTGAGGAACCAACAGCAAAGCGATTCAGTACTTCAACGCAGTATCATAACAACTGCATCCTTGGCTCAGCAACGTCAGCTCCAGGAGCACGAAATCCAGGAGCAACAGAGACGCGCAGCTCTGGTGGCGGCGGCAACATCGGGCCAGGGCATCTTGGACAACCAAGCTTTTCTAGATGCCGATAGAATTCTTCAACTCCGAAGATCAGCATCGGCTTCACAGCTAGGGCAGCAGCTGCCATCTCTGCCTTTGGCACAGCAAAACCTTCCGGGTTCGCTCTTGTCGCAGCTGGATTCTGCTAGAATGCCTCAACTGCCGCCACAGCTGGATGCGTCTCGTATTCCTCAGTTGTCATCTCAGCTCGATCCCTCTCGCCTCTCACAACTGCAGTCGCAGCTTGATGCATCTCGTAGTCCACAGATGCCATCTCGTGACAACAACTCACAATTGATGGAGACTCTATTGCTTCTCGAGCTTCAGCGTCAGCAGCAGCAAGGGGGGCAGCAAGGAGCACCTGGGCAAAATCCACAAAATCCAAATCGGCAATTCCCTCCCTTTCGCTAGCACAAGTCGTCGCTGCCAACCTTCCTGAGTGACAGTCTCTGCGACGAAAACATCATTTGCGCTTTCTACGTCCGTCTAGCAGTCAGTGCCTGGGGATGATGTTCAAAGAATGGTACGGGGTTTCCATTCTACCGATATGTCTGGAGCTTGGCTTTCCAATCTCCAGGGTTGCCTGGTATGCAACCAAAGCATAATATAAGACAATGTGTTGCTCATTTCTCATGTCTAGTCAGTAGCTCGTTCTAAAAAGAACTGAAATACCCAAGTTCTCTCTTATCATCCCCGCAAAGTATGAGTTGCAAACCATGAAGAGCGACTCTGTCAATTTCGTCTTGTCATGGACATAAATTTTCTCGCAGACACGTCCGACGTCTTGGCTGAGCGCGACGTAAGAGACAAAGTAAGTGTTACTCATTTCTCATGTCTAGCTAGTAGATGGGATTAAAAGGAATGGATTACAAAGTTATCTCTTATCATCCCCCAAAACTAATAAGCGTAGCAAACCATGAAGAGTGACTCGGTGGATTTCGTCTCGTCATAGACGGACATCAATATTCTTGCAGCAACTTAAGCATAATATAAGACAATGTGTTACTCATTTATCATGTCTAGTCAGTCAGTAGCTCGTTCTAAAAGAACTGGAATACCAAGTTATCTCTTATCATCCCCGCAAACATAAGCATCGAACTCCACTGCAATATCGGCAGCCTCCACTTTAGGTACTCATGTAGGTCGACATATCAATTTCATCGGGGAGCTCTGGGATGTTTACTTCAAAACGGCTCTGGACCTTCTCCAAGGTCTCCTGGTCTTCCTTGCTCGAAACAAAGGAAATTGCCAAACCCTTTGTACCAAAACGGCCAGCTCGACCAACACGATGAAGAAACTGATCCGAGTCGCCTGGGAAATCGTAGTTGATAACCACGTTAACACGCTCAATATCAATACCACGGCCAAACAAGTCAGTACTGACGAGAATACGGGCATTGAAGTCCTTGAAGCTCTTGTATTTCTCGATACGCTCTTCTTGTTTCATGGCAGCGTGGATACAGATGCTTGGAAAGTTGCATTCTGTCAGAAGGCGATTCAACTCCTTCGCACGAGATACTTTTGCCACGAAGATGACAACCTGGTTAAACTCCAGAGCATCCAACAAGTCATTGAGCTTGCGATTCTTCTCGGCTTCTGCCAACTGGGCATAGTAGAGTTGCAAACCGTGCAGAGTCAACTTCGTCTCGTCGTCGACATAAATCTCCATGGGGTCTTGGCAGAACTTCTTGCAGACAGGTCTGACTTCCTTCGATAAGGTAGCCGAGAACAACATGACCTGCTTTTCATGAGGGGTCAAACGAAAGATCTCCTGAACATCACGACGCATGTCCAACGCTTCTAGAACTCGATCGCACTCATCAAGCACAAAGTGCTGGATCTGATCAAGGACCAAGGACTTTTCCCTAGCCAGAGCAAGGATACGACCAGGGGTGCCGACAACCACGTGGGGTGCTTCATTCTTCAAGATATCTCGGTTTGTCTTGATGTTTACACCGCCATAAAACACAGCTGTCTTCAGATGAGGTAAGTACTTGGAGAAGCGCTCATATTCGTGGGCAATCTGGAAGGCAAGTTCCCTTGTGTGGCACAAGACCAAGACTTGCACGGGGTTCTTCTTTTTCTCTTCGCCTTCGGCAGCCTCCGCAGGAGGGGTACTCTGGAGCTGATGGAGAGTTGCCAACACGAACACCGCAGTTTTTCCCATACCAGACTTGGCTTGACAAACAATATCACCTCCCAAAACGGCTTGAGGAATGGTTTCATGCTGCACTTCACTAGGATGCTCGAAACCAGCATCTACAATCGCACGAAGCAGTTCTGGCTTGAGAAGAAAATCTTTGAAACCAGACGCATGGATACCGACATAATGTCCCCTACAAATTGGGTTGAATCGAATCAATGCAAAATTGCAACGTTGGTAAACACTTGAGACCAAGAGAGACCAATGCCGGTCCCATTCCGAGTCATGGGCACCCAGTCACGAGTCATGAAAAAGACCCAAAAGAAGAAAAAGAGACAATGAGCACCCCCGCTCTCGACTTACTTCTTGGTGTCCTTGCCGTCTGCAGCAGAGTCAGACTTGTCATTTACGACGTCTGCTACTTCCTGGAAACCATAGTGGTAGAATCATTGGAAGACCACGACGCCATGGAAGGATTATTGTGTGAGATTCAATGGGTCATTGGGAGCCGTAGCAATGCGTAGAGTCCAGTACTGCTTCAACACCATGCGAATTGCCGGTGCCGGTATCACTTCATGAGTGGCTGGCAGATTTTAGCTGAACCTTTGTCCATCATCGTACCTCTTCTTCGTCGTAGTCGACAAGATCATCGTCGTTATCAGCCATGGTAAAGGTTAAAAGGGTAGCACAAGAGCTGCAAGAAGCAAGAAAGTCGTCGAGAAAAGCAAGAGAGTTTGTGCTGTTGCGATCAGGACCAACCAATTGCCTGGAAAGATCCGTGGCGTTGAGTTGGCCAGCCAGCGGAAGCGATGGGATGGGGGATTAGAGTTTAGGTTAAGCACAGGACACAGCTCTCCAGAAGCCTGGCTACTAGCTAGCTAGCTAGCTAGCTAGCTAGTAGTAGAGCATTGAAACAGATATTGAAACGTCTAAAGGACTGTGGCAGCTATCAATTTCAAACCTTGACTACCGGCTACCAGTAGCCGTGAGGCAGTGCGAGGCTTGTGGCTGCAACCAGGATCGCTGTTTGTAGCTAGTTTGTGCTCCCGCAGACCGTCCGTGCATTGCTGTTTGTGTCCTAGTTTGGCTGATGCTCTTGCAAAGCAATCGAATCGAAGCAAGTGGTTGAATTATGCCTCTTTGGATCTCCTACTAGTAGTGCTTGGATTGGGCGGCGTACATTTTAGATTGCCTGGTACACTGTACTCAACACAATACCCGAGCAAGCAACATGTATTGCTAAGCAAAGGTCCGTGCTTTACAAATAAATTTGAGCACAAAGAATGAATAATCCTGCTAGGAAATGCCGATTATCCGGCCTTCCTCTTAACTTCCTTACCCCGTGAGAACCCAAGTCTCATGTAACAAGCATGTAGATTCTACTTTGTGCTCCGAATTCTCAGTGGTGGTGAGTCCAACTTCATGCTTAGTGGCTGCTGTGTTGGCTACTTCATACTTAGCGACGTGGCTCACTGGCCACCCAGCCATCTAATGGTTCCTCCAGATCTTCCCGCTAGCTCTGATGCTGCTTCCCTGCGGCACCTGTAGTCCTGCCCAACCCCAGCCATCGTTGTGAGACTCATCCTCGCCTCAGTCGTTGAAGGTTATAGAAACCCCTCGAGCTGAAATGGTGCCACGAAGGAGCGTCAAGTTTGTTGTTGAACCAAAAAAATTCTTGCTTAAAATCTTATTGTGGTTTCTATTATCTACGAGGAGCCCAAGCGACAGAAACAGGTCTTAGCGTTCACAAGGACATCTCTCGATACAGTCTTGTTTTGTTGTGTGATTGAAGGGTGTGAATGGACATTGATGTTTGTTGTGCCTGGATGGTAAACAAGGCGGTTAAGCCTTGATAGGCATCACTGGTTAATGCAGATGCTGCTCATGGGTCGATGCGAGACAGTACATCGACGCCACCATCATGCATTGCGGCGACGGAGAAAATTATTGCATGCCGGCATCAGCAAGGACTTGCTCAATGCTTTCGCACAAGACATTTGCCATGTCGTCGAAGTCTTCCTCGTCCCACATCAAAGGAAGTCGGACGTCACAGGCACGGGAGAGCATCTCAGCAGTCATGGGAAGTGGTTCTTCAGCAGGTGCGAATCCCCAGTTGACAAAGTTTCGTGCATTGGACTTGTTTCCGAAAAGTTCGACGGGAAGTCCATGGTCGGCACATTCCTTCAGGAAATCTTCGACCATGTCAGGTGTGAATTTTTTGTCCAAGTTGAATTGAATAGAGTCGTGGACCATGAGGTCAACTTCAGGAGTCAACTGAGGGATAGACAAGTGTTCACCACATCGTTTCTCCAAAGCCTCGGTCACTTTGTAGTATCGTGCATTGTACTTTTCAATTCGTTCGTCAAGAGTCAAAATCTGGGGGCGAATGACGGCGGCAGCAAGGTTGCTCATTCGAAGAGAATAGTTGGGGAGTTCCTTGGACAATCCCTCAAAGTGTTCAGCGCCTGGAACATTAGTTGAATGCTTGGAAAAGAGTGCCTCGTAGGCACCGGCATAGACGGCAGTCTTTGCGGCAATAGAGGGATCATCAGTGAGCAAGAAACCTCCCTCACCAGAGTTAATCATTTTGTAGCTCTGACTACTGACACCGCAAGCAACACCAACGTGGCCGCTGTGCTGGCCGTCGTATCGGACTCCAAGAGAGTGGGCGCAATCCTCCAAGAGGACAGCATCGTACTTGTCGCATAGGGCCTTGATGGCGTTCATGTCGGCAACCTTTCCTCGCATGTGCGAGATCATCACATGGTTACAGTCAGGATTTTCCTTGAGTTTCAATTCAAGGTCTTCAAGATCGATAACGTGGTCGTAGTTGGATTCAACATAGACGGCCTTGCCGCCAGCATGTTCAATGGCACTAGGGACAGCTCCAAAAGTGAAAGCGTTGCTAATTACCTTGCTTCCTTCAACGACACCGGTTGTCTTGAGCAAGAGCATGAGGGCAGAGCCGCATGAGTTCAAGCCAACACAGTACTTGAAGTTGGTGTAAGCAGCAATTTCCTTCTCGCACTTGCTGACAACGGACTCTTCTCCCTTGTCGATGTTGTATCGGTACATGCGACCAGTCTTCATCAACTCCAAGGCTTCTTGTTGACCGGCTTCAGGAACTGGATCAGGGGTCTTGATGTCACGGGTAACATAAGCACGGTCCTTGAGCCTGCAAAAACAATTAAAAAATTATTACAAGAGGTCCAGGTCAGATAATGCCGAAGAATTTGTCGTTGGATGGGACATAAAAATAAAACTATACTCACGTGTTAGCAGCAATTTTCTTGCCAGTGTCCATGGGGTTGGTCAGCAGGGCATCGGTAGATGCCATGGCCATGGACAGAAGGGCCAAAGTCGAAAGGCTGAATTTGAACATCATGTTGTTTGTTGTAAGAGGGGCGATGGAAATGAAGGCAGAATATTATGCTCACGAAAAGTTGTGATAAAAAAGTGGAAGGAAGCAATCCAATGCTTTTCGTGGCTTCTGGAACGTACCATATCGTAGTTCTCTGCCATTGGCGGTTGCAGGGCGAAGAATCCAATTGAGAGGAATTTCGACCTCGTCCGAAGAGAGGACAGACGACCTCTACAGCAGAACTGCCCCCCCTCAGCGCTTTTTCTTGGGCAAGTCGCACGTTCCTTTTGGGGTAGCACTTGAAAAATTTCTTTTCTCATAAAAGCATCATTTTCAACATTTTTAAAGCAGAACATTTCTTTTTTGTTATTCAGATTTTGAACCTTTTCTCTTCTAATCGTGTAAATCCAAAAATGTACCAAAACAATGGGTTTTATATATCGCAAGGTTTAACATGGATATTTTGCTTCCAACAATGCTTTGCGATGTTCTTGCCTCCTCTCGTCGTACCGGTACTCCTGTTCGGTTGCTCGACCACATCAGCATTGGGTGACGATGAGAATATCAAATTCATGTAAAATTTGGAAAAAAGTTATTTCAAGAACGGAAAATGATTGACTCAATTTTTCAGCTATTCTTCCTCTAGCTATTCTAAGTAGTCTAGTACAACCTTCATATTCTCGAAAACTAAGAGAATTTGTGATCTTTCCTTTTTACTCTGGTGAGCTGCACTGGGCCACGTTCCGGGGTCTTACGCACGATGGCCGGCATACCATTCAACGTGGACAAAACTTCAAGAAGATGCTTTGATGTGCCTACCATCCAGTCCATTCAACGTGGTCAAAACTTCAAGAAGATGCTTTGATGATTTTCGTAATGTCTCAATCGTCTCATCAAAATCAGACCAATGATGATGGTTGCGTGCAACGAGGTCTTGCTTCGTCCGCCTTATCTTACTTGCGAATTGGGGGCCACGAATGCAAGAAGCATCATGAGTTCTCATCTGCCTGGAGGCGTGGTGACGATCTCCCTTTTGTCTGCATTGGCCGATCCTCAACTCTATCCTCAAACTGAACAAAATCGACCGCCGCATTGGCTTCTGCTGAGGTGATGGCTGTGTTTGTATTCCGAGCAGATGTGCTTTGTTCATCAGAACACTGATGAGGAAATGGACAAAGAACAACTGGACAAAGAGGGATCCAAAACGTGATGGTTATTGCTAGCTACGGGTAGGAATGTTCTTCTGTTTTGGCTTGGCCAGCTATGCATTGCTGGAATACTGGTGGCCAGCTATGCATTGCTGGAATACTGGTACGCTTTGTGTAGTCAAGCCGTTTCTGACGGTAGGGACCAGTACGGTACAAGTTTTTGTTGAGGTCGTTATCAGGGCGTCAACACGGAACCTGCAGAAGACAACCAAGCAATTGAAAGCAAGATGCGTTCAATCATACTGGCAAGCACATGGCACCGCTACGGTACCGGTACCGGTACAGGCCAGCTTTCCTGGAGCAACCTTGATCCACCTCAATGACAGTTGTTGGAATGTCTGGTGGGAATCTTTTCGCCTTTGTAATGGATCGGCATCTTGTATCCTCAAATGCAAGCAAGGAAATGAAAGCGGCTTCTGCATTGCTAGCTAGATTGGTTATCGGTCCGCAACAAACTTCGCCCTCACGCCTCGGCCTTGCACCTTGCAGTGGATCCAATCCTGTTGTAGTCATGTATCATTTTTGGACTCGTCAATCCTGAGTGACGTCAGCTCAGGGAAGAATGTAATCGAATGATCAATCGAATCGAATGGATCCTCTCAATCCCAAACAACGATGCGACCATGGCCGTAAAGTGCCGTAGACCACAGAAGCATCAAGAAGTCCCAAATACACCACCAACGTTCTTCGACCAGTTTTAAAGTTGCTTCCCTGTAAAATTCCAGTAGCTAGTACAGTACTACTCATTTGGTGCCAATGTCGTCCTCCAGGTTGATCCAGCGACTGCTGTCGAGGTCTTTCAGACGAACCCGACCCATTGCTTCCGTACCGTCGTCAAGCCTACCTTGCGGAGCATCAGAACTCTTACCAGGGAGCCGACAACAACAACAGCAATGGCGCAGCATGGTGGTGGTGACTACTACGAATGCGTCAGATCCTCCATCCATTCACAGCAGCGACGATTCCGACAATGCTGCTGCTGTCAATACTTCGTTTGATGCTATTGTGAATGAAGACGAGCGTTTGACCATCACACCCAGTTGTGTGCGACAAGTCCATGCCTTGTTGAAGCGACGAAACAAGTCTGCAGACGAAATGTTCCTGCGTGTCTTTGTCGACGCTGGAGGATGCTCTGGTTTCACCTACCAGTTCGAACTAGACGATGAGTTGGTCGACGACGAAGATATCATTTTCGAACCACAGGGAGCCAATGGCGCCAGAGTCGTCGTGGATGAAGCCTCCCTGAACATCATTCACGGATCCAAGATTGACTATGTCCAAGAAATGATCAAGAGTGCCTTTGTTGTCGCTGACAATCCACAATCGGAGAGCGCATGTGGCTGTGGCAGTTCCTTTGCCGTCAAGAACTTTGCGTCCAATCCTGCGCTGGATTAGTTAGGACTACATCTAAGATGTAGTGAAAATTCAACTATCCGTGGGACGAAATCGAAGCAAATGACCTGATGCTCAGTTGACAAAATCCTCGGTTTTCAGTGAAAGTCGAATCGAATCGCCACACTGTGATTGTACTAGTACCGTAGTTTGAAAGTAGCAGATGAGTAGACTCATGCAGTCGGGACAGGAATAATGTAAATAATAGGATAGAGCAGTTCCGGTACCGAAGACTTGGGTACCCCATGTTTGATTGCCTTGAGACGTTCTTGTGTTTGAAAACCCCTACAACCTACAAACGCAATTCCCAGCAAGTTCTTGCGACAACAAACTGATGCTGCGTTGTCAGCCACGACGATCGCACTGTTGAGTAGATTAGACTGTCACTCCGCACAAGTGTTTGGTTTTGACAATCTTCTGCGACAATTCTGACGTGAGGCAGTTCACGGCGATCAATACATACATGTATTCAGTTGCGAAGACCAAAAGCGAGAACACTTGGACCTCTGCGTTCCTGTATCGGCAAGAATGCAATGGTTGTGTCTAGCAAAAGTGCAGTCGACTCAGTCTAACGTTCCACAATCGCACAGTCATGTCACCCACCAGGCAGCTGGCAACTACCGTACCAGTACCTAATCTGATAAACTAGAGACCCAGCTGAAGCTACATCTCAGACTTGAACCAAACTAACAACCCAATGCGTACTAATTTGGAAGAGTCCTCAATGCCTTTAAAAGTTTCTTATCACCATAGCTAGCTAGCATTTTCACGTCAGCACCATCTGCCGGGATTTCGCAGACCAAACAACCCTCCATTGTGAAGGTTTTGCTGAGCTCCAACTCAATAAATTCTTTCCTATGGATTGAGTACATGTACGGTACGGTAGCATTTCGGTTTCGTTTTCATCGCGTCTATTCTTGCAATTCCTTCAAGAGATTTCAATTGAGTTCGTCTATTCGGCCTTTTCCAGTGGCAGCCCCTTCAATAATTGAGCCTTGGTTGTCGCGCATTTGGACTTGCATTCTGGCAAACACTCTGAGCGCGACTTTTGTTCGACTCCCTTGGGTTTGGTGCAATCGTACATGCATTGGGACAGGCATGATTCAAATTCAGGATCTTTCTTGGTGCCTTTCAACGCGGGATCGACATCCTTGGCGAACGCAGGAGTCGATGATAACAAAGTCGTTGCCAGCGTCAATTGTAGCCATTGAGCACGGGATATGGCACCACCATTATTATTATTGGTATCTGAGAGTGTGGCTTGTAGTGGGCATTGTCTCGTCCTTCCACTGGAATGATCGTGAATGTTGAAAGCTGCAACAGTCAGGACTGTAAGGCAGAGAGAGACAAAGATGTTGTTCAAGAGCTTCATAGTGACTACAGTATTCTTGACTGGCTTGCAATAGAATAAGGTTTGTTGGAATCAATCAATCCATCAACACCTCTTCCATGTCAGCGAAACCAACAAAGGAGATGGACTCGACTCATCGTCTCCTCGCAAAGGATCTCTTCGCGATCTTGGCACCTTGGAGGCACTGACGTTAGTATTCGAAATTATTCGATTGGTAGAAGCTGAAATAATTCGATTTAATCGAATCGATCTTGTACCGGTACCGGTCGCCACGAAACAGAAAACAGAAGCCAAAAGACTCACGCGATGACTTGTTGATGGACAAGTCGGTCAATGAACCCTTCACTTCTTCCTTGAGAACCAAGCAAGGAATCTCCTTTTTAAAAGAGTGCCACCATGAGGACCCCACCCAAGCTTGAGCAAAAGCTGAATGAACTGGAAGAAGAAGTTCGCGAAGCGGAGCTGAACCGCATGAAGGAAGTGGAAGCGGCCAGAGAAGCAGCGGAAGCAGAGATCGAAGCGTACAAACAAAAGTTACGAGAAGAATACAAGAACGACAAGGAACGGCAGAAAAAGTCAGCACAGCAACAGAATTTAATCGACGAAAGTACCAAAATTATTGAATATCTCCGCAAGGAACTGGCCAAACTCAAGGGGCAAAATGAGGGAATGCGAAAGGATTTCAAGGGGCTCAAAGACAACAATCAAAAGCTAATGGGGGCCAATGCATCTGCCAGTGCTTCCTTCACTGCTTTGAATGATCATGCCAAACAACTCAATGTCACCAATGCGGACCTGATTCGAAATGTGGAAGAGTTCAAACAGCAATTGGAAAAGCTCAAAGAAGACTTGAAGACTCGCCAATCCTACTATCTCAGTGAAGCCGAGGCGCGATTGGCTTATCAAAAGACTCTGGCACAAATTGTGGGAACCATCCAAGAAAAGTGCAAGGACTCAAAGTTGGTGGAGGATGTTGTACTCATGGCTTTGGAATGTGAATCGGAAAGCAAAGAGGAGCGGGCTGCAGCGGAGGCGGGGGACAAAAAGTAAGGGAGATGCCTGATTTTGGATTGAAAATCTGTGTTCCGGGCGGGAAACAGCACTGACGACAAAAGGTCCATATATACTACGGTAGTAAAAGCAGTACATTGATTAATTGACAGTCCATAAACCGAGAGTGGAGGTGGATTATGGGTGTGTGGACTTGTAGCTTACTCGAGCTATGCATTGTTGCAATCATCTCCGACGTGCATGGAGAGGCGTCATTCTGCTTGGATTCTATTATGGCGGGCATCTATAACTGCGTTGATGTCTTCCTGTATTTCAAAAAATGTACCGTACCTGGTATTTGGGTGCCTAAGGGAGCAGAGGTTCCCGTTGATGTGCTTATCAGTTATATTGCTCCACCCCAAGGCACTGCGCAGCCTCATGCTTAAGCAAGTTTTCCTTAGCTTTACCTTTTGTGTGCGTGGTTGCTCGTGGTGTCTCCGACAACAGCACGAGCAACACCAAGATACGCCAGAGGCCTCACCTGAAACGATTTCCTGCGTGTATCCAGTGCACTCGATTGTGAATCATCCATTATCGTTCTTATGATACACGCACAACCGTATTATTGGCTACCTGGTACCAATGCACATCATACATGGCTACATGGCAAAGTTTCCTTTTCGCAAGCACAGCGAACAAACGGGCAGTGCCTCTAATTTACACGACGAGCAACGCCGACATTATTTATCATCGCGAGTGATATCTCCATTACACCGAAATTGAATCCGACGGCTCGATCAAATCCATCCCTCCAAGACGGCTTTCACGATCTTCGCCGGTGTGGCGGAAAACAGAGCTCACAGGGTTCGATGGCGCTCCATCGTCGTCGATATCGTCAACGTCCACATCTTCAATGGCTGAAAAATAGGAGGTGTTTCCAGAATCGTGACCTGTTCTTGTGAAAAGAGGAATTGTGCCGGGCTTCTCCAGGGTGGACGTACTGTCGAATGACTGGCAAGCTCGGTTTACCGTCACCGACCCTACAGGGCCTCGTGAAGCAGCAACACTGGGTGGAACATCCGCATCAGCCTCTTCGTCAATTCTGTCAGATGTGGCCATGATGTCCCGCTGTTGGTTGCCACCGTGGGCGGCGTGCTCGTCGATGTGCAGCTCCCTTTCGAGATCTTGCTGGTTCATTCGAACACACACAGTAGGACCCCAATAGGACAAGAGAACAGGCAACAGAATCAGGCCATGACCAATGCCAAGCGTTACCATGGCGATAAAGGAGATAAACACAGTCTTGAGAATCCCACTGCTGCTGAATGCCAAGGGGACAACGCCAAGACAAGTCGACAATCCACCGACAAGAATCGACGCTCCCATGGTGCGCAAAGTGTCTTTGACTTTCGCTTCTCTTGTCGTCTCGGCCGACTCATAGTAGCGAAGAATAATGTGCATGAGGAAGTCAACTAGGAGCCCAATTGAAATGACCAGACAGACATATGTCAAGGGATTGATGGCCAACCCCGCGAATTGAATGGTTCCAAGGAGGTCCACGTATAACACCATGATCAATGGTGTCACAAACATTGTGGCAGACCAATGCGGGATCAACAAGAAGCCAATCGCAGTGATGGCGATCACACCCGATATCGTAGTGAACTAGAGATGTGACAAGCGTGAAGAAGTTTTGGTGAGATTACGAACACCAAAAACCCAATCGATGCGCTAATTGCCTTTGCTACCCACCTGTAATTCAGCCACGACAACCGTGTAGAAGTCCCATAAAAAGAAAATGGATTCAAATGCGAAGAATGGCATGTCGTCTTCTCGACCTTGGTTCACTGTTTGGTTCATTGACACTCTGTGCAGATCTGCCAGGACTTGGACTTGCTCCCTTACGACTTCCACGTTCAAGTCCTGGAGCGAAAACCAGCATCGCGAGGTTTCAATGGTACCATCAGGGTTAAGCGCGATGTCACCGCCATAAATATCGTAAACCTCCGGAATGGACATGAGAACATCAAACCGCTCATAGAAGGTCCAATTGTTCTCGAAAATGAACGAGTAGTTCGCAAAAGCTTCATGATTGCCGTCAGCGACATCTTTGAAGTCTCGGAACCAACAGGCCTCGGGTTCCTTTTGGAAATGTTGAAGCCTTGTCACCTCGTCAACGTACTTTTGCATTTGCTCCTGGATTTGTGGATCGCTCTGATCGACATAACGAAAGTAAACCGGTATTCGAAAAGTGGAAACAGTGTACGCAGACAGTGCATTCACGTAGGCCAAAGCGTAAGAGTCGGTTGGCAAAAAATCAGAGGCTCGAAAGGATTGAACCAGCTGGGTAGAACTGTAGATACAGGCACCCAAGAAAGCTGTAAAGCCGATCAGAACAAAGACTTTGGCGCACGGATGCATAAGTTTATCAGCATACCAGTCCATGAATCTGTCAGCCCAATGTCTGTCTTCCATGGGAACTCCTGAAGCAGGGGAAGATTCATCTTGTGATGCTAGCTCATTTTGCCGCAGTCGAATGGCAGAAGGATCGTCAGAATCATCGTCTTCAGTCATGACTCTCGATCGACCCGATGATGATGGAGGGCCGCTCAGAGCAGAAGAAGCTTTCTTGCTGTGTTCTTGGGGGTTGCCGTTTTGGAGTGGTCTCTTGCTGCTATCCGACTCAGAAGAATCGGAATCACTCGGCTTGGCAGAGGACGGGGAGGAAACTGTGAAACATATACAGCAGTCTCTGCGGTTGGCCTTGATGCGTTCTTCATCAAGCACCAAGATGGCTGTTTGTTTGAAATAGAGTGAAGTGTGAACATGTATGTTAATGAGCTCCTGTTGACAGACAAGCGCCATCTTGGACGCATCCCTTGAAAACAAAGAGCAAACTTACCGACAAAGAACGTAATTTGATAAACATAATCAATAAAGATGGTTGGAGCTGCATAGATACAAAGCCATTGAATGGAGGGGATGGTGGAGATGAGGCCCATCAAGAAAGCGACGGTGGTTGTGATAGTTGTCAAAGAAATGGAGTTGCCGACTTCTTCCATTGTTTCACGGATTCGCTCCACTGTTTCCTTGTTGGGGTTGGTTCGGAAGTAGGCCCCCGTGATGATAAAGGTATCGTCGAGCCTGCGCAGCAACAGCACAAAAAGGCAAGCAAGAGACATGTAAGACGGAGAAGGAGAGAGAAGCAAACCCCATTGGCAACAGCCGCTCGTGTTCTTCTTACCCGACACCAAATATGACAAAGGGCAGAATCTGTGTCATGCTGGTAAATGGAACTCCAATGGCAAAGCACATTCCAAATCCCGTCATGATGGACATGAGAATGGTCACCACGGATCCAATTCCGACCATGGACCTGGACTTTACGGGGTCGTTTCGGTAAAAGACAAAGCACGTAAAGCCAGTCATGATGAAAAAGACTAATGGGATCAACGGAATATCGTCGGCAATGGCTCTCACGAGCTCGTCGCCCAGGGAGCGCATCGTGAGGAATTCGAGTTTGTAGACATTTCCTGGTTCGTCGGCCCATTCTTTTCGTAGCTCTCGTAGCGCATCAATCACGGCGGATTCGACTTTCGGGGTGAGCGACACCTCTGTGACTTGGCCAAACACGTCCTCCTCCTCGAGTTTGACATCGGGTAAACCAACGTAGAGAACGATCATTTTGGCCTCGAAGATCAAGCCCGATTTTGGGTCTCGTTGGCTCCTGCCCATGAAGAAATCATGAAAAAAGGGTGTTCCCTCTGACGTAACATTCTTGGAGATGGTTTCTATAACGACTTGGTCCGATCCTTGAGTCTCTTGTCGAAATAGTGTGCTATTTTCGTTCCAAAAGCTCATGAGTCCATGGCTCTGACAGTATGGCGCTCCAAGGTCGTTTGTTTTGGGGCTGTAGGAACAAAGGTCCTGTACTTCCGGCAAGGACCGGATGAAATCGACTGCCATAAAGGCCCGATTGACGACTTCATATCCGACAACATTGTCGCCATTGCGGTGAATTGTGACGGCAATGCCGCGTTCTCCCTCGGGGAATCCATCTACATTGCTGACGTAGCGACCATGTTGCCGAGAGAGGGCATCTGTGGGAGCAAACATGGCTTCTTCATTGGCTTCCACATAGAAATTGGTGAAGAAACCTGTCGCAATCACACCCAAGCTGACGCACAGGACGATCGCTATACAGGACCTCGGATTTCGCGCCGCTCGAAGACTGACGGCCAAGACGAATTGACAAATGGCATAGTGAAGCCATTGCGTACACTTGGTCCATTTGTCGACTGCGCATTTCAGAATGCTGTCGTCTTTTGACGAGGAGGAGGAAGGCGGTGTTTGTCGACCGCCGGATGCTTGTTGTTGTTGTTGTTGTTGTAACGGCTGCATGGACTCTGATCGATTGATGGTCTGTTGTGTCTCTTGCCGTATTGAGAACTCGTCGTAAAAGAGGGATCTCCCGCTGGGATCTTCCCGAGTGCTTCGAGTGCTTCGACGGCTGGTGTCCATTCTGTTGTGGTTGTTGTTGGTGTGGCTGGTTTGGGTCTTGGATTGCGAAGAGCACGTCGTCTTGTTGGATCCAGCCTTGCTGGTTCTTTTTCTTGTGGTTGCTTCGTCTGGGTCTTCAGCTACTAGTAGAGAAGACGATTGCGACGAGAACAAGGAGGAAACTTCTTTATGAAACTCCAGCGATACTTCAAATCCCACTGGCAAGTCGTAACCACTACGAACGCAGGAAACTTCTGTGGTGCTGCTGGTCAAAGCAGAGCAAGAGGAAGACTCTCGATTCAAGGTAGGCTCAGGCGTGGTTGCGCGATTGCCACTGCTGTCTACTAGAGAGTAGCTCTTACTACTTTGACTGCGACTGTTGCTGGGTGGTGCGTTATGGTCGTTGTTTCCACTTTTGGGATTGTGAGAAAGCAGTCCAGTCAAATTGCTTTGTTGGGTTACAGCAGCACAACCACCAGTGTCGACTGCGACAACGCTGTTATGGTGGTCCTGAGAAAAAACAGGAAATACAATTCCCACTGTCCTGGTGGTCGCTTCGTCACCACCTCCAGCTACCGGTACATGTTCGGGCGTTCCCGTCTTCATCCAGCTTTCATGTTTCACCATTCCGCTGCTGCCCTTTCGACTAAAGTAGAATTTTACCCCGTGGACGATCCCACCAAATAGGTCGAGTGAACCACCAAATAGGTCGAATGAACCGACAGTTCTCTAATCTCACACCATCCTCTAAATTATTCTTTTATTAAGAAATGAAGAAAACTAATGTCACAATGGCAGTTTTGCCGTTGACGGCGTTCCAATTAGCTCTATTTAGAGATTTTGCGAGAACATGTTTTCAAAGCATCTGAGAACGACATGGCTAGCCAAAACAGCTGGTCTTTGAGACAAACTCGGATTTATGGATAAAGCTGTTTTCAATGCCTTTTGATTTTATTAAAGCAAAGTGCCTTTTTCCGGATGTGGGACCGACTTCTATGATACAGTTACCGGAGCCAAGCTCAGGGCGGAAGCATGCCTTCACAGCTTCCTGCTTCCAGGTGTAGATGGTTGGCTCATGCTGACTTACTTTTGCGTAGCCGCCACGGTTGCACCCATGACCGTCGTATGCAGCTCGATCTATGCATACAGTACCTGCACTGAACTTTTCCCGTACCGGTACATTGAGGGTCCGAACGATCTCTATCAGCCAAGTCCTTCTGTACCGGTAGGATCAATCCGTCTGCATGGATGGTTGTGGACCAATGTTGTGCTGCACTTGCTAGCTTGTAGCCATCGTGGACTAACTAAACCATGACCGTCTCTACATGCAACACTTTCTGGCTCTACTGGTAGCTACAGAAAAGTCACAGTGACCACCGCCAAAGGCGAGACATCAACCGTACGTATGTGCAACTCTCGTACCTCGTACCACTGGCACCAGCACACACAGGGACGGCTGCGCACCTCCCGTATTACGGTTGAGTCGATCGCTACCGGTACCCGTACACCACTTAGCTGCCTTCGAGTGACTCGACTCGACTCGACTCACGCTCGGAAGAGGTGCACCCAATCAGGGGAACACTACACTGTATGCATACGGTACCAGTAATTTGAAGCAAGAAGTCGTGTCAACCTGTTTCTTGTTGGATAGCATGTTGCTTGGTGCTGGAGCGCAAGGAGCTTGACTCTGCACCAGCACAAACGGAGCTATCACTTGGAGCGACGGTTCCAGTGAACTACGCGATCAGTGTAATCAGATGGCAGTTACAGAAAACTCGGAAGCACCGCGGACTCGCTCGCCGTCATAGCTTCGCCAAGACTCCACTGCTCAGATCTTTGTCATCCCCAAACTTTTGCGAAGGATCCCTCCTCACTCCGTTTCCTCCCTTCCACGGCAATCGTTTCTTTCCTCTGAACATTGCGAGGGAACCCCTCTATTCTGCAACCACTTTCCGTCCAAGCGCTGAGTTTTTGTGTTCTTCATGGTCAAGGCCAAGCAGAGGCAACTGAGGGGGGTGTCATGGCCGTCATGGCTGGACTCGGCACGGTGCCTGTATCGTTCGTTGACGCCTCCGTGTTGAGAACTGGCGCAGACAGCTGCACTAAGAGTCCCGTTGCCTGCACGATGCTCACTCGTCCTGTCGTCACCGCTGATGTCTCTGCACTACTACGGTACGGTCATACAGAATACAACAACCACGGTCTGATTCTTGTAGACGATATCAAATAATGTTTCGAGGGCCTCTTCGCGATTGTTGACGAGAAACTACGTAACCACATGAAACAAAGTGTTCTAAAACGAAAAAGTACCTCGAGTTTGTGCTGGTCAGTTGGAGGTGAAAATGCACTCCCAACCTTGCCTACCGGTAATACAGTGAAACAAGTGGCTCGTTCAGACCACTACAACTCCTTCAGGCCTACCTTTCCACCACCTCCGCTTGTCAAGGAACTACAGGTACCGAGCAAGCTTCCGACATCTCGTCTCAGCAATCTAGGGAAGATCATGCAAGTGTACATTATTCAGTTTATGGCGAGTTTGTTGTGTCAATCAATGCAGTGCAATGAAAGCTGTGTACATTGCTTGCTGGTGAGTGCTGGAGTTGACGCGTTTACACTGCACGTTCTGGGACACAAACGCTTTCACGGAAGCATTGCGTGCCTCTCAAACGACGTAGTTAGCCCTCTAATAGGCCCGTTGGCTGCCTAATCAGTTAATGAGGTGAAGCACCCCCACTGAGGTAGGCATTGATCATTCCTCCACCCCTGAACGCATCTGCAGTTCCTGCCACACACGCATCCTTTTCCTCTTGTGACCATGTAGCTGCCATAGCTTCAATGCTCTCTTTGACACGCCCCTTGATCTCGTTGAGATCACCATCCCACTTTGTTAGTAACAGGGCGACAAAACAGGTTATTAGTGATATCTGAGAACCTGATCAACGAAAAGATCAAACAAAAAGGCTTGACCAGGGTTACCTTGTAGAACTCGAGAGTCTTCTTTTCTAGCAACAAAGCACTCATTTGTTTCCCGATCATTCTTCCGCCAGCGGTGTGGGCGAAATAAAAATTGTAGTAGTGACACATGAGTTCTGGAATGGATCCGTCTGCAGCAATCTCTCTCAGCTGTGTTGCGTAAGTCTTTCCAAATTCTCCCACTTCTGGCCGCGACAAGCCGTATTCCTTGACCATGAACTCAATATCCGTTTCCAGCGCCTCTGTTCGTTCCAGACCAGTGTTCCGAAACATTTCCAGTGCTTCATTTTCATTCACAATATCTTCCAAGGCCTCGTAAACATGCTTGGAATCCACCAAAAAGGCGAGATAATCGTCCCTGGTTGGAGTGTATGGTTTAGCCGGTTTCTTAACTTCCACTTGACCCTCTTTGGGGGCTTGTTGTTTCGTATGCAACTTCATCGCTGCTCCTCTGAGCTCTGTCTCAATAAACCCTCCAGCCGTCGCCGTGGCGGGGGCAGCAGACAAGATTACCAAAGAAGGCAATGATGGTCGGACGGAATGTACAAAAGCAACATTCTGTCGATGAACACCTATTCGATGTTGTTGCAATTCGCTAAGTTTCTTGGAGGTGGAAAAGGCGGATACTACCGACTGATTCTCGACCAGGATACTCAGGCAGAGAGCTGCCAACAGTTGGGTTTGTCCTAATCTCATTTTTCCGTGCTCAAAACTTGTGGCTCCTTGAAACTACTACCCGTTGCTCTTTCTTCTCGTGGGGAATCGTCAACTCGATCGACAGCAAACAATGTAACTCTCACAGCAGCAAGAAGTGATAGCTCGTTGCTGCCATGGCCGAAAGAAGAAGAACATACAGCAGACGTCAGACTCACCCAAAAAGCTCCACGATTGAAAGCCTCACTTCAACTTGGGTGGATAACTCTAACCCCAAGCAAATGGTGCGGGAGTCGAAACAGTCATGAAAGAGAGAGGCAACGCAAAGTTTGGCCAGCTAGTCGACTGTAAGCCCCAGCTCCGCCAATAATGGCGACCATGGACAAGAACATTCAACTACGCTTAAAACCCATGGACATTGATGGCGACGACCAAAAAACGAATTCAGAGTTTAAAAGCTGGAAGCCCCCAAAAGCATTCCAAATCTCACTTCTCTTTTGCATGCCGCGGCAGGAAGCCTGAAAACGCTTTTGAAACACAAACAATGATCCAAGACCACCAATGAGTGCTACTGAGAATGATTACTTCACGGGTTCTTTCGCGACCTCATCTCCCCGTTCTTCTGCGCTTCCCCGCTACGACGAGACCAATCAGTCTCCAGTACCAATGCCAACCGGATATGGGAACTCAGCCATCCTGATAGTCGTTGTCTTTCTAATTGCCATTGCCGCTTCCATAACCATGGGTATTATTCTGTTCTTTTCGCGTCAACGCAAACTTGAGAATGTAGAATACAAAGGTACGAGATGCTTCGTTTAATCAATATTGGGCCAGCAAAACAGCCGAGAAGCTTCCTAAGCTCTTGCATGCATTCCGCCCTTTTGCCCAACGTAACAGCCACAGCAGAAGATCGCACTGAAGCTTCCGATGCTTCCATTGCTGCCGACATGGTGGACCATGCCTTGATTGTCACGGTACGTCGTCATGTTGTTTTCGTCTGCAGCCTGTGTCTTCAACAAATTTGGCGCTCACCAAACCTCTCAGGAATGGAAGCCAGCGAAGCGACGGATCTGCAAAGGTCGACCCATCGGTATCGAAAGCGAGACAATTGACTTGGGATCTACTAGTATCGAGTCGAAGAGACCAAATTTTGTTACGACGCTCTTTGAAGAGTCTCGGGGCTTTGGTACCTTTGTGGGCACCGACGATACCTGTAGTATGGGGAGTCACGACGAAGAGGACGACGATCTGGACGGTATAATCGGCCACTCAGTAGATCTAGTTCGTGCTGGGGTATTCAAGCGAACGTTTGAACTCATGAAGACTCAGTCTCGTTGCGTTCTCTGCAGTGTTTGCTATGAGGTGGGGGACAAGGTTTCTGTTTCCAATAATCCAACTTGTGATCACCAGTATCACCAGGCCTGCATCCTTCGCTGGCTCAAACGAAAGTCAGTCTTGTGCCCTGTCTGCAAGGAACCGTACATTGAACAACATTGCGGGCTCGGGGTGGCCAACCGCATCGAGTCAAGTATTCTGCTCTAATAATAAACGCTCGAGCTAGCTAGCTACAACTTCACGTACGAAGCAAGGGGTGCAGCCCCAAAATGCTAAACCAAGCTATCGATCCAGGAGGAGCTCGATTCGCTCAGTCGTTTTGCACAATGTCTCGCACTCGACATTGGCCCTGCCAACAAGAAGGCTTCAAAATAGTGGCTCTCTCGAGTGACCACGAGTCACCAAGCATCCAAAGACATCCTCGGTCCTTGGTTCCCTCGTCTTGGTTTGCGATATCGGTGGGCTGCTATGGTGGGCGGTGGCAGTGAGCGAAGCGCCTGGCTTTCCACTTGGGCGAATACGTACCGGTAGATCGAATCATTCAGTGCTTCCGCTGGGAGCGGGTGCTTTGTATCAAGGGAAAGCCTCCATCTGTTGCTTCCGACTCGAAGCTTCGTCTTATCATTAGTGTACTTCTTGACGGCCTCTGCATCCGTACGGTACGGTACCCTAGACTACTGAATTCGGTGCCGGAACGATCGAAGCGCGACGTATCGACACATCAACTTCTAGAGGTTTGTCTTCGTATGTGTTTGCGAGACTCCACATCGAAAGGCCGGCCGTTTACTACTGTACGCCACCTTTGTCGATACCAACGGCACGATTGCAGTGGACAAGAAAAAGCAAGGACTGCTTCGTGCGGGCACGGTTGCTGTCATCCGCCAATTGGATATGTGTAGCTAGCTATCTATCCTCGTTTGTCTTTGGAGATCTTCTTCCGGGGCACGCATACTCCATTTATAGTACCATACGTATCGAGTACCGGTAGCTAGCGCGGACTCTTTCTGCAGCCACGCTTAGTAGCAGGCCGTGGCTTTCAAGGAACCAAACCGGAGTCTCAGTCGATTCAAACCGGCATGGGCAAGTATCATACCCGGGTAATAGCGAGAATATATTCAACAGCCAGGAGCCAGTGAAAACAATGACAGCCGACAAGACTAAGAATGATTCCGCCCTCGATCAAGCTTGGGCTAGGATCTAGGCAAGCACTTACAAGAGGTCAAACCAGGCTACTCTATCTGCACTTTGACTCATCGAGCTAAAGGGTCTTGGGGCACCCGGCCGAATTCATTCCTTCGGTCTGTGGGATTTGAGCGCAGCCCGAGCCGAACGGCAGAACTTTTTGTTGACACTTGGCCATTGGCTGCTGGCTTGAGAGAATAACCAGTGACGAAGGCTGAAGAAAGTCATTCCAGAAATGTCAAAGGACATCACTTGTGGCAATGCCTCATTTATGTCTGTTACTCGAACCTTTCCTGTCTCCAGCAGCTAGAGTATACTTATAGTCTTGCAATTGTTTAGCCCAAAGAGTTTATGCATGCTAGAGAGTTGTACAGAACGATGACCTTTTGGCTTGTGGCTGAGCCTCGCTACCGGTAGCTACTAGCTATGGTAGCAACTAAAATATCCCAAGCAGTTTTATGTTGAATCTGTCACGGTGGCCGATTAGGCACAAATCGACTGATGTTGTGTGCAAGCGAACTGGCGCACAATTTTGGTGGATCTCTTCGAAGCTGACGAACTATCTTGCCTTCCTCACACATCTGTACTTCACTTCACTGCCAACAAAGGAACCAACAAAGGAACCACCAACCACCTCCACTATGAGCTCTTTCGTCGATAGCCTAACCCGAAGACTGGATGAAGAGGTGATTACCATTACGGATGACAGATTCGTGGAGGAAGAATTTGTTGTGGTGGAAGATGACGATTGGGAAGAAGACGAATACGAGCTGCCAGTATGGATTGCCATGTTGGGAGTGATTTTCATATCAACGTCGATTGCTGCATTCGTGTTCTACATGTCGTACAAGCACGAGCTCATCTGTGGCAAACGATCGGATCGTGAGGACGGAGAGGAAGGTACGTTCTCTGTGGGTGTTGTTGTTGGCGATCTCAACCAACGCGAATCCTTCTCACGCACGCAAACTGATCTCTTTCTTGTGCCATTCAGAAGATCAAAAGGTTGCGGAACAGTTGGAACGAGGTCATGGTGCAAGAGTCTCCGTCAAGGTACGTCGCCTTTGGGTCTCCCCTTGTTGTTGAGTGCACACAGAACCTAAGTCTCATCTCTCTTTTGTTCTACAGAAATTCGCCGATGAGGAGGTACCCAACTTTTACGCACTGCCGGAAGGCACGGGGCACACTTCCGGTGCTTCGGTGGAAACAGAAGAATCTTCCTTGGACTCTGGCAGCGATGGCAGCAACAACAACAGCAACAACAAGAACGAAAACCTCCAAAGTGTCCGAACGGCCTCCACTGTCAGTACCAGAAGTTCTGCCAGTGTCAGCAGAAGTTTTGCGGCACTCGTCACAACTCCACGATGTGTTCTGTGCTCCAAATCCTTTGCCGATGGAGAGGACGTCGTTCATTCCAATAATCCAGAATGTCATCACGAGTATCACAAGACCTGTCTTGTCAAGCACTGGGCAAAGGCAAAGGGTGGGGTACACGGAAAGTGCCCCGTCTGCAAGGAGACATTCCATCCCGATGGACAAGAAGAAGAAGAAGGAGGAGAAGGGCATGATGTACATGCTTAAACAATCTGCAGTATTTGGTGTTGTGGGGTGCATTACAAACCAAAAAAGCTTGACGGGACACAATCAAGCATGCTGGAACGTACAATGGCCCATCCACAACCCAAATTTGACAGAAATCAAGAGGGAGCAACTTCTTTGCTGCTGTTAGACAAACCACTCATCGTGTCGTCCGACTCTTCCCAACCGGATGCGTGAGAGTGGTTTCCTTGTTGCATAGCTTAACTTGTTTACATTAACAACTGAATACTAATAACTAATTTCTAATGTGAAAGTGTGATAGGCTGGTCTTCTGCCATGCCATTTCCCACCACAGGTGACCTACTCTGCCCAGCTTAGCCGCCACCCGCTCCATATTAGCCCGCAAATGGCAGGGAGGTCATTCCCAGTTACCGGAAAATGAGCAGCGGGAGAAGCAAAAATATCCCAGCGACCGGAACATTTGCGGGAGAAGCAAACCTCTTTAACGCCTTGAAAGATCCAACCATCTTGCTAGCTAGCTACGGTAGCTATCTAAGCTTCAAGTCTTTGCTTGAATGAGTTCGAATCTATGGCTGGATGTACGGTAGTAGCTAGATCTACGTTACATGTAACTCCTGTCGTTTGCCGGACTGATCCTTCGCTATGATCCAAAAAATCCAGGACCGCTAGCTACGGCAGGCAGGGGCATTGATTGCTCTGTGCAAGTCTATACATTAGTGCTGGCTGCAGTACTAGCTAGCTATTGCACTGCCTTAGCAATTGCGGCTCCATTCTGGAGGCAACTCGGCAGTGGTGAGATCACGAAAGCCCGTCTTTCGTCGTAAGGGCATATCAAGCCATTCTGACAACACCTTCGGTGGGGTTGCCCGTTGCAGTCGGTTCAACACTGTGTTGGACACGAAGCCTTCCCTTCGGCACTCGTCAAAAGCGTAAAACAGGCATTTGCCTTTCAATTCCTTGTCACTCAGAAGATTGTTGCAGCACTTGAACCAAAAAGCGTACGTGTAACTGTCCGGGGATACGTACGGAGACTGTCTCATTTCTTGATATGTTTGTGTCGCCAACTTGAAGGCTTGTGCTTTGTCCTCCAGAGTGTTTGCCGCGCAATTCAAGACATAGTTGTATGGATACGCATTGGGCAGCAATGCTTCATCCTTGGTTTCTTCATAAAGGTCTAGCAACCTAGTCAGCAGTCCCCTAGCCTTGACTATACTTCCACCGCAATTTGCAAGCGTCAGAATCACCATGGTAAACGTTCGGAGATTCGGCCTCATGGATGGGTCACCGGTTTGCTCGTGTACCGAGAATGCCTCTTCCAGCAACTCGAGTACCATTTCAGCAGCATCAGGGTCGGCACTCTTGGAATAGCTTTCAATGACAGATGTGTACGAAATGATATCTGGCTTGCTGCGAAACGAACCACCCTTCATTCGCTGTAGCAAATCATACGCCTTCTTCCCAGCAAATGGATCTGAACTCTTGGCGTACGCATTGATGACCACGTTCTACATCATGACAACCAGAAGCAAGAAGTAACACGAAGCAACAGGAAACAAGATTGAGTGAGCCTTTTCTGCCCCATGAATCGAAGGAGACCATCAGATTGACTCAACTCACGTAATGTCGATTTGTTGGTTCACATTTGTCATCTCCTCGATGCCATAGCATCTCCATTTTTCGCAGAGTCTGTTCCGACTGCTCGGCCAAACCAGGCTCGCCGCTTCGGATCCATGCCTGTGGTGGTAACAGATAGATATTGTCAGTGGTGAACCAACATACAACAAATCAGACACAGGTTGCAGGATCAACAACCATCACTTGCACACATACCTTCATGAGTGTATTGTAGGTGAAACTATCCGGTGAAATGGCAGGTTGTTCGATACAGTTCTCCTCCAAGTACTGAACAGTAGTCCTAATCTCCTTGAGTGCCTTCTTCTTGTTGGGGCTCATGACGTGCGCATGCAACACCGTGTTGTACGATACGACGTCTGGTACCAGGTTCTTGCAGCGTGACAATATATCTTCCATCAACCGAAGTGCTTCCCTGGCCTTTTCAGGTTTTCCAACTTTGGCCCACGCCGTGATTACTCCATTAAAAGCAATCAGCTCCGGTTCGGTGGAAACAAAAGCTCCCTGTTTATACAGTTGCAACATTTCCACCAGCAATTCATGGGCGCGTTCGGCGGATCCCGGGTCGCGGCATTTGGACCACGAAAGTATGGCATTGGTATACGTTTCTGTATCCAGAATGGAGGATTCTGATTGAGTTTGATTCAAACTCTTCATTCGAGCAAAAACTTGGTCTGCCTTCAGGTTCGAACCTGGGGACCCACTCTTGGACCAAGCTTCCAGGCACCAATCATAGCATTGCAACAAGATTGCTGGATCTATAGGATCCCTTTCTGAGAGAGCTTCAAGCTGCTCTAGATACTGGTTGGCCTTTGTTGCGCAATCTCCTGGTTGTCGGTTTGCTTGTTGCCATGACCATGCATGCAACACATGTGCCACGATTTCAGGGGGAACCAGGTCATCTTCTCCCACATTCTCCACTCCTTCCATTCCAAAGACTCCTTCTTCTTGCATTATTCGCAGTAACGAGTCTGCTTTTCTGGCATAGTTTCTCCCCCCACGAGGTGTAGAACAAGTGGCATATGCTTCCAGAACCAATTGGTATGTTTCCACGGAAATGTTGGATGTGAGTGGTCGTAGCTGATTGACCAACTCTTCCAGTTGGTCTGCCGCACAAACTATTTGGCGAGAATCTTCTTTGTTTCTCCATCTCAATCTTTTTCGTTTGAGACATGCCCGCATGGCAATCTGAAATGTTTCTTCCGTGGCAATGCCCAATTGGATCATTCTGTTGAGCATGGTCAACACTCGCTGCACGCCATCCTTATCATCCTCCAGTATTTCGGGTCTTCGTCGACGTTCGAGAGCTGACTTTTCAGCCATTTCAATGACAAGGTTGCTTTCGGGCCGAGACTCCAACACTCGTTTCATGTCTTGATGAAATCGGTCCGTTTGGACAGACGGAGAAATACTGTCCGTGCCGACATCGTCGCGTTGTTCAGATGCAGTAAGGGCTGCGACAGCCAATTTGGAAGCGCCACATTGTGGCTGGAAATAATTTTGGGATCTGCCTGTGAAACCAAAAGCTTTGGCGACATTCAAGGCCAGCAGCAGCGCTGTTGCCGTGGCTAGCTTGGAGAAAAACCTGGTGGATTGTCGCATTATTTGCAAGGAAATAGATGGCCAGCTATTAAAGATGGGAGGAAACGGCTTTGATCCGTTCGATTGCTTCAAGCAGGCAAATGAAAGAGCTTCCTGTGAAAGACACTGATGGTACCGGTTGCAACCTTCTAATAGCAAAACTGAACAAAGTTTCAAAATGATGCCGAAGAAAGAAGCAAGCTAGCAAGCTGCCTTGTGGTGGAGGGAGTGATGTTCTCGATGTCTGACGTACTCATTCCAAATAAGGTTCAGGCTAACGTTCCACGTAACTGGCCATATTCACTAGGGTTGAAGTGACGTACGGACAAAAAACAGACGGTCAAACGAAGGCCACAGAATAAAACTGTCGCGTGGAGGAAACTTGCTTGGTTGCATGTTTGCCCATGCAGTCAGAGATCGTGTTTGGAGATTGGGCCAAAAGATCGCTTCCCACAAGGCTCTCGGCATAGAAGTTTTCTACAGTGACTTACGTAGATCAGTGGGACATTTATTTACGTTTGATGACACAGCAAGAGCGAGCCCGAGCCAAAGTCTGTCTTTGTACCAGGCTTCGGAACTGGAGCGAATTCTGTTGGAAGAGAAGCGAGCGCAAGCAGCACCAGTGCTCTCCTGTTGAAAATTGGTACATTCCTACGTGATCTCAAAGCCAGCCCACCCCCAATGAACCCCACGCAATTCCTACAGCCCCCCGCTACCAGCCAAACCATGCCCAAAGATATGGTTTTTGCGGACACCCAACGACAAGGCCTTCATTTTTTAATCCAGCCACTTTCGTTACCCCTTTATCGCGCTCCTCTCGGTTGCCACCGAAAGCACGAAATAAAGGGCTCCTGTGCGTGCTGCTTCTGTCTCGAGCTCTTTCTCCAGTACCGGATCAACGCACGAGCTACGAGACCCGCAGGACTGCAACTCCGTCTAATTGGAATTTTCCTGAAAAAATTATCAATTTGCGGAATCTAAATTGGCCTATTCCAAGTAAGTTTCCCCTATTCAACCGGAGGCAATGAATAGGAAAAAAGGATCTGCATTCCGTTTTGTTGTTATGGCGGCAACTACGTGCTGAATGCTGCCGCCATGGTGCTATCCCGAATCAAATTTGTCAGCTTCTACACTATTGTTTATCTATCACAAGCGCATGTATGTAAAGCACACGCCTACAGTCGAGCGCAACAAGAGGCGAAATCGCTTCACTAAAAGCACAAACCGCCATGGTCGCATTGGATTTTGTGCAAACCAGCGGAAATCAATTCGTGCCAGTTACGATTCGCTTCTGGATTGCCTCTCGTTTTGGACGACCGCTCATTGTTCTGCGTGGTATGTTGCTTTAAACGAATGGTTTTCTGGTTGCGTCTCAGCGGTGCATCAACTGGATGTTGGTGTCGTGCGCTGCTTTGTCCATGGTCATCCTTTGTTGGCTGCTGGCTCGGATCCTTGGTGGCTGCATGCTTGACACCGAAGGGCGAAGATCTTCTCTCTTGGTGGCACCAGGGGCGTCACTTGCATTGGCAAGCCGGCGAGCCAATGATGTCATTGACATTTTTGGAGAAGAATTTGTGACCTCCTGGCGTGTCATGTTCTCGTGCTGTCTGTTGTCGTCCGTGTCATGATTGAGATGGGACTCAATTTCTGTTTGACGGGAATGATTCAACATTCCATCACATTCCTTTTCTAACTCTTGCGCCTCTTCGACCCTTTTGAACCCGGCAGACTTTCGGTACCGATACATTCGACTGGCTACTAGCTAGCAGCAACTCGAGTGCATCATGACGAATGGCGAACAAAGCAATGGCTCGACACCTCCCGGTGGACAAGTGTCGAGGACCCGGCTGGCACGTCTCGTGTCTCGCGAGGCTCTGCCTGAGCTGACTCGAGGTGGTGCGAAGAGCCCTCACTATGTAAGCGGATGCGAGGACAACGATGCATCGCAAGACAATGAACGTAGTGGATCTCCCATGCGATGTGTCTCTGAGTTTGATGCCGTCGCGGCATCTGGCAAGCCAACTGGAACTCACGATGGTTCAGCATGCGTGGCGCCAACACAGCCGAATCCGTTGCGCAATGCTCGATTGCGATCTACCCATGTTAGAGCTCTCCGGTTGGAAGCGGAGCTTCAACCTATGCGCATGATACTTGGACGACTGATGATGCACCCAACCAACAGAAAGGGTCTTTTCAACGCTCCTGTCAATGCCATTGCTCTAGGTCTCATTGATTATCATCAAATCATCAAGCGTCCAATGGATCTTGGTACTATCAAGTCCATGTTATACTCTATCGCATACCAGTCACGCCAGCAAGTTGCTGATGATATCCGTTTGGTGTTTGAGAATGCCATGTTGTACAACCCGCCGCGGAATCTCGTTCACGTGGCGGCCAAGTCTCTGCTGGATTTCTTTGAAGAGCTCTATGCAGCTGTGGGCGGCGACAAGCGGACCCCCACCGCTGTTGCTGCGCGGCGCGTGTCCTTTGCTCAGCAGCAAGTCTGTCTACCAAGTGAACCTGTTCGCGTCGGCCTCACAAGAACCGTTTCTACTGCCAGCACCAACAGCGAGCCCGACACTGCGTTGACGACACCGTCGGACCCGGACAATACTAGTGCCGCTGGTGGTGTCGCCGTTACTGATGGCGTGACAGATGGTTCGGGGAGTGTTTCTCCACCGAGCTGTCGAGTCCAAACCGGAGCCTTTGTGGCTCATGGTGCGGGAGGAAGTCCCAATTCCACGACACGGGCCAGAACCCCACCGGTTGCTTTACTGGCTCCATTGGAACTCAAGAATCAGCGAAAGCGCCGATTGAGTTTTGCTGGCAAAAAAATTCACGGCCACAGCTGCCGATCTTGTCTCGGTCGTACGTGCATGCTTTGCGAACAGAACTGCCTTGCGTTGGAGCCAACGTTGCTTGTATGCAATGGAAGCAACTGTGCTGGGTCAAGGATTCGGAAAGGAGCGACCTACTTCATCGCCAGCGACGGCAGCCGCCAGTACTGCCAACGATGCTTTGCCAGTCTCCCTCCAGTCCTGGCTCAGACTGCGGCCGAAGATGATACTGTTCGCTACAAGCGTGACTTGCTGAAGCGTAAGAATGATGAGGAGCTCGTGGAAGATTGGTTGACTTGCAATAAGTGCGAGATGGGTGTCCATCGCATTTGCGCTCTCCACAACAGTTGCGCAGATTCGTCCAAAGAGTATTCCTGCCCATCTTGCGCCGCGCCACCTGCCAACGTCAATACGCAGGCGACTGCTGCTGCGTCCTCGGGAGCAGTAACCTCTTCTGAATCTGACGTGTACACCTTTGTCACTGGCGCTGGTTGCCCATTGCGGATGTCCGATGTTGCCGACCCGTCATTTTGCCTGCGACAAGATCTCCTGGCTGCGGATTCGTTGCTGAAAACAGATATGTCTACTTTCGTCGAGGCGAAGGTTCGAGATCGGTTGAGGATGAGCTGTGATCTACCTAACGTGGACAAGACAGTGACGATCCGTGTCATTTCCGACTGCGATCGTTCCTTTGTGGTTCCAGATGTCGTGCGGAAGCACTTTAGAATGCCCACTGCGGACGATAGAGGTGATGAGGATGTGTTGTCGCCACCAAACAAGGTCACGTACAAGTCAAAAGCTATTGCCCTCTTCCAAAAGCATGATGGTCTCGATGTATGCATCTTCTGCATGTACGTGCAAGAATATGACGGTGATGACGACTATGACGAAGAAGAGCCACATGTCAAAGCTGGACTTGTGAAATCGAAACGCGTCTACATTGCGTATCTGGACAGCGTAGAGCACTTCAGACCACGGGCTATGCGAACCAATGTCTATCACGAAGTGCTGATTGCTTACTTGGCGTCAGCCCGCATGAGGGGCTTCGAAACTGCCCACATTTGGGCGTGCCCACCGTCCCGCGGCAACTCCTTTGTGTTCTGGAACCATCCAGCTTCCCAGCGGACTCCGACGAAGGACCGCTTAATCGCCTGGTACCATGGAGCATTGAGCAGAGCGTTGGATTGTGGCGTGCTAACCGACGTACAGAGTTTGTACGAGAGTGAGTTCCATGAAACCCTCAAGGCGGCAGACAAAGAAAACGAAGACGACGGCGTCCCTCTGCACCCCAGCGGTCGAATGGTCTGCCCTCCTCTTCTGGAAGGAGACTACTGGATGGAGGAAGCTGTTCGAATTCACGCTGCAAGCCTTGCTCGACACCTAAAAGCACGTTCAGCGCACGAGGACAAGCCGGCAGAATGCTTGCCTCCAGCCGAGGGCGTCTGCGACCCCTGCCCCGCCAGACAGATTGGTTCCATTCTCCTTGATCGACTGATGGCGCACAAATCTTGTGCTCCTTTCCGGAAACCAGTCAATGCCGCGGCTCTGAAACTGAAGGACTACCACAAGATTGTAAAAAAGCCCATGGATCTCGGCACCATTTACACTCGGTGCATCCATGGAGAATATGCCTGCCTGGGTGATCTTGTGGAGGACGTGAAGCTTGTGTTTTCCAACGCCAAGAGTTTCAACCCTGCCGGCCATTTTGTTCACCAAATGGCGGAGGAAATGGAATGCTTCTTTTTCAAAGAGTTGGAAACGGTTGTCAAGACTTGGGACCTTACTGCCGAGGAAAGCAGCGTGAAGAGCTGGCGAGAGTTCTCCATGATGAGTTTGAGCTTGGATGTAAAGGTCGAACGCGCTCAAACAGTTTCCAGTTCGTCGCCCGCGAACGGCGAGACGGGAAGCCAGCAACTTGGCCAAGGTCAGCCGATTGGTTCGAACGTTCCCGCCTCGTCGACCGTCGTTTCTACCACCACAAGTCAACCTCCGGTATCACCGAAGATTGCACCAATCTGTCCGGTTGAAAAACTCCTGACTGGCGGCCCCGATGCCCTCTCACAGAGAATGGCCGGAGAAGACGGTTCAATGCCTGAAAAGAAGCATCCTTCGCCTGGAAAGCGGCCAAGCGTTTCCAAGAAGGGTGGGACCAAACGCCGCCGAAGTTCTGTTTCGGTTGCCCCTGTCGAAGAGGAGCCCATCTCGAAGCGCCGCCGACAAACTTGGCTTGGAGAGGAAGTCGGATCATCAGTTCGTTCTATGCGGACCAGCTTCTTTGCGTGTTCACTGGTGCCGACCAAATCGGCTTCTCGAAAAGTCCAAGAAAAGTCCAGCGTCTTTTCCGCATACACAGAGGGCTTCAACTTTTCCGAGGATTCAAACATCACAATGTCGAGCGTTGCGGATGCTCGTGCCGGGCTACTTGATTTTTCTCAGCGACGAAATCTTGAGTTCTCGACCTTGCGCCACGCCAAGTACAGTACGGCAGTGCTTCTCTACTATCTGCACCACCCGGATGCCCCAGGCGTGGTTCCAGTTTGCACCTCCTGCAATGAAGTGACGACCGATTGCCGCTGGCACAAAGTGGTCAAAGTTGAAGAACTGAACAAAGGACCCGCCAAGAAGAAGAAGCGACCGTCCAAGGTGGTCGTCAGTGCTAGTTGCGATGATTCTGGAAAAGATGAATCAGGTGGTGAGACAAAGATGATGGCAGACAACGCCGAGAAGAAGAATGTTGCGGAAGAACTCTGCAATTCTTGCCACTCAAAACATTCGCAACAAGACCAGTTCATTCCTCTACAGGTTTCAATTATTGCGGTCAACTAGCTATATAGATCAGCTTGCAAGTAATAATTATCCTAGACTCCCCTCTTTCTGGCTTGTCTTGAAGTCTCAGGTGTTGCTGTAGCGTTCCAGTGCCGGTGGCTGTACAACAGTGGAGGAAAAGGGCACTGATCACTGTGTGGTCGAAACTGTTTGCGCTATCAGTAATGGTGGACCTCCATGGTGCTTGAAATCTACGACTGTACTCGGTGCTGTTCTACTGTGCAGGCGCCTCGACCAGTTTGTTTTGTTGGTTGTTGTATGCTGAGTATTGGATTTTGCTTGTTTACCAGAATTGACCGCTATTATTTGTTTATCTGCTCGACAACATCCTCAACATCTTGAAACTCCCAGCTTGCAGTTTCGTCGCCACCGCCACTCCCCACCCATGATGATGATGATGATGATGGATCGCTGACGAAACCATCCTTTTGAAACTCCTTGTAAAGCTCTAGATCCAAGGCATCCTTTGCATCCTCTACATCGGTACTGATTTGAGCAATCAAATCCGGAAAGGACGGGAATTTCATTTCGGGTCGTATAAAGCCAATCAACTGCAATCGCATGACTTCATCGTAAAAGTCGGGTGGATCCAATGCCTTGTCGTCAGACGACAACATCAAGTGAGCCTCTACAATCTTTTCAGGGTTCTCTTGTCCTTCAAAAGTGGGAGAGAATCCCACATTGACGACGGCCTTGTGAGGGACATTGCGTCCTGTAGTTGTCGCATCGACATTGTTGTCTCCTTCGAGGACGGCCCATCCAAAGTAGACTCCACAAGGCACATCCTGGAGTGCCCCTTGAAAGAGCCCGGATGGCAGATTGGCTGTGGGAAACCCAAGTTTTTTGCCTCCGCGTCCATATCCCCGATCGACTTGTCCTCGAAATCGCATGGTTTGTGGGACTGTTCGGTAGACGACTTTGGTTGCCGTGGCCATGTAGTATGACAATGGATCCTTGTTGTTGTCGTCCTTGTCTACAACATTGAGTATGCGAATGGGAAGTGTTCGAGCCAATTGTTGCAATTCCGGTACAGATGTTGGCAACAAATTTGGCACCATCATGGCATCTTCTTGCCGTAATTGTTGTACAAAGTCGCTGCCCAAAGGATGCGTGATGCAAAGGAGTCCGTCGACACGAAGACAATCGCTCATTTGCTTTAGAGCTTGCTGTTGATCCCAAAAGTTTCCAAAGCAGGCATTGGCAACGACCAAGTCAAACTTCTGCGGTTCATCCTTGTTGTTGTTTGTGGGTACCCAATGGCTGATGTCGCCTAGTTGCACCGAAATGGAATGCTGCTGGTTGTCATCATCATTGTCATCCAGAAGAGCCTCGGCATATACCTTTGCATTTTCAATCATTTTGGGCGCCAAATCGAGTCCCTGGATGTGAAGGGTGATGTCCTTTTTGTCGGCCGCTTGCATATAAAAGTCAAACAAGGCTCCCGATCCACATCCCACATCCAAAATGTGAAAGAAGTTCTCCGTGTAGGTAGCATTCTGGTTGGCCCGTGCCGGACGCGATGCCTGGTTGAGAGCGTGTCCTTGTTGTCTCAAGTGAATGACTTGGTCGATCATACTGTCGGTCATTTTGTGGAGAATTGGAACCACATCTGGTGGAATGGCTTCCTCCGAAGCAAAAAAGGTGGACAGTTCATCAAAGACTCTGCTTTGGTGATCCAAGTGTTCCGACTCGGTGGTTGCCGACGTAGCACTAGTAGTAGAGTCGCTCTTGAGCTGACTGCTTGTCGCCTTTTGCTTTTGTGTGAATTCACGCTCAAATTCAGTATTACTCGAAGTAGTGGCATCCCCCTTGTCCAATCTCAGTAGAGTAGAAGTTCTCTGTGACACAAACGGTCTTCTACTAGTGGGCGGTTGGATCCAAAATCTTGCCGGATTGGACAAGGGCTTTCGAGTTGCGAGAGCACCTCTTGTTATTGCCGCTGAGAATGCCATACAAGAGACAGGCAGCAGCAATACAAGCAAAGAAAAGGAAAGAGCGACTTCCATCATCATCATGTCAACTGAAGGCCAATGAAACCTTCAAACGATCGACCACACCGATCGAGGTGAAGTTGGATTGTCGGTTTGAGGAAGCCTACCTAGATCTCGAAAGATACGATCCCGAAGAGAAGCCATCAAAGTGGCAGGGTGATTGAGTTCGGGAAAGCCTTTTCCCTCTCCCTCCCACCCAAATGGTACCACACTGTACGGTGACAGGGGGTAGACAGCACCAGTCTACATACAGCATGTTCATCTGCACAGGATTTTCAAAGAGCAAGCCTGCAGCTAAATCCAGGCATGGCAGGCAACACGATTCCTGTGCAATTGAACAGGACTGTCCTGTTCAATTGCACAGGTGCCTGTTCAATTGCACAGCCTGTTCCATTGCACGGGAAATAGACAGCCCAGCCTGCTCATATGCACAGGCTCCTGTCCAAGCATACATGATTTGATACTTCAATTTTTTCTCTACTAAGTCCAAAGTCAAGTTACACCATTAGTAGGTAAATTACATGTAAAGTGATACTAACCAGTATCGGCAATGCTCGTCCACAGAGGAGCTTCGATAGAGTTGCTTCGATAGATGTGCTCAGGACCAAAGAAAGAGTGCTAAAGCACAGTAAAGGGGAACAAATTAATTATTAGCAACAGCAACAGCAGCAAGCAAGGACAACTACTAGCTACCATATCCATCCGTCTCTTGCATTTATTTGTGGCTGCTTGCGACTTTGGTGTTTGTCATTCTTTCCCCCTTCCAGTGACCCACTTCCTGTACTATTGAACAGGCATACATCTCCTGTGCAAACGAACAGGATTCGGTACCAACAAACAGGAACCTTCATGTGCTATCGAACAGGAACCTTCATGTGCTATCGAACAGGCAACATCATGTGCCTCCTTACACGCTGATCCTAGCAACATGTAAACTGTGGATCAACGATCCACGCCACTCGGATCCCTCTTTGTTCGTTAGGAGTAAATGTTTGTGCTTTGGGCTGATTGAATCATTCTACTTCTGATTTACTATTTATTTACAACAGTAAAATTGCAAAGGGGGTTTAGAGTGGGTGGATTATCTAGCTAGGGACGCCAAAGAGTCGAAATACAGGACTAGGTTCCGTGGGATCATGGGCAAGAAATTGAGGACTATTATGGGGGCCAAAGGGTTTGGCTTTACGGGATCCACAGAGACATAAAACTCAATGCCTGTAATTCAGCTTCGGCTTTGGGTTGCTTTTTATAAATTACCAAAAGAATATCGACATATAAGGCCCTGTGGTTGTTGAATTGCTGATATCAAAAGATCCATCTGCTCCAACCAAAACATCAACGGTGATATCAGCGAAGGCCTCCCCATCTACGAAAGAATACAACACTGTTTGGTCGGTGGCTGTCACAGTGATCCAACCCGATGAGAATATTCCGTTGTTCCAACTGTCTGATAAAATCAACCTGTAGGCTTCGTCAGTGTTGACTGGGAAGAGAGACGAGTATAGATAATTCTTAAACTCCAGTGGACCACCTGATTCCAATGTGGTCCAATTACCAGTCACATTGTTTCCCTTCTGCCAGACCCATGATGTTTCTCTTGGAAAATAATCAGTATGGATGTTGAGCATGACTTCAGCACCTCTGGTTGGAATTCGACCAGGCCAATCCGGTGGAGCTTCTTTGAGGTCAGCACAGGTGGAAACGGGGGGGGTTTCATTTTGGGAACAATCACACCATAGAAGAGAACAAAGATGCCCTGGGACAGTTCCCGAGAACTGATTCCCATATAGTCTCAGCCCCATGGAAGCATTCAGCTGGATAGGTAGGGTTCCCACGAGGTTATTGTTCTCAAGAGCCAGGGATGTCAGTGATGTCATCATGCCAATTTCAGTTGGGATCTGACCAGACACGTGATTGTCAGACAGTTGAAGCTGTCTCAATGCGGTCAGCTGTCCAAGCTCGGAAGGTACTGGACCGGTCAACTGATTATCATAAAGATGTAACCAAAGCAACGCGGTCAGTTGGCCAATATCTGAAGAAATCGGACCTGTTAACCTATTCTGCTGAATCTGAAGCTCCTTCAATGAGGCCATGAGCCCAAGTTCCGAAGGAATTGTCCCCGTAAAGTGGTTTTCGTTGAACCTCAGTGTGGTCAGGGCCGTCAAAAGGCCAAGCTGGGAAGGGACTTGACCAGTGAGCTGATTTTGATTCAACGATATCCACTTCAAAGCAGCCAACTTTCCAAGCTCTGAAGGAACTGGACCAAACAGCTGGTTGTCATTCAACCACATCATACGTAGAGCGGTAAATGCACCCAACTCGGACGGAACTGGACCAGTAAACTGATTGGAAGATAGGGAAAGCCGGTTCGCCAATGAGGTCAGGAGCCCAAGCTCAGAAGGAAATGGACCGGTCAATTGATTATTCCAAAGGTCAAATGCGTCCAGTGAGGTCAGGAGCCAAAGCTCAGAAGGAATTTGGCCTGACAATTGACTCGCTCCCAAGTCAAGCACGGACAATGAAGTCAATGCTGAAATCTCGGAAGGAATTTTGCCAGTGGACTGAATCCCCGTCAAAGTCAAACTTGTCAATTCACTCATCTCGTAAAGTTCTGTTGGTAACAATGATGAAACTGGCGTAGTAATGTCATTGCTCCAAAATGCTATAATAGACAAGGAAGTCAAGAGCGCAATCTCAGGTGGAAAATGCGGGGAGAGACCAGAGAGCTGCAGGTCTTGCAGATCCAGAGACGTGACCTGCCGGTGGTCATTGCACGAAAAATCTGGATCTGAATATGGAAGGTACTTTCCACCAAAAAAATATCCTAACCCACTGGAGAACCAGTCACATTCTTTGACTGTGTCATCCATCCATCCATGACCCTTTATCGAAGGATTCCAACTTTCTCCTTCAAAGGCATAGAAAAAAGTAGCAAGGGCCAAGAGCTGTGTCTTTCTCCATTCTGGAAGGAACGTGATGTTTTGGTGTTCGGCCAGCCATCGCCATGCTCTCCACTGGGGAGTCCCACTGCCATTGTTCATGCTTGCCAAAGTGTAGTCAGGGAGACTATCAAATAGCAAGTCTAGAGCCCCAGTGGGGGCTGATGATGGAACTTCTGAAGGAGTCATGGAGCCGTAAACTGTGGGAGCCTCAGTTGACTCGAGGACAACCACATCCGCCTCCTTTTTCTTTTGCGTTCCCACCACGAATCCCACAATAATGGCAGCAACTAGAAACAACCAAAGAACTGCCGCAAAGAAATTTCTTTGTTGTTCCTTCTTTTGGAGTACACGATGATGGGCGGCTTCCAGATCAACTGGATCGGCATGCATCAAATCAGCCGTGTCATCCTCTATGGCGTTAGCCTTTACCAATCCTTCATTTGTCAACATCCGTGCTGGAGTACCGGTACCAACACTGGAATCTTCTGGACCACTATGAGTGCCCGAATTAGCACCAAGAAGACCATAGTTTACATTGGGGTTTCGTTGCATCTGTCCTCCTGGTGCGCCCAAGAATGCACCGGGCTGAGATTGTGGACGCATCTGGGTTGATCTGTACAAGCCGTTTTGTGGGACAACCTCTATAGATACTGGTGCGGGGTCCTCTACCGTAGTTCCTGGTACACTATCCTGTTGTTCGCTCACTAGAGCAGCTTCTTGTGCATTGAATGGAACATCCTCATTTGTGTTGGCATTTGCTGCTGCGTTGACATTTGCTGCATTGGCAAATTTTCCCATTTTGTCTTCTTCTCTGGACTCACTTGTTGTTCTGCGACTGAGACCTTGTTCTGCGACTGTCAAACTCCGACCAGCCCCAACTTTGAAGCCATTCTCTTTCACTTCTTTGCTTACGGCTTGGTTGGTTTCTTCTGTAGCTTGCTGTTGTTTCTCCTGGTTGGCTGCAACTGGGTTTTGGCATTGCTACTGTTGGTAAGAGCCGTGGAGGAAGTTTGAGGGGTCTTGTTGGCTGGCAGTTTCTTGGGAGCTTCTTCTTGTCGTTGTTCTTCTTCCTCCTCATCCAGAATTTTCGTGATGGCGGCTACATGGTCGAGTTGCCATTGTAAGGCTTCCGCTTCGGCCCTTTTAATGAGGACATCCCGTACCGCTGGGTCGAGTTGATCATCTTGACTGGTGTCTAAGCTAGCGACTTCATCAGCGCCACCGGTACCACTACTGGTAGCCCTGGAATGACCGTCCTTTCCTTCATTCATTTTGCTCTACTTCTATGACTGGCGCGTGTTACTTCTGTTGTATCGGTAGCGTTACAATGTTAGTAATACTGTAGTCTAGAAATGGGGAACGACGGTGCTCGTAGCAATTTAGACCGAGAGGTGTACCACTGTAGTTGCTTCGTCGTCGTTGCTTGAAGCTCTCCACGAGGAGGAGCCAGTGTCGACTGTGGAGTTGTGGGCTTATATAAATAAACTCTTGTGCTCTGGTCATGGCAATTGTGGCACGTGGTTTGGTGCGATGTCACCACTGAAGGATGACCGATGACAAAACGGAAATTAGACTAGACTATTCGGAACGTGGAAGAAACCTTCCTTGGCCGTTGTTTCGGCGCACCCCAGCTTGCATTCCCCTTCACCCTAATGCACAATTTTGGTGAAATTGAAAATTTGGAGACATCGAAGGTCATTTTTGCCCGACTCGACTCAAGACCAGCCCCTTGGCTCAGACACCATGAACGCTGAACACTGCATTGACTTTGCGCTGAGAAGGAAGGAAGCGATCATTGCATGTATCACCACAAAACTCCTTGACTGCCACTCTCTCTTTAGTGGTTTTGGAAAGGAGAACAAGAGCCCACGACGTGAAACCAATCCGATCGATACCAGTACATCTATAGATACTGTGTAAACGACAAGACAATGCCCATGCCCACCACCTTTCGCGTCGTGTGTGCCGTCATTGGCCTGTGTGCACTGCTGGGAATGCTCTTTGAAGAGCGATTGGTTCTCCAACTCAAGAGCGTAGATGTCATGTCGGGGTCGTCTCGAGTGGCCATCAGCAGCACTGGTGGTGGTGCTGGTTCTTTTTCCTTTCCCGAAAGCTCCAAGGCAGCCTTGGCGTCTTCCATTCCAACCAGTCCAGTTGCATTTGATGCCGAGAAGCCGCTATTTGTCTTGAGTCTCGTCAATCATTACGATTTGGCGATTCCCAGGTACTTTGAATGCGCTGGATACAACCGCAGCAACATGGTCAATCGTTGGATGCCAGTATCCACAAATCCAAAAGAAAAACGGCGGACTGTGGGACAATGCTTACGGGACAAGGTCACCAGCCGCACACGAATTACCACCAGTTCGTGTGGAAACAACAATCACGTCTGGTTGAATACACAGTTTCTGCAAGCACCAAGACTCAATCCCAAACGCTTTCGGGCTCATGATTGCTTTGATCTGGTCATGTCGCCGGGTGCCTTGACACACTTGGCAGAAAATGCATATCCACAAGGGGGCACCATTTTGAATGTCATTCGAGATCCCATGGAATGGGTACAGACACTCTCACCACAATTACCAAAGCATTGGCATGAGTGGTGCAATGACAATCACAACAATGCATTTCCAGGGCTGGGAGAAGTCAACAACAAACGAAGTCTGCTGGGATTTTATCTAGAATACCAAAACAGAATCAAAGAGTTTGTGGCAAACAACAACAATCAAAATTGGAATTATGTCGAAATTGATTTGAGACATTCTCATCAAGAGATTGGAGCACAGTTGCAACAACAGCTGGGAATTGACAAGCAATGCTGGGTGGACTCCGCTGTCGGCAACTTTGGCACGGAGGAGGACGATCCTCTAATATTGGCCAATCAACCGCGACCCAATGACATTACGTATCCAGCATTGGTCACAGCCATGCCCAAGTCGGGGACATCCACAATAAATGACTACTTTGGATGTGGACTGGGGGAGTGGACTGCCTCTCATCAATGGACATGGATGACTCATGATAGTCCTAAAGGTGTCAAGGAAATTACTATTGGAGAGTGCATGGTGGCCAATAGCGAAAACAACACGGATATATTGAAAGGCTGTGGGAATGCCATGGTGTGGAGTGATACTGGTGTGTTGCGACATGCCAACCGAAAAATGAAAACAAAAGGAATCTGCTACCTGCCAATGTTGCACATGCAAGGTCTCGAACGATTTTACAACGCATATCCTCGTGGCACAATCATTCACATGGTCCGCGAAACTTCCTCCTGGATTTCATCCGTCAAGCGATGGAACAATTTGCACCTTCGCTGGGTCAAGGGCAAGTGTATGGGTGCTGGATTTCCAAAGCATGTGGATGCCCCGGATAGGGAATGGGAACAGTTCTACGAGGGTGTCACTGAGATTGTGCGTTCTTTTGTCAAAAGTCATCCCTCCTTGACTTACATTGAACTCCCACTGAGCGAAAATGCGGCACCGATGGTCCATGATATCTTTCGATTCCCCAAGAGCTGTTGGGGACACTCCAATGTCAACAACCCAGACAACAAAGCCGTATCGCAGCCACCCAAGGCGAAGAATGCAACTAGTCCAGTCAAGGACGTCAACACAGGAGTCAAAAATGAGAAACTGCCACCCTTGGCGCTTGCGAAGAATGCAACTGGGAACACACCGCGGATGCAAGGGTTTGCGCCAAAGACTCCGGCACGGCGTTCATAAAGTGGTAGCCTGCCAAATGGCACATATGGATGACAGCTGCAAATGTCCTTGGGGATTCGGCGTGAAATGGCGCAGGCACGCTGAACCCGTACCGTACGCTAAGATGGATTTATGCGTTTGGAGAATCCTGACGGGGTTGTGGGATTACGACGGCACGGCAATGCAGGCAACTCCCGCTGCATGCACGAACAATGCAAGAAGCGGCAATTTGGGTTTCACTAGTCAAAGGAAGTTGTGTGCTAGCTCGCTGTTAGAAACCTAAGATGGTGAACTAACAAGGTTCATATTATTGTCTCTTCTGTTGTCTCTAGCTACTAGTAGGCCAGGGTACCTCTTCCTGCAGCACGGTATCATCTCCATCGACGATGCAGTGAACAGGCAGTTTTAGAAGGTTTACTATGGGTTAGAGGGAACTATGATAAGGATGGGGGCAGAGAAGGGAGGGCAGGAGGATGCAGGAACGCAAGCCGAGCAATCGATGGGGTGAGCAGGGCAGGAGCAAAGCCAAAGAAGGAGGGGATGCCAGGTGGGGGGGAGGGAGGAGCACCGGAGTAAGACTAGTGGAAGAGATCAAGGGCACCTCGGTCATCCCAACGCTTGGAAACATCGAGAGCTGGGACACGGGAGCCTCTGAGACACATGGTCGCGGCACGGGCGAGAGCGATGCTCAACCTTGCCGAGATGAAAGAGCGAACCACAGAGTAGGGCTTGGACCACTTGTGAGCCAAAAGCTGAGAGAGCCGTTGGAGAACAGCAGTAGTGCGGCAGCAAAGAGGCCATCAGCAGAAACAACAAAGGGGTTGAAGTGTCGGTTTAGTTTTTAGGTTGAGTCAATCTACCATGAAAACTCCCTGCTCTATCTATTTTAAAATTAAAAAGATGGCTGGACTGGTCTTCGGTTCAGCGCAATCTTCAGACGTTTTGCTCCCTTCGTCGTCGTCAATGCTCAATGGAAGGGTCTTGACTTGCCTCACGAAGGTCCATACTGGAGAAGTGCTGTGCCCACTCATTCAGGGGCGTGAGAGTCCTCCTCCACACTGCAGTGGAAGGTGCCAACCGATGACTACTAGTAGTATCCACGACTGAACGTCGATTCCAACCTCGCCCGCAAGATCCTCATTCCTCATCATCACAGCAGCTCTCCTCGAACCTCGAAGCATGGTTGTATTTCCACTAACTACATCGTAGCTACTAGTACCTGCTAGCTACCAGTATTATTATTAACTCTTGCAACAACAGACAAACATCCGCGGCCAGTGAATGGTCCGTTCTGAGCGAAGCAGCGCCATTAGGAAATGATTTGGGAGGCCGTTTCTTGTTCTTGAAGTGGTTTCTCCAAAGAAACGTCGAAATGAAACGCCACCGTCAATGCCAACATGGCCACCTGTGCTACTAGTAGTAGCCGTTGTTGTCGTTGTCGCTGTCGCTGTCGTTGTCGTTGTCGTTGTCGTTGTTGGAAGATTGTTTCTCAAGTTTAACAAAGGAGAATCAAAATGAAACTGTGCTTGTTGTCAAGGAGTTTGCCGCGTCTGTTTCATTCCTGTCGACTAGACAGTGCGTGAACAGAACATCATCAACCATCAGCAGCCACTCTCTCATTCAATTAGTTGTGACGATGGCCGCCATTCTACGCTTCCTCTGTACGGTGCTACCGCTCTTTTCATTGCTCGCTCTTGATTCGGTGATCCCAACCTCGTCTGCATTTGTTGTGATGCAGGGATATTCCTTGGAAGAGTATGAAGAGGCAAAGTGTCTAGATGGATCGCCGGGCATGTATTATTATGCTCCTGCAGCTTCTGTTGCCTCATCCAACAGGTGGTACATTGAAATGCAAGGTGGTGGATGGTGCCACAGCGTAGTAAAGTGCACAGAGCGAAGCAAAACCTCATGGGGAACAACAGCACATGACAATCCCACCCTACGCAGAGCACAACCCTTTTTCAATGATGATCCAGCTATCAATCCTCTAATGCATGATTGGAACAAAGTCTTCTTTCGATATTGTGACGGTTTTTCGTTCAGCGGGACTATTGCGGAGCCACTAATTGGGGATGGTGGGACCGAGTTGCATCTCAGAGGATTTGATATTTTGCAAGCAGGAATGGCAGATCTGTTTGCCAAATGGAACATGGATTTGGCAACAGATGTTGTTATTGGGGGGTGCAGTGCTGGTGGCTTGTCAAGTCTGTTGCATTGTGATCGCTGGGCAGATTTCTTACCACATGCCAAGGTTGCATGTGCCCCCGAATCTGGATTCTTCCTTGATTACAATCAGACTGATAGGCTTACCTATGGAGACCTCATGAGAGATGGCATGGAGCTTCACCATCCAGTCTTGCCCACAAGTTGCACCGAGCAGGAAAATGACACATCCAGATGTGTTTACGCTGAACATGTTTCGCGGCACATCCAAACGCCCATCTTTGTAATGCAGTCTCTTTATGACAATTGGGTTAGGGGTGCAGTGAGTCTCAGCAACGGGAATGTAGCAGCCATTGAAACATTTGGTGCCCTTGTCAAGGATACGGTCCTTCACATTACAAAGAATCAGTCAGTGGTCAGTGATCAGAACGGAGTCTTTCTCCTCTCATGCGAGTTTCACTGTGGAGGCAATGACATTGAGATCGATGGTCTCAACAAGCCAGAGGCCCTCAAATTGTGGTACGAGCAACAAGACATGACCAACGTGTACCTGCAAGAAGAAACGTACCAGTGCGAGGGATGTTGTTTAGCTCCTTCTCCAACTGGAGTTCCAACAGTGCCTCCAACAAGTCAAACCCCTACTACAAGCCCTACGGCAAGCCCCAGCCAATCTCCCACCAGCAGTACAAGACCCAGTCAAGTTCCCAGCACAGCACCCAGCCTCCACCCATCTGGAATGCCAAGTGGATCATTTAGCGTGGATCCATCGTCAGTGCCAAGTCGATCACCAACTGGAATGCCCATTGGAGCCTCGAATCCCCCCATTGGAAAACCGAGCCAGAGCTCGAGCCCCGGTGTGACGCCTGTTAGCATCTTGCCAAGTCAAAGTCCCAGTGCAACTCCCTCGGGGCAGAATCTGCGGGCTGGTGACTCTGATCTGGCCGGGCATACGGACGAAACTCCGAAACGAAAGTCGATAGTGTTTCCTTTGCTTGTTTCCACATTATGCTATTTGGTTGTCCTGGCGGTGGGAGCCCTCCTGTTCTTTGCCAACAAGAAGGCAAGCTCAGAAAACTTGTAAGTTGCAAATGAATGGTACAGTCGTAGCGCTCGATCGATCCCTATCCTTGGAAGCGCAACCTTTTTATACTGTAGCCATCGAGAGGTTCAGCTAGTGAATCAAAAGCATACAACGGGGTACTAGTACTCGCATGCACTAATAGCTAGCTAGAGCCACGCAGATGACATGACTGAATGATTAACAGACGACTTATCTTTAATTAACTTGTAGAGCTCAAAGATCTCAACAGAGTGCTGCCATTGATCACTTTGGTAGTCACGCAAATGATGTGGTATGGGAACTTTGGCCTGTTCGACAGGTATCGGAGCGCTGCAATCTCCATGTGTGTTACACCCCCCACAAACATGATCATGAGAGTGGGCTTGCGAGTAGTACCGGCACCCCGATCCGCCGCCAAATTACCAAGACTGGGGCCCTTTGGTCTCTTGACCGCTGTTGACAAGTCCTCAGGAGGATACTGCAGGAACGTTATTTGTGTGAGCGGGAGACAGCTGCGATACGACGCTTTCGAGCTACCGAAGTCAGAGGCATCATCAAACTTACATGTTGCGTAACGTCCACGAGACGCCCGGGAAGTTCCTTGAGTACAGTGTCCTCTTTGCCTCTCCAACCTTGAACAGCGGCCTGAACTAGGCGTACCGAGAGAGGTGCATAGCCGCTGGACACGTACGAGACGTCATCGGGCTCTACCGTGTTCACCTCGGCATTTATCAAGATGAGTGACTTGCGAAGGGAATTGAATGGAGATGTCGAGTCCATCCAGAGAGTTTCTCGTCGTCGAAGCACCCCAATCTTTTCGAGGTTGCGGAGCACAAAGAGATATTCGTAGCCGTATGTTTGCACAATATCACGACGCAGGGCATCATATCGTGACGACTTGATGCCCCCAGCACAAAGAGATTGCAGACACATCAAGCGAAAGAACCGAATGGGTGGATACTGACAGGCAACGAGGTCTTCCAGGAAATCGTAGCACGATTCTCCTTCAATCATGGACCGTTCCGTCTGCCATCTCTCCCGGAATGTGGCCTCTTCCGAGAATGCCTTGACCAATTCGGCGAGGTGAATATGGTTGGTGAGCGACCTCAAGTTTTGCGTAAAAACCGGAATTTGTTTGACGAATTGGTGTATTTCGGTCAAGTCTCTGTTTTTACCCTTGCTGGTAAAGTTTTGATGGGATTCCCGCAGAGCTTTGGCTTGATTCTGCAGAAAGATTCCAAACTTTTCGACATGTTGATCTCGTACTTCGGCAAAGAGAGAATCCGATCCGTTGACTCCCAAGGCAACAATTTCCTCGTCTGTCTTTTCCTTTTGCTTCTTTTCGGCGGCGTCGTCATCTTCCGGGTTGATTGTATTGATATCTACTTTGATGAACCTAGCAGCGGCAGCAGTAGATTGTGGATGTATTGGATACATATATTATATTGTGAAGGTTGATGGATTGGCAGCGAAAAGAATAACGTGAGAGACCACGATGTAATGACAGAGTATATTAGAATGCTGCTTCGATCGATAAACTTACCCACAATCAATTCCAACCAGTTCGTCCATGAGTCCTTCATATGTCAATGGGGTTGTCATGGGAGTAATATAATCTACTCTTCGATCCAGCACCAACAATGCGGCAACATCTCCTCCCGCGACCGGTCCTGGGTGCGCCTCCTCTTGATTGGGCGCCACCAAGTACTCGTCGACGGTTAGATTGAGCATTTTGCGCACGACATCTTCTCCCAGCGGTCCCAATGATTGAATACGAGGAATGGTCCCCACGACGTCTTGCAATTTGAGAATACTGCGTGCCACGGTGGCCACTAGAGTGCTGGGAGTGCCTTCGGATTGTGCCTCTTTCATGGCATCATCGTATTCCAACGAGTACAAGTCGGCTTCTAGCGGAAAAATGTCGAGTTGCAATCGATGGACCGAGACATTGGGATTGGCAGCGAGTCCTGTACTATGAATCATTTTGTGTACCAAAGCAGTGGGTTGTGGTAAATAGACGATGCGATGATGCGTCTTTGTGGTTTTCTTCCAAGATTTGATTCTCTTGATGACATTTTGTGTTTGCGATAAGTCGGAGGCTCTCAAAAAGTACGTAACGACGTCCACGTCAATAATGGCATCTTCCCAAGAGGACTGTCCCTTGAGACTGACTTCTGCGCTTCCTTCGGCTGTGGTATCCGTGGAAGTTCGAATGCCTTCGGTGTGCATGGCATTCGACAAGATGCGAGTGCCGACCAAGGAGAGACCCTTGGGCAGCGGAAAGGAATTGTGGGAATCCCAATTCTTTTTCTTGTTGGTGAATGTACGCGTATGAGGATTCGACAAGACTTGACGCATCAATAAGGTCCGCAGACTTTCCGTGCCAAACACTAGCAATTGCCGAAAGGACGAAGATTCCGTCATCATGCCGGTAGTAGTAGTAGTAGCACCACCCTTGGACTGGAACGGATCCGTCTTGAGCAACGACAGCAACTGCTCTTCATTGTCAATGCGAAGGGCCACTGGCAGCGATGGCACTGGGTTCAACGGAGTTGGAGGTGGAAGAATAACTTCATTCTCCTTCTCAGAGCCAACCACGACACCACCGCTCTTATTAGTTGCAGGATCCATCATGGTCGATCTTTTTTTGTGGCAGCTTTTCGATTGTGAAAGGCTATTAAGTCACGGATTTGGCGGGATTCCAGCATTGCTTTTCGAAAGCCTTGTCTTGTTTTTCGCTCTCTGATCATCATCATTATTTCTCCTTCTTTGTTGGGTTGGTGCACTCTCTTTCAAAAGACAAAAAGGACGAGGCGACCATAAAGATGGCCAGTGGACACAAGCGTCAATGCGACGATGAAGAGGGACGAAGGGCCTACAAGCTGGCACGCAAGGACTTGGAAACTCTGCCGGAGGATGACGGCCAATCCATCACGTTGTTGAAGTGGAGCACCGATCGCCGCAAAGACACCTACTCCGACTGGACCATTGAAATCATTGTGGTCAATGGAGGAGAACAAGAGGAGCAAGTCAATGTCTACCATGTTCACAAGTGTGTCTTGGCGCGAGGGGTTCGACGAAGCAAGTACTTTGACAAACAGTTCCGCAATGAACGCAACTTTCCCTTGACAAAACCGGCCACCAGTCGCTTGGAGCTGGATCCATTACAAGCCAAGGCGTTCCCACAGGTTTTGGACTACATGTATAATCCCAACTGTCCTCTGCAGATTTCCACAGAGAATGCTACTGCATTGCACTCCCTGGCGGACTACTTGGATATGCACCAGCTTCGATGGGTGGCAACTAGCTTTTGCAGAAGTGACGTCTCTCTGGACACTATGGAAACTTACTATGATCATGCCATGACTCTATTCAATGAAACTGTTCTGTCCATTCTAGCAGAGTTCATGGCCAACAATTTGAACAGCATTGATCCAAACTCCACTCTTGTCCAACACATCCATCTTCGATTGTGGGTGGACGTATTGGCTCACGTCAAACCCCAGGATAGATACACTGCTTCTCTTGATGCAAGCAAACTGGTGGCCAAGGTTCTCACTCGTCACAAGGATACCCTGGATGCCAAAACATTCCAGTTTCTCACGGCACAAGACTCCTTGCCCAGAATCGATCCGTCCGTGGCACTGACTCTGCTGGAAATCGAAGACGAAATGGCCATCGTCTCTGTGGATGACAATGCCCCACCAACATCGCTTCAGAAGCGATGTGCCAAAGCACTCGCCAAGACGTGGCAGATCTTTGACACTGCGGAGGAGCGGCTGAAGGAGCGATCACCTGCCTTTCTTACGGAGCTACTCCACCAGTCACTCGGTGAAGCAAGAGTGGAAAATGAGGTAATCAAGATCGACCTCGAGCAGAAACAGCAGCGCTTGACAGAAACAGAGCAGCGCTTGACAGACGCAAGACAGTCCTTGTGGAAGTTTTCTCGTCCATCGAATCGTGGTGCCGAAGAGAACGGTACTCGACTTTGGCGTGGCTTGGAACTGCCTGCCTCTTGGTTTTAATGGCAATATGTATGTCATATCCCATCGCATCATTGAGGATGAGGAGAGCTTCACGTCTTTGGTATGATCCCAACGAGCTCTTGTAGAGAAGGAGTGATTGGAGGAGATCCCTATGAGTTTGTTCTTCAGGGAGAAAGAGACAGGAGCACAGCTTCGTTTCGTTTGAGATATTGTCTAGTTTAGAAACCGTAATGAAGCAAATAGGCAAACTTGTATGTCTACTGGGCTGACACGCGTTCCGCGTTGCTGCATCCTCCTTTCTCGTCAGCCACAAAAGAGATCGAATCGCAGTCGAGGGGGCTGCCATAGACGACCGGGCGTGGATCGGTTAGAAAGACCCAATTCATTTTCTCGGCATGTTCAAAACTCTTCTGTGCATGGTATGAAAGCAACCTCGTGAAACAGCTTGTACCGTCACTCAGGGTAGGGAGTGTGAATGTATCACCATCGAGAGACTTGAACGTCTTGCTTCCTCGGTATCGTTCGTGTGCCAGCGATGGGTCGAGGATCTTGATGCGATAGAGTGCCTCATATGCATTGTCTGCAGCTGACACGATGCAGAGTCTTTGGCTGACAAATGCCTTTTGAATCTTCCACAAGAGTGGGAGGGTGTTTCGAACGTCCCACAATTTGCCTCCGTCCAAGTTGAGCTCCTCGAGAATGCCTTGCGGGGTGGACAAAGAAAGGATTCGTACGCCGACAACTTGCCGAGCATCGCCCCACTTGCGGGTGATACAGCACTGGACAAGGTTTTCTCGTTCTCTAAGGAGACCGTATGCCTTGGCACACATCTTTCGCACTTCATTCTTGTTGACATACCAAGGAATCTCAATCCGACAGATCGGGGAAGTCGAGTGCGACTTTGGTAATTTCGTTGTCTCGATCTCGTGATCTTCGAGCATCTCCCATCCTTGGGGTTCTCTTGCATTGGTATAGTCGCTGCACATTGCTTTGGCCCGTTCCCACTCTTTCATCCAGAACTCTATCAACAAGTGTTCTCCGCGTCGCATGGCTGTTTCGTATTTCTTTTGGGCCTGCTCAACCTTGAGACCCCAGTACGCATCGTGCGCTATTCCAATCCTGTACGCATCACCACTTCGCTTGGCTTCATCGTAGCTTGTCTTGGCCTCTTTGATCTTTGCTTCCGCCTGTTCGATCCGACTGCTTCGCTGTTCTTTTCGTGCATCCCGGAACTGCTTCTCTGCGCTACGCATCTCCGCTTGTGAAATTCTCATCTCCGTTTCGGCCAATTCCACCTTGCTGAAAACACCGGTTGCCCATGCTTCGCTGACGGCCTTTTCAGCCTTTTGAAACCGGATTCGTGCTGCCTTGAGTCTTTCTTCGGCAGATTCGTCAGGTCCGATCGTGTTGCCGAGTTCAACGTCAAGCAGTGGCCCCATTTCGACTCGGCAGGAGATTACCTGGTCTCTTGGCATTTTCTTGGAGTAACTGAGCTGTGTCATTACGATCTGACAGGGCTTGAATGTGTCTCTGTGGCTCGAATTATGGCATTGTTAATCTTATTGTCTTCCTGACCATGCCTGGACTGAGCGATCGAAACGACACGGAGCAATCGATCGTTGCCTCAGTCAAAAACTGGCGGGAGAATGGACCAAACCAGTCGTTGCTCATTCTTCTCAAGCCTGGCTGGCTTTTGCCTAAGCCAGCAAAACCGTCTTGAAGATTTTTGCCGAAAGATTTGAAGGGGTTCGGAGGGTCACAAACCTTTGAAACAGGAACACCAAGGTCCAACACACTGCCGAATCTACCGTAGCAGACTGACTTCAAAGGAGTAGTGTTGTCATCGAAACATCAAGACCCATCAGAAAGAGACCATTGCACAATCGGCTTCTGTTGCATAACCAAGGAAAATGGAGTCGCTTCGGATCGCCATGGCCGAAATCGAGCCGTTGGCCCAGGAGTTGGATCCGGTGTACATGCCGCTCGAGTTTGCGACGGGGCGGGTGTTGCCTGCCGTTGTCGCCACCGCGGCATTCACCACTATCCTCTATGTTGCAGCCTTCCCATTGGTTTCGAACAGACTCATTCCCGGCGACGCCTCGGACAAAGAAGTGTTGAGGAAGAGGCGTCAACTTTCTTACATGACGACCAATTGTATCACGAATCTCATCATTGGATTGCTGGGATGCTACTATGAATATGGGTTCCTTCCCCAGAATCCAACCATGGCTGATCGAGTGCAAGGATGCGACGACTGGTATATTTTTTCCGCAATTCAAATTGGATTCCAAGTCTGGTCCATCTTTATGGGAACCTTTTTTGTCGAGGAACAGATGACCATGATTTTCCATCACATGGGCTGCATTTGCGTGGCAAGCATGTGTTGTTTTTTGCACAATGGATATCGATACTGGACTTCTTACTATTTTGGTGTCTACGAGTTGAGCTCGGTGCCGTTGGCTTTCATGAATGCCTTCAAACACAACAAGGAATGGATCACGCAATATCCCGACTTGTACTTGGCCATTCGAATGATTTTTGCCGTGGTATTCTTGACCGTCCGCATTGTCATGTTGCTGTTTCGTATGCCTTACGTGAGAGATGTCAATTTATTTCCCTACCTGATGACTAACGAGCACTGGTTCCTCCGGTGCTTCATGTTTGCTGTCGGTGCCAGCAGTACCTGGCTCTGCTCTTTGCAATACTATTGGGGGTACCTGGTCATCACGGGAATTTACAAGCAATTTTTCGTGAAGAAGAGAAAGGCAGACTCGAAAAAGGATCAATAGCAGTAATGCTTCCAGCAATGATGTGTGTGCATTAATAATCGATTACTAATTCTTTCTGGCTACTGGGTTGTACCTTCTTTGTTCTCTCTCTTTTTCTCTCTGACCGGTAATGCAATCAGAGTTTTTCCCCGGAAGAACTCACGATCTGACATGCAATGGATTGGTCTTTAGTTGTACCGACAGAAAACAGTATCAGGTGACTACCGACAGAAACAATATCAGTTGACAGAAGCAGTTTAATGTCCTCGAGACGAGACGTTTCCTTGCCCCACGCCCTTGATACTGTGAGGATGACATCCGAGTCTACCGGTATTCAGTCTCTCACAAGGCAAAGGCGACTACAAAGGGAGTGGTACTGCAGCGATTGGAATGACTGCGAAAGCAAGGCTTTCGATCAGATAACTCTAGCTAATATCCTAATGACTGCAAGAATTACATACAGGACACGAAGAGTCGAGTCTTTCACAGTGGATCTTGCAAAACGGTGGCCATCTTCAAACTCTCCGAGCACTTGCCACCAGAATGGTACTGCAACAAGGTGCTGGCAACATCGGAAACTTTTTCAAAGGCAAACCCTTGATGTTCCAAGGATAGCTTCAGCTGAGGAAGAAACGAAAGAATGGTACGGCAAAGATGAGGTTTGAAGACAGTATCAACGAAATGCAGAGGATGACTTTCCATCCACGCGTTGGTTTTAAAAAAGATGACATCAGATCATCAACATCCGATATATCAGTGTTGCTGGTTACATACCTGCACTGGAGGTGGATTCGCTCCCATGGCTCGCTGCAAAAAGGCAGCATCGGAAACGGACATATTTTCTCCGCTCAAAAAGTCTTGATCGGTCAAATGGAGCGTATAAAACAATCGACTCTTGAATTCATTCATGAGCTTTTTCTTGTGTTGATGAGGATATAAGCGTGTGGGTTCAAGTCTGTGAAGAGCATTTCTCACATCCAACCCTGTTTCTTCGTACATTTCTCTGGCAGCTCCCATTTTCCCGGCGAGTTGTAGTTGTTCCAGTTTGTTGGTAGGATATCTTTTGGCGGCTTCTTCGAATTCAAACGGATCCACGTGTCCTCCGATAAGCTGGAAATGCGGTGGCTTTTTCTTCTTGCGAGTACAGTGTAGCAACAAGTATCCGTATTGAGGGTGAACGGCAAAGATAAAGCCACGATAATCGGCAGAGGCAAAATCCATGTTGGAGCTCTCTTCTTGGACGACAACGGCGCCGTAGTGGTTACTGTTGATGTTGCTGTTACTGTTACTGTTGCTGTTGCTACTGACACTGTTGAGGTTGCTGTCAAGGGATCTCCCAGCAGCTATACTGGAAACTTCCGAACGTGGATCTAGAATGACATCCCTGTGGCCCGGGAAAATGGATTTTAGAAATGGCAAGAAACGACACAAAACGCAGTCGTCGGCTGCGTCGTTGACAGTAGAATCCAGAAGGACCGAGTTGGGATGAGACTGGGATGCTGTGGCCATGGCAAGTTTAAACACTACTTGTAGCAGCCAGAGTGCTCTAATACCATAGATGGTGATTGTGTCATCAACAAGGGCTTCGTGTTGAGTGTGGTGGAGGTGTCAGGACCTCCTTGCATTTTCTCGGAAGCCTGGATTGAAGTTCCGGCCCGTCCAGCAAATTTCCGAGTCACGAGACGTGACTCAACTGTGACTTAATTTACTCGGGAACAAAGACACACTGCTAAATAAATGTAGCCAGTGGGGTTGGGTGGGGATGCCTTGGTACTGTATGGTGCTGAAGATTTTCTCTGCGGAGGTTTGCTGGATCTGATTACTTTCTTGCTTGCCTTCGTGATCAGCAAGCAGCTCCTTCAGGGAGGTTGGCTACCATAGGGGGGCGAGATCTGATTTGCATCGCTCCTTCGAATCTTTAAAAGTTGATGTGCAGTGACGATTTGCCGCCGCAGTGCAGTACAGTACACTGTATTGTACAATGTGCTGTCACCTTTGCTAGCAATGATGGCAAATCCATGTACTATTCACTAATTTCATGATGCTTCGTCATGCAGATTTGGAGGTTGCAATTTGTACCGATACCCCTCCGGCGCTACCGGTAGAGCCGTACCATTCAAATTGATCAAACGCAACGTAGCAGCTACGAGCACCCAGAGCTTGACATTGGCCTGCCTCTATCCACATTGTAGGCAAGTAGCCGTACTGGTAGCCAACTGTAGGCAAGCTGTGATACCGATGAGGTGGTCAGATATAACACCGCAGATTTGTCAGGTCGATTGAAGATTCAGCCGTGGATATGCACGTAAAAAACTGCAGGATTTAGATCCGTTTGGCCTATGAGAGATCACTGACGTACCCCTCATCATCGAATGCTGACAACAAAGATACAGAGACCGTTGCATGGTTGCCAAAGAGAAGCTTCCTTCTTCCATTCTTCATTGTAAGATTCTAAGTGGAGGCATCAACGCGCCATCTACTATCTACTATCATAGAGCTGCCTTTGATAGATTGAATTTTCGTCTCTGTCGTCAAGTTCAGGAGAAGGGATCTGAAGCTGACCATGATGATTTCCCAGTCTATCCTACCGTTTTATACCCTGGCTGTGCTATGTATACCAACGAGCCATGCCTTTCAGTCCAGTCTGAACCCACGGGCATTTGCCAGGAGCCGACAGACGTCCCTCTCAGTTACCGAAGGAGGCTACGACCTTGCCGTTATCGGAGGTGGTGTTGTCGGTGTTCAGGCTGCCCTGACAGCAGCTTCGTCTCCAATGAACAAGAAGGTGGCGCTGATTGACGCTCCAAGAGCCAGTGGAGTTTTGATGAATGAGGAAACCGGAGAAGATCTCAGTCTGGGAGCTCCCACAGGTCTCTTTAGCAAGGCACTGCGAGATACCAGTAAGAACATTAAAGTAGCGTCGCTTCGAGGAATGGGGTTGCGAGAAGAAAGGTAGGCGCCCTTGGTCCGAGGTTGCAGGTCAGTATTGTGCAAGGATTTTTCTAAAATCGACTCTTTCCTATTACTTGGGCACTTCAGTGTTTGGAACGAAATCATTTCCAATTGTGTCGAATTGGCTAGCTCCAATGCTCAAGACGTGAGACGACAACTTGATTTTGCTGGAGTAACCTACATTGAAGGTTATGCTTCCTTTCCGGATTCGGGAGGTTCGGACACCATATCTGTTGACGAGCCAGATGGAACAGTGCATATTGTAAGGGCAAAAAAGTATCTGATCGCCACAGGATCAAAGGCTTTCCGACCCGGTGGCATCCCTTTTGATGGGAAGCAAGTCTTCGACAGGTGAGAAAAAATACATGAATGGATGGATACAGTAGTGTCAATATTTGAACGAGTGATGGTATGGAATGCTCATCACTGTGCTTGCTGAATACAGTGATACCATCAATCAGGTGAGAAAACATACATACATGAATGGATGGATACAGTAGCGTCAATATGTGAGCGAGTGATGGGATGGGATGCTCATCACTGTGCTTGCTGATTACAGATATCGTTTTTGCCAAAATCTATCGCCATCACTGGGAGCGGCATCATTGCCGTGGAATATGCCAAGGTCTTCAGTAATCTTGGTTCAAAGGTTACCCTCATCATTCGAGATCAGGTCCCCCGAAACGCTCTGATGAAGATTGGTCTCGACAAAGATGTTGCAGCCACACTGGTAGCAGATGTAAGTGTTGTGGGATTGGATAGATTCGATGAGATCAGTTTCCTGTGCGTCGTAGCAGTCGAAAGTCGCTGACGATGTGCTTATTTAACACCATCAACGACAGTTGATACGGAGCGGTGTCAAGATCATTCGAGGTGCGCAAGTAAAGGAGTTTTACGTGCCTCCTCCGCCTGCTAGCGGCGGTCAGCGGCTACCGGTGAAGATCGAAATAGAAGCCAAAGGTGGAGGACCTCTGCCCAGTGGAGTCGAACGGGAAACAGAAATCAAGGTGGATGCATACGTGGCCGCGGTTGGTCGCAAACCAAATACAGTAGGGCTCAACTTGGAGCGAGCCGGCATTGATGTAGATGAATATGGAGGTATTCTGGTTGATTCCCAGCTGAGAGCCACCGCCAAGGGAGGCAATGTTTATGCTGCCGGGGATGTCGTGGGAAGACCATTCCTAGCGTCCACTGGAAGTGCCCAAGGCAGAGCTGCACTAAGCGCCATGTTTGCCGAACCAACAAGTGGCAATGCAACAGAATATGCAACGTGCGATCCTGAGGATGAGACATGCGTAGAAGGAGGAATGAGTCAAGCAGGTGAATCGTTTGACCCGACGTCGCTGGCAGCCAATCCATTTGCGTTCCCATGTGGGGTTTGGTCGTCACCCGAAGCGGCATACTTCGGGTTGTCGGTGCAACAAGCAGCAGACATGGGAATTGAGGCTGGAGAAGGAATTGCTTTGTATTCGGAATGCCTTCGGGGCCTTGTGTTCTCCCCGAACGGCTTGTTGAAGATTGTGTACGAGAAACCAGCAGGTCGAATCTTGGGAGTGCACATTTGTGGTGATGATGCTTGGTAAGTTTCTTGTTGATGTACTTGGCTTTTGATAATGTCTCGATCCTCATCACACCGGTTGCTTCTGTCCTCAACAGTGAGTTGATTCATTATGGCATGGAACTTGTGAAGGGTAGAAGGACTGTGATTGAACTCTCTAGCACGTTGTACTCCGCGGTGACCTTTCACGAGATGTATAAGATCGCAGCACAAGCTGCATTAGACGAAGTCGGAGCTCGAAAACGCCGTGCTGCGGCCGGAAAAGCTCTGGCTAAGCGATTGCGCGATGCCAGCCTCCTCTAGTAGCTAGCAAGTTGCCGGAGCCCTGATGGATACCGGTACGGTCGGATTTGGTTTCTGCTTGATCCATTTTCAAGGCACGAAAGAATCGGATGCGTTGCTGCAAGCGATTGGAATGAGTCATTCATAGATACGGTCCAGGCCAACTAGCCACGTTTAACGAAAATAGATGCTCCAGTAGACGCTGTCGTCATAATCCGTTTGCGTTATTTGAGGATGCAAATGCTGTTCAGGGACAAAAGACGACGATCATATCGGACGAACCGTGCCGGCATATTACGCTGGTGCTGGCCGGGAACGCGATGGTGCGTCTCTCCCGTCGCACCCATGCAACATTCTCCACTTCGGGACAGCCAGACGACAACGAAAGGCACCCCCTGCTCTTCGACGCATCGGTGGAGAATCTTTTTAAAAGGGTCCGGTTTGCTCCGGACAAGCAATTTCAACGATGACGAGCTGTGGAGAGACCCGATTTTGAAACAAAGCAGGTTGGTGGGCCACCATACTGCTACCGGTATCGGTATATTGCTTTCTTAATTGTGCAGTTTTGCTATCATAGTCGCATGGACTGATCTGATTACCGTATCCAACCGTCACTGACAGCTCTTCACTTTCTGGGCAGAGCCCATTCAAGAGGCCAACCTTTAAACGCCATCATCATCATCATATAGATCAGCAAACTCTGGGTCATACGCAATGTCAGAGAAGGACTTGCCCTTCTTGCAGATGGGCATTTTACCAACCCTCCGCAACGCTTCTTGCCGCTTCTTGATGCATTCTTTGGGTACCGCTTGTCCAAATGGTACTACCACTGCCGTGTGATGTGAATGTGTTGAAGTCGTATTTAGCGTTTGATTTGGATCTCTTCCAACATCCTTCTCCTCCACACAGGTCTCCTCATCGCTGTCGTCCTCGTCGTCGCTGCTGTCATCCTCATCCGTCGAAAACAAGCTCCCTTGTAGGCTTTGGCGGAGAGTAGTCGAAGTCAATCGGCAGCGTCTCGCTGAGGAAGCATCTGATTGCCTCCTTTCTTCCTGGTTCTCGGATTCTGTTTCATTAGAATCGACTGCCGCAGCAGCAATTGTACCAGCACCACTTTGGTGAATCTTGCCTTCCGATGTCCGTTTACCCAAGATTCTCCTTCTGCCTGTTCCAGCGTCGTTGTCACAAGCAACGGTCTGCACTCGTTCATGGCACGAGACAGCTGACAAAGGATCGCCACCAGGCTTCGATGACAAAGATGCAGTTCTAAGCGCTTCGCGTGCCTTTGCGCAAGCATCAGCCCCAGTTGAACGCCTGGTGCTTGAAGGCGCGGGACTGAGTCTCTTATGCATAGGCGATCGCTGCGCTTTGCGCTCGTGGTATGAGCTCGCCCTGAGAGAATCCTTTCTGGCTCCTCCAACAGGACTGAGGCTGCGGACAGGAGATGAGGATCTCTTGTCATTTGAATCAATCCTTGAACGCCTGGGAGAACGGGGAGCTCGCCTGTGACGTGCACTGGTCTCTGGCGGGGCAGGACTTGCACTTCTGCTCCCTAGCTTGCTGCCCCCGTTCCTGGGCCTGCTACTGCCTCTGCTCGTACTGGTATGATTTGAACTAGATGCACGTGGCATTGGACTGGGACTCCTTCTGCCATCAGAGCCCCCCCTGGGCTTGCTGGTGCTTCTACTCCTGGCTGAACCTGCAGATTGAACCCTCGAAACACGAGCTGGCTTTGAATTTGTCAATGCACCCCGTGCCAGACAGAATTCAGATAGGGCAGTATCACAGTTACTGTCGGCATTGTCCTTTCCGTTCTTCTCGCCGATTTCTTCTTCATTTCCTGGTTTGGTTTCCAAATCTGATGCCAAAGATATAACTTCGGCTGCTTTGGAGAAGTTCATGGATTGAAGCGCATATTTGCTACCAGAACCCCTTGGACTCTTCGGGGCAACGCAGTTTCCCAACGAAGCACTGGAGGCACGGCCAACCACAGATGGCTTCTTTGGAGAGCTGGGTATTGTCAGAATCTGAGAGGCCTTGTTCAGATCAAACCTCTTCAATGCGTACTTGTTTGTAGGAGCCTCTTTGTTCTTCTCTTGGGGCAACTTGTACTGGTTGGAAACTTGATCTACTATGGACTGAGCATCCAATTCGATCTTTTCCGTTTCTCCACTTTCGTCCGCAGTGGAGGGTACCGATAGAGTCAACAAGGCCTCCAAACTCTGGGATACTTTTTTCATTTGATTGGAGGTCTCAACTGATGCCGTGGAGGCATTGCACTTTTTTAGAACAGTACCAAGATCCAGCTTGGAATAGTCTTTACCCAACGAAGGCTCCTGGGGCTGTGTCTCTGGGGAGCTCTCCCTCTCTTTCATTGATAGCATACTCGAGTCCAAGAGCTTGGAATCTCCCACATGGATGGGCGAGGAAATGCCTTTTGTCATCATTATTTAGTGGCTGCAGACAGTTTCGGAATACAATGCGCAGCGATTGAGGATTGTGAAGGCGTGGGAGCGATGGCTCCTTGCAAACCGACGAATGAATAGCTGTAGTGGCCAGTGGCCAGGCCAGCAGGCTCAAAACTTGCAAATCTACAGTGGCCATGGCCGCTGGAGGTCAGCAGAACAACCAAGAGTTGACGATTAAGTTTTGCGAAGAGTTACATCAAAAGAGTAGTCCGTGTTCCCTTTCTAAAGGGCGCCCCCAACTTTGTGCTGGAATTGAGGTACAGTCGCACATGTATCTGGTAGACGCGGTAAAACTACAAGTAGTTTTTCATTTCAAATAACCGGTAATCAGAAAATTATATCTTTAACCCTATATTTACCGCAACCTCCATGCCATCTTGATAAAGCGATCTACAGTGGCGCCTTTTATCGGCAGTGCGTACAGGTACATGTACATGTACTGGTACCGGTGCAGTACCGGTACCCTATGATAGGAAAGCGGTAGCGGTACCGTGGTCATTGTGCCTCAATTGACCCCCAAAGACTTGTTACTGGGTTACTCAGCATTTTGTCTATTTAAGGCTATTGTATCTGATTACAGAGTTGCCTAAATGTTCTATGCTCCTTTGTAAAAGTGGCTTATGTCTCACAATGTCTACGGATGTCTCACAATGTCTCACAATGTCTACCAATGTCTCACAATTTTTCACAATGTCTCACAACGTCTACTAATGTCTACCAATGTCTCACTTTGTCTAAACAGTACAGTAAAGCAGTACAAAAATGTCTCACTTTGTCTACCAATGTCTCACAATGTCTCACAATGTCTCACTTTGTCTACCAATGTCTACCAATGTATCACTTTGTCTACTAATGTCTCCTAATGTCGCACAATGTCTACTTTGTCTACTTATGTCTACTAACTGTGTGTAGACATTTACACTTAATCACCAAAACACTTTCCCAAACAGACAAAATGCCGAGTAACCCTGGTAATTGGAAATGCCAAAACGTTGCAGACTGCAAACTGCAAAAACAACACAGAGTTAGTCTACCACCTATATTATCACAATCTCACACTGCCGGTAGGCATCAGATTCGATTGGATTCTGGTACGGGGATCTTGTCCAGCTGGGTTGCATTTCGGAAATGGAAGGTCATGAAGAGAAAAATGCAAGCTTTCCTCGCTCCTCGCACTTTTTTCTGATTGAATCAGTAAATGCGGAAAGTCCTTATCTACCGTATGTAGTACTCTACTTAGGCGCTTACCAACTCGCATGTACATACAGTGCGGCCTGCAATCGGCTTTTGGCTTGCTCTTGTAGACGACGAAGCGTTCTTCGGATCTTCTGCAACATTCTTTGAATGTAGAAATATCCTTGGCTACACAAAGAAGCTAGGAAAAGAACTCTGTCGACTTTGGGTGGGATATGCTTCTTTGTCAATCCATCGACAGCAGACATTTTAAAAGGCTCTGCAACAGTAGTGGATGTGCATAAAGGAAAAGAGGCGGCTCAACTACATTGCTCGCCAGTTCCTCTTCCAATGAGAAACCCTGACCAAAACTCACATGTTAGAGATTACTTGGATTAGCTATCACTATAAAACTCCCTTTAATAAACTACACAGAGAACACGAATGTTTTCAATGCCTCTTTCCCAACATTGGCGGGCTGAAAAGCACCGAATGCCATTGAACCTTCTTTTTTCAGTTTTGCGCACAGACACACACACACAAAAGCACCCAGGATCCAAACGATTTAATCATTGTACAGATCAGAAAATCCTGGATCAAACGCCATGTCAGAGAGTGACTGGTCGGGCTTTCTACCTGACTTTCGCGCAGCTTGCCGTTTCTTCTCCATGCATTCCTTTGGAATTTCGGCAGCAAATGGTAAAACCACTGATCCGCGCTTGGCTTTACCTGGATGGAATGGTGATTCAGCGGGGATCACATAGGTCCGCCTCCTGGTGGGCGACAAATTCTGAGGAGCCGTTGTGGTTGTTCCCGCTGGCGCTGAATCCGTTGTCGCACTTTGCGGCTCCTTGGGAGCTGCCACTGAATTCGGGTGCAGACTCTTGCGAAGCGTGTCGGATGTCACACGACACCCTCTCCTTCCACTGGGCAATGCTGGTGCTGCACCACCTGACTGTCTCCTTTCTTCTTGTGTATCCACAGCCGACTTGACAGGCAAATCTGATGCCTGAGGGGTTCCCGGACCTGGACGGTTCCCATCGTATATCCCATTGCCACGAACTCCCCCGGTCTTTGCTCTGGTCTTACTATTATGACTGGAGCGAGTTGGTGCTGTATCATCATGATTCGACGCAATGGATGGACGATTGTTGTTGCTTTTCGTGTCCTCCGCATGCGCAAAACTTCTTGACCTCCTTGGTGAAGTCGGACTTTTGTTGGATCTGGTGCTCCTTCGAGTGGCAGGACTAAGACTCCTCCTGGGCTTCGCCGCCGAGTTTCGTTGCGGCTTGACTTCGTTGACTGAGCGTGATCTGAGCCGGTCTTTTTTCCTTGTGCCCTCACTGTTGCGTGGCACTGGCGAAACGGATCTTCTCTTTTGGTTTTTGTTGGTGCTCCTGGACCGCCGCTTGGGCTGTTCCGTGCTGTCCGAAGGTGTAGAAGTACTGGTGCTCATACTCTCAGTCCTTTCTTTGCTTCTGCTCCTTGTATCAGAGCCCGTGTTGCTGGATGTTACTCCCAATTCCTCTTGGTTCTCGGATACACTGAACGCAATGTTACCAACCACACCGTCAATGCTTCTGCTGCCCTTTTTAGCATCATCTTCGTCTCCACTATCTGATTTATTGGCGGTTTCTTCAGATGACAGCGAAATCACTTTGGCTGCCTTTGAAAAATCGAACGATTGAAGAGCATACTTGTTGCCCTTTGGACTTTTCTGGTCATGAGAATTATTTCCTGGACAACTGACAGCACGGCCAACTCTATCTGGCCTTTTGGGCGAAGTGGGAGGGGTCAAAACCACCGACGCCCTTTTGAAATTCAGATTCTTCATGCTGTACTTGTTGGCATCCACATCGAGCACTTTGCTGGGTGGCAACGAGTAGTGTTGCCCGGATACTTGTTCGACAAACGATTGAGCATCCAGTGTAATGTTCGCAGTCGAAACGGTTGCTTCATCGTAGTCTTCCTTTTCGTCTGAGGTTGTTGCACCCATCAAGGTTTCCAAGCTCTTGGTTACCGTCTTCATCTTGAGGGAGGTCTCCACGGATGCAGCAGAAACATGGTGGGCTCCCAGCGCGACACCCAGATTCAGGTTGGTGTAATCTTTCGCAGCTTGCTTTGTGGGTTCCTTTTGCGTCTTTCCCTTCCCTTTCTTCGATAGTCTCGTCGAATCCAGGACCTGGTCGGAGGATGAAGCTCCTGATGCCTGCATGGTTGGCTTCAGATAGAGTATCTTTCTGTTTCAGCGGGATATTGGCATCAAGCAAGCTAGACTATCTCTCGCGTGCACACACTTCTCGCTTGAACACTTACTTGAACGCTTGCACACCGCGAGTGTTGGGCGTGATCGGTGGTCGGTGAGGTTGCGCGTTCGTTGCGCAACAGCTCCGAGAGTCGACAGTCGGAGCTGTGCGTGGAGGGTGACATGACACCTTGCTCGCAGTAGATATTTAAAGATACTAATAGAAGTAGCTCTGGATTCACGAACAGGAGGGACTTTCGGAGGCTCATCTACTATCTCTTCAGTTGCCGTTGATCGTCAAAGCTTTTTGGGTGTTTAAAAGGCACTGTAAACATTCTATCACTAGCTAGACAAACAGGCAAACAGGATTTAGAGTCCGTTTTCAGTGGAAACTTACGACTGGATGCAGCCTTTCAGAACCTCTACCGGATGATAACGATAACCTTATCACATCTTTGGCTGTGTTTTGACTGAGCGCGGAGCGTGGAGAGAGAGATGCACTAGCTATGGTAGTGCCATTTATGGACAATGCGAGTGGTTGGATATGCGAACAGGAGCAATGCCAAAGGAGCGGATAGTAGGCTACCCCGACGAACTGCTGGATCCCTCTCTAGCTAGAGGTTGACCGGACCGGCGGAGAAGGCTGAGGCATTGAATGATGAATCGCTCGACACATCCAAGCGGCAGAACTCGGATTGTTCATTATTTTGGAACGGAAGAACCCAAACGCAGTAGCGAGGAAAAGTCTGGAAAGGAGTGGCGAAAACAACAAACAGCAAAGATGATGTCTTGAAGAAAGAGGCAAAGGGCGACGGTGTGCCATAGGTTTTCTTCGTCTTCTTCTTTTCACGCTTGACATCTTCTTGGATGGGAAGCTCCAGCGAAACCGAGCCGACTATTGATCAACTCATCTACTGTTCCTCCTTCACCGGTGAAAGGGGCCGAGAGGCTTGGGAGGTACCTCGCGACAGGTAGAATCAACAAGGACGAGTTCTTTAAGGCATCAGAATTACAAGCCCCGATTGCTGACATTAAGAGGAGGTACAAGGACACTGCTGCTGAGCACAAGGCGGCTGCCGCTGTGGTCCTGGCTGCTGCGGCCCCGACTCCCTCTCCTCCTCCCGCTGCGGCTCCTGTTCCAGCAGTGGATGGATGGGCCCCGTTTGTGTTGGGAGGTGTTCCTTTGGACGAAATCAGCAATCTTAACTTTGCTGACTTTCTCCTGTCATTGGCGATCGTCCTTTTGAGTCGGACTTTCTCATTGCCGACGTTGCTAGTCTTGAAAGCTATGCTGTGACTTTGGGTTTCTTGGTTGACGCTGAGGAGGAAATGTCTGAATGCAATTAGCTACATTACTTCTGCAACACCCCATGCACTTCCCTATTTAGCTTTGTTTAGTGGGAGCTGCCTTCAACACACTGCTACTAAGGCGGGATTAGTTTTCTCGTCTATCCGGTCAACCAGCTGGCAGTATTTTTCAATGCTTCGACTTCTGGTGGACACTCCCCTATTGACCGGGCCCACCAAACTGAGAACTACCGGTAGAAACACCAGGCCATGAGACAACCCTATCAACACGATGGCAAAGAAACAGAGAAACACCGTCCGAACGACCATGCTTGACCCTAGCGACAATGGAAGAACCCCCAATAGCGTGGAGAGGCCGCCAACCAAGATACTCGCGCCCATGGTGGTGAGAGTTTGTTGCACCTTTTCCAGTCTGGTCGCAGCCGGGCTTTCGTAGTACCTCAAGAGGATGTGCACTGGAACGGTTTGGTGAGATCTTATCCCCAATGCTGGCATGGTTGGTAGGCAACTTCTCGGCGAAGAACTTACTCAAAAAGTCGACTAAGAGACCAACAGAAACAATGATGCTTACAAAAGTCATGGACTCGATGCTCAGGCCCATTAGTTGGATTGTCCCCATCACGTCAACATAGAGCATTATGATCAACGGAACCACAAACATTGGTGCTGACCAATGGGGAATGAGTAATACGCTGATCACTCCCACGGCTATAGTCCCCGAGATTATGGAATTGATGAGCTCTCGTTCGATCGCAGCGTAGAACTCCCACACCTTGTCGATCAAAGGAAAGAAAAGAGAGGTCAGCGAAACGAGCCAAACGACATGCATCCATCCATCCCAGCAAAGATGCATGGAACGAGCAACAGCTCATTACTCACAAAGTAGATGTAGTCAAAGGAGAAGAAAGATATGCCTTTTCGATTTACATTGATGGGTTGGGCTAGTGATCCTGTATTTTGTGTTTTGTAGAATTCAAGTTGGTTCTCAACATCGTTCATGTCAATCTGCCTTATGTACAACCAGCACCTTGAAGCCAAAACTTCACCGGTAGAGTTGTCAATGATGATATCTGGGCCGTAGACTTCATTCAGCGCTGGAATTGAAAGTGCAAAGTCAACCTGTTCTGTGAAGGTCATGTTTTCCAACTTGGTTCTGTACAGATTTTGGAAGGCAGGAAAGTCGGTTACCTTTGGAAATGAAACAATAAGCTGCTTGCGTGAGAAAACAGCAAACCGGCCGTTGCGCCGGCTACTACTCTGGTGAAGTCTTACCCAGCAGAAAGGAGGGTTGCCGCCCACATGAGACAGCTCGCCCAAATCCCCAATATAAGCACGCATTTGATCTTGCACTCTAGGATCAGATTGGTTCACACCGCGAAAATAGACGCCTGTCACATAGTCAACGGTGAAGTACGCAGCAAAGGAGTCGACGAAAGCAGCTACATACGAGTCGTCGGGCTGAGGTTCCGGTGCATCAAACGAACACAAGCAAGTTAGGTACCGTACCGGTGTCCAGGATTCAATACTTGCTTGCAAGAACCAACCTCAACAACGATCCACTCACCACAAAGTCTTGAGTCTTGAATTCCTGCCTCAACAGCGACGTTGAGTGGCAGCATAGAAAAAAATAGCCCAAAAAAGACACAGACACAGCGAGCTGGAACCACCTCCGGGGTAAAAGCTTTCGGGAGTACCATATCATGAGATGATCCGCAAACTGGAGGTTTCCGTTGGTTGTCGCGTCAACTGTCGATGGAGTGAGAGAACGTACTAGTATATTGTCGCCATTGGCGCCAGGCGAAGGATTGCATGTGTCGTCCGGTTCAAAAGGTTGACTTTCCTCTATCATCTTGCAGGTTCCGACCTTTGGATCGTCTTCGATTGTTTTCAGGATGACTTGCCGCTGGAAGTGCCGCTGGAAGCGTTTGGAATCGATTGCTTCCAAGAATTGCAGCGAAGAGGCGTCGTTGTCGCAGTCATCACTTCCATCGTCGCTGTCGTCTTCGTTTGTTTTCTGGATGCCTTGCCGCTGGAAGTGCCGCTGGAAGTGTCGCTGGAATCGTTTGGAATCGATTGCTTCCAAGAATTGCAGCGAAGAGGTGACGTTGTCGCTTTCATCACTTCCATCGTCGCTGTCCAGCTTTATGATACTCTCTGTTGCCTCCGGAGTAGGCAAATCATACGAGGAGTTGCAGTTGTCTTCTCGTGGTACAGCTCTCCAAAAGCAGACGTCTCTACGGTTGGCTTGAATGCGTTTCTCGTCGAGAACGAGTAACGCCACATAGAACGTGATCTGATATAAGAAGTCGATGAAGATAGTGATCGTTGCATACCACCCCAACCATCGAACAGCCCGAATAGTTGAGAGGCTGCTCAAGACAAAGGCACAAATCGTGGTGATGGTCGTCAATGAGATGCTCAATCCAACCTCTCTCATGGTAATCGTTATTCTCTCGTAAACATCAGATGTGATGTTCTCTGTCCTGAAGTAAGCTCCCGTGATTATAAAGGTGTCATCGATGGCAATTCCAAAGATGATGAAGGGCAAAACCAGCAACATGGATGAGACAGGAACACCGGCTATGAACATGATCCCAAACCCCGTCAGGATGGAGAAGACGATGGTAACAACGGCTCCGTATCCGAGCAACCAACGAGACTTGACCTTGTCACGTTTGAAAAAGACCAGCGAGACTAGGTTGCTCATGATCAGAAATACGAAAGGAAACAATGGCAAATCTTCCCTTACCGCCCGTTCTACTTCCATCTCAAGCGACAACTGAGCCAGGAATTCCAGTTGCACAGGATCCTCTGGTAGCCGACTCCATTGCTCGCGCAGCGCATTGAGAGTTTGAATAAGGTCATATTCCAGGTCCTCGACTCCTGGCTTGTAAGGAAGCTCCACGGTGATGGCATAGGATTGGGCATATGTGATGACCTTGGTGTCTGGGTCACGTTCATAGTTGCCCAAGAGAATGTCATGAGCGACCGGAGTCCCTCCATAGGGGAAGGTTGCCTTTGAGATTACATCCATGACATCCTCGTCACTGTGGATTGTCGCGTCATAGTTTGAACTATCGAAATCCCAAAACCGTGCCACAGAATATGACCAACAGGTTGTTTGACCGTAGATAGAAACGTAGTCACCTTGCAAACAAACCTCATTGTAGCCTTGTGTGGTAAAGACAGCATCCATCACTTCTAGCACCTTGCGCGTTGTGTCGACAGTTATGACATTGCCTCCGTTATTGTGAATCAACATACCAATGTGCACATTGTCTGTGTCGGAGAATGTCTTGGAAATCCAATTGTACTGTTCTTCTATTGGAGTTCCAAAGGGGATGAGGAATTCTTCAGGATCATAGACCACAACGAAATTGGTAACCAAGCCAATGGCCATGACCAAAACGGAGAATATGGAAACTCCAATAACCACTTTCCAAGGGCGACGAGCGGCATATTGTGCCAGAGATAGCACAAAAATGATAATGGCACGATGCACAGCGTTTGTGCAACGAGTCCACCAAGGAAAGACTCCAGCATAGGTTTGGCTTTTGAAACTGTCGGCATTGACGATATTGGGGGTTTCTACTGCTTGTGTGCTCGCATCATCATAAGCTTCCAAGGTCGATTCTGGCAAAGGCTGGATGCTATTGTCATCAACGGAGAAGGCGGATTGCTGCTGCTCTTCCTCCTCACAAGCAACCTTTCCTGTTGATAAGGACTGATCTATTGCTGTCGAGGCCAAGAACATGGAAGCACTTGTCTCAATACCAAGAGCTGTCAAGCTGGAGCTATTGGCAGATATAATGGCAGGCTCTTCTTGTGCGTCTCCATCATCATCCTCTGCTTGAAAACTGAACGTGTTCCACTGCTGAAAGGCTATCTCTGACTGCGTATCAACCGAAATGTCCTCTTGGCTGGCCGAAGCAGTGTCCTCGTGGCAGTCTCTATCCTCATCAATACACCTGTCTGAACTATTGGAAGAAACCATAGAGGTGCCCTCTGCTTGCCGTTCTTGTGGCAACATTTCCCCCCGATCCCATGGTTCATTCTCAGCCTCTTCTGTGGAGGCTAGGAATGCGGAGTCTGAAGTTTCAATGCCAAGGGCAGCAACGGCTCTTGCCTCCGTTCTACCCTGCAGCAGCTCATCTTCATCGTCACGACTCTCCACCACCATTGCTTCTTTTCCAGTGCGGACTCCAACCTTCCAAGTTGTTGTTCAGATCGAAGCCATCAACTGCATCAAGAAAATGACAGTTGCAAAGATTTCAAAAATGTGTGTTCCAACAATGAAAAAACCATTTGGGAGATTTAATGGGCCAATTGGGAAAGCCATTTTTGGCGCAAACATTCTGCTCTTTCTCGAAGGGAGAAGCATCTCGCTACATGTACTGAATTCGATTCCGTCGCCTCTGCTATTTGGATACATGTAGCTTCCTGAAGAGAGGGCAGAAGCAAAACAATCCTGACAGCCACATCCGCATATGCCAAGATGCCAAGAGGTGCATTGGATTCGATTCATCTATCGGATCCGGTTGCCCATTAATAAGATCATGTTCATTGGTTGAATCAACTACACATGTAAGATGTTTATCAGCTACTCAGAGCAGGTGCCAATGGTTGTACGGCGACAAAGAAGCGCGGGACAAGTGCACCCATGCTCACAATTCGCTATCCCTAATATACTGCCTATTAGGTGATTTCATAAGTTTTGCCTGCACATAATGGATGGGCGAAAATAAAACAATTGTAAAAGGATCTGAATCTTATTACATGTATTTCCAAGGTCACAGCTAGCTAGCTGCAAGAGAAATGGCATAAGAGCGTAGGACGGTGTCCAACTACAGCCGTGCAAGTAAAAAGATGATTGTGCGGTGGCTTTGAGAGCGGTGACGCGGTGACAGACAGCCGGTCAAACGTGAAGACGTGAAGGAGGGGAGGCGGGAAGAAAACCCCGTAAAAGCAAGTATCAAGGACATCCCAACAGAAAGATACTTAGAGATGATGTCGAAGCAAGGTTATACCGGTACAGATTTTTGGCAAGCTATCAAGCATTTGGTATGTTTCAGCCTTATCAATAAGAAATCATACGATTTTAGATATCTAGTTACTAGCTAGTAGCTTTGCCAAAGAATTAGTAGCACCTACTTCTCTCTTGTTGGCTGGCCAATGAGTTACCCATCTTCCTGTTTGCTTCTGTAGAGATTGCAAGGGTTCCAATTCATCATGCAGGAAGCAATCATTTATTTTTGTCTAATCTCCCACTTTCTTCATTGTTCGACTAGGGTGGTCAGTCTTTTTACAATTACGTTTGTATCCAACGTGATGAGTATGGGTACGATAGCATTCTGTGGCACAGTTTTGAGATTTTAAGTTCTAGCAATTTATCTACTTTCGAATGAACTGATGAGTACGTCTTGGGAGTGATCTCAATTTGACGACATTTGGCTATTAATAACTATGAACAGATCGGAGACACCAACTTGAATGCCATCATCTTAAAAAAAAGCTTATCATTGCCCTATCCTAGCAGCAGTACCGTACCGACGCATTGAAAGAGTGTGGTAATGTAATTGGGAGTGGAATAAATTGACAGAAATGTAAAAACATAAAAACAAATGCTACGGCCTCATCCCCTTGTTGTTCTGCATGGGGCTGTAACATTTATTTGTTTGGCGATTTTGTCACTTTCCTGTGGAGAACAAGCACTCCCCAATTCTCAACACGGTGGAAATGAGGATTTTTCATTTTGAAACTGCACCAATTTCATTCGTGTATACCCATTCTTTCAGTCATTCCCTTTAAGTCATTCAGTCATTGCGTTAAATCTTCCCATTAAGCTGCCAAAAACCTTCACTTGTGGGTATATAGTCCGAATTATCTGTTAATGCTCTACTTTCAAATGGCAACTATAGGTTTAACACTCATCTCAAACAGATAACAGAAAGAAATAATGGCTAGGTCAACTTTGAATTTCTCATTACAGTACCTTTCAATGAGTCGGTACGCAACGCAGAAAGCTATGGATAGTACCAGCCATCAACGAGCGGAGCAGTACTACCGGTATATACCGTAGCTACCGGTACCAGTACCGGTACCATCATATCTGTACGGTACGGGTACAGTAGGCAACTGAGAGGCTATAATCTAAAATGCAAGGTTCATACAATAAATTTGTAAGGAGCGCTGGGGAGACGAATTTTGTATCCTTCCAAGATTTGGGTTGGTGCTAAGATTCTAAAGAGCAGCGCTTCGCCTGTGCGGAACCTGTGACAACAACAGGGAAGAAGAAAAGGGTGTTGATCTTGTTTGCTCTTTGTGGAGGAATCAAGGTAAGCAGGTGTCGATCACAACCACATTGTTGTCATTGTTGTTGAAATAGAGTGTTTTGGGTCTATACTTTGCATCCAGGCTGTTGGAAACGTCGTTTACCGCTTCGAAGCACCCTGACAGCAGGCTTTTTCGCCTTGACATCCAATTCGATTCGAACCTTATGGCTGCTCACGTAGGATCTACGTAGATTCTGGTAGTATCTTTTGGGTGCGTCACATCCAGATAAATCCACATCTATCCCAGGGAGCAATAAACCAGGAGAAGCAACAGCAAACCCAGCAAACTGGGGTGGATGCCTTGATCTGTTTGTTGTCATTCCTCGCATCAACCAAGTGCTCCGTTCCTGTTGGCTCGTCTTTGCTGCCTGTGTTGTCTTGTCTCCACGAGCTTCTGCTACGCGGACGATATTTTCTTCATCCGTTGGGCTTCACCAGTCACCAGTAACTGCCGGCAAGATTCTTTTCCCGGTGGTGTCGGCATTGTGGACACTCACACACACTCTCTTCTACGTTTGGCTTGTGTTCCTTGGCAACAGTACAGTTACTCAAGACGGCAGGCAATCGGGCAGCAAAGCCAACAAGCAGCACACGATCAACGTAATTTTGACACCACAACACCACCATGGCGGAAGAATACGTAGAAGAATCCTACGAGACGGAGGAAATGGTCGCGGCGGCTGCAGCTGTTGCTGAAAGTGAGGGCTACGAATCGGAACCAGCGCGACACACAAAGTTTCTCGACTTGACCAAGGCGGAAGGCGCTATTGCTGCAGGCGCTTCTGTGGGCTTTTATGGGGACGTCGAAGCCACTGGCAACAATACATCGGCAAAGACGGTGGCATCCGCCAGTGGAAGCGCCTCTCAGGACGAAGTCGATGCGCTTGTCGATGCACACCTTCGCCAAACCAACAACAACCCTGCAGCAAGGGGGACTATTCGTGTAGATCCAAACACTCCGGGAAAAGTTGTCGAGGCTGGGCAGGAACATACGGGCCGTTGGACTAAGGAAGAGCATGAGGCATTCTTGAGTGCTCTCCAAATGTATGGAAAAGAATGGAAGAAAGTAGCGGCCAAGGTCAAGACTCGAACTGTCGTACAGACTAGGACACATGCGCAGAAATACTTTCAAAAACTACAGAAAGCCATGGAGTCTGGGGGAGCCAAAGAGGATATTGGAGCCGTCGAAATGGGAACGGCACCCGAAGCCAAAAAGGCATCTTCCACGAAAAAGAAGCGTGGAAACACTCCCTCTATTGCTGCCAAACCTCGGCCACCCAACATTTCCGCCATTTCAAGTCTTACATCGGCGGCGCAAAGCATCCAAACTCCTACCGGGGATTCTCAGGCTAGATTGAACAATGTTGCGGGATTTGGTGCGCCAGCGGCGACAGCAGCGACTGCCGCTGTTGCACCTGCTGCTGTTGCGCCACCTGCAGCAGGAGGAGGATCCGGTATGGGATTATCGACCACTGCCGCGGCAATCTTGAGTAGAACACAGGCTGGGCAAGCACAATTCCCTCGTCATGGATTCTCAACGGGCTCGGACTCGTCGTTCCGTTCACAGTATGCTAGTGGTTACCAGCCACTCAATGATCGAGGCTGGGCGGGCAGCACTTCGATGAAGATTACCGCACCGGATCCAGATGCAAGTATTAAAAGTGGCAGTTTCCCCGAGCCGTCTCCTGCGGCATGTGGAAAACGAAAGCTTGCGGAAATCGCAGCGGCGCGAATGTTGGCTGGTGTCGCCGCTGGTGGTAAGCCACTTCTTCTGTCCGCTGTCGGAAATGAGGCCGATGGAGATGTCACTCCCCCCCCTGGATCTCCTGGTCACGCAGAGGCTCCTGGATTGACCCTTAATGACGTACCGGCGCCACCATTGATTGGAGGTGGAGGAGCGGGGTTGGGTGTCGGCATGAACGCGGCGAGAAAGGCAGCGCAGTCATTGCAAATTGTGAATCCAGAATCTCTGGGTGTGGATTATGACGAGTCTAAGAGGAGACGTGCAAATGGTGATGGGTCTCCTCAAACTCCGTGGGAAGGGCAACTGAAGGCTCTAGTGAGGTATGTCTGATGATTGGAGGATGATTTGGTTTGCTTTTTAAATGGCTGGCGTCCTCGCTCACTTGACCTTGTGGATACTTGACAACAGCATCAAGGACAAGCAGGATAAAATGGAAGAAGATACACCAGAGACCGAAGAAGAGAAGAAGCCGACAATGATACTAGTGCCTGAAGGCGGCATCCACCCTGTGTGCGGCCCAGGATCCTCGTTTGCCAGAGCTCCCCTGCACCGAGCTGTTTGCGAAATGGATTTGGCTGGCTTACAAAGCGAATTGTCAGCAGCTGCGAATGGAAACGTTGGAGTTCTCAGCAATCGTGACGAGTTGGGCTATACACCACTTCATTCGGCATGTGCTCTGGGTTTGATTGGGTTGAATAGGCCTGATGTCCCTTGTGAAATGGTTCGACAGCTCGTTGCGGCAGGTGCAGAACCATCATTGGAAGATGAGAATGGCAATACACCGCTTCATTGGTCGGCACGTGCGGGTGACAAAGACGTGGCAGAATTGTTGCTCAGAAAGAATTGCCCCAAAGGTTCGTATTTGGTTCCCCGCAATTTTGGTAGAGAAAAGCTGCTGTGGAGGTTCTCACAACATGTTCTCTTGTCTTCAGACGCTGCCAACAGACAAGGAGAAACACCGTTGCATTGGGCAATGCGCGCCGGCAGAAAAGGAATGGAAGTCGTTGGTGTTCTGTTGGAAAACGGAGCTCGTGCCTCCAGTCTCAACAAATCCTTCAAACGTCCGGTGGATGTTGCAGCTGATGGCTTTGAGGATGACCCAAATACTAGTGCTCCAAAGAGGCAGCTCGAAAAGCCACTCGAAAAGAAGAAGAGAGTCACGAAAGAGGAAAAGAGGGTTCTGCTCGAAGTCACAGAAGAGAGGAAAGAAGTTCGAGAAAATCTCCTGAAACGATCTGCTCAGTCGAGAACGCTGGTGTTGCATCACCCCGAATGCCTCGAACACACACCAAAATCATCTTCTGATTGGGAAGCTCCGGATCGTATTACAGCCATCATGGGTCGAGTCGCGCCACCAGATGCCGACGTAGCTGGAAAATCAGTGCTAATGCCATATGAAGTGACACTCTCCAGCGAATTTGAAAGAGCAAAACTTGATTTGTTAAGTCGAGTGCACAGCACAGATTATTTGGCATTTGTCAACGATTTGAGCAAAGACTTGGAGAAGAGACAGAAAGAAGAGGAAGAAGCAGCTGGAGACGAAGAGGACGCTTCCAGATCCGGCGCGCTCACTCCTCCTGTCGTACCTTTCACACCCATGGTAAGAGCCTTTGGTCGATTGGATTGCATGCTTTTGCAGGCATCGTGACTGATCGAGGATATGCTCAAATTTTGCGCTGTGGCTCTCCTCCTCAGGTTCAACGCTCCATGATCAAGATCGAAGAATCGCGCGTGAAGCTTGGGGCTCATTCCGATACCTCCTTTAGTGTTGGCTCGTTGAGGGCTGCTCGGCGGGCAGCGGGGGCGGTCCAGCATGCTGTTGATTGGTAAGTTTCATGCCACTCTAATTTCTCCCTTTGGTCAAGAGTAGACCCGACCTGACCTTGCATTACTGTTCCAAAAGTGTTTTGGTGGGAAGAAACAGAAACGCAATGTGCATCGTGAGACCTCCTGGGCATCATGCTGGTGTAAATGGTCTCTTGGACGGTGGGGAGTCATGTGGGTTTTGCATATTCAATAATGTTGCAGCAGGAGCTCTTCACGCAATATCGGACGAACGGCTGCTGTGTGAGCGTTGCGCGATTGTCGACATTGATGTGCACCATGGGAACGGGACAGAAGAAATTGTGAAGAAATGTCACGATCCGGGGAAGCTGTTTTTCTTTTCAATCCACTTGTATGACAATGAGAAGAAAAAGCAGAAGAGCAATGCATTTCAGTACAAATTTTATCCTGGTACGGGAGCGGAAGATGATGTTGCGTTCAACATTATCAACGTCGCCATTACACCGTTGTGGAAAGAGCCAAGTACAGAGAAAGCAGTGAACACGCATAACACACGTCAGAAAACTCGACAAAAAATTACTGCCACTGAATCAAACGACGATTCAGAAATGAGCACACCACGTGATTCCAAGGACAACGGCAGATTCAGCGACGCCGATAGTGAGACTCCAACGTCCGCGGCGAAACCCACTGTAAACACGCCAGCTGTGGCCGCATCATCATCGTCGGCGTCTTCAACAACGTCTGGCACCGCAGGTAGATATGCCTACCGCCAGGCTATTCAAAACCGGCTGCTTCCTGCGCTGCGAGCCTTCAACCCTGATTTGATTCTGATCAGTGCAGGTTTTGATGCTGCTCGTTTGGATGTGGGTAATGCCAGACACGAACGCGGCGGCGAAAGGATGGGGCTTGATTTGGAGCCTGAGGACTATGCGTGGACAACTCGAAAAATCTTGGAGATTGCTGACATTTGCTGCCAAGGTCGTGTAGTCTCGGTGCTCGAGGGTGGGTACGGGAGATCTACGCCGGGTCCTGGACTGGAACTTGACCGATCCAACTTGGCGGAATGCGCAGTGCGGCATCTTCATTCCATGGTAGACCCCTATGATTGTGAGTGTCGCTTCCCGGTCTAGGAGGTGTCTTTTTTGTTGTTGAAAGGCCGGGAAAGCTATTGTAATTTGTTGTCTACCGTTGGCGATTATAATTGTTACCATTGGTTGCTGTTACGGTATGGCTACCTGGTACCATAGCTAGCAATTTAGTTTGTCGTTCGATCGTGCCCCAATGACAAGTCCAAGGTCTTCTCGGAAGTTCCAATGACACAGGTTACACGTGTTGATTCTAATTCGATTATGTTACACTGTGGCGACCCCCAAGAAGTATGCTGCATCGTACCAGTAGTGCCGATCCGACCAAGAAACGGAGACCAGGCAGCTGGCCAGCTAGACATTTGAACTCAAAGCAGCCACTGAAATAATGCATGCTGTTGACGAAAAGATGAAGAAACGTAGTTGTTTAGGCTGCAAATCCGTGGGGGGCGCAAGCGCTTTGAAAACGTTGTTCACTAAAGTTGGAGCTAGCTTGGTCATACATCAGATGTTAGCGTATCAGACGTCGCTAACATCGGCACCGTTCCAGTAAACAAAGAGAAGTTACGGCAGTTCGAGACCGCCGAAGGAAGCATGAAAAGAGACTTCTCCTGGTGCCTTGTAGCTTGATATACTAATTGATCGATTGCAGCTCATGCATGTGGCTCGTCAAGTGATGTTGCCACATCTCTATTCTGAGGATGACTCGTAGATTGTCTTGGACGTTTGCATGCCCTGCAAGTCTTCCGTGGGGCATCCAACTGTGGGATCAATCAAACCTAGGACGCAGCACGGTACTGGTAGAGGATCTGGCATCATCGATCAACGACGATTTGATCCATTCTTCACCCGTTGTTTCCTTTTCCACGCAGCGAATGCCAATAGCCCCAACGACGAGATACCTACCCCACGTTGGCGGCCATTCACCCCGCTCATTCGGGGGATCAACGTGATGACCTGTTTCAGAATGGCAGCCCGCGTCTCGCGTGTTCCATTATTTGCATCGCTCGGAAGTGCAGTCAACAAAGTCAGTGCTCCCATAATGACAGAGGACAGTCCAGCTAACGACGCCATTTCGAGCAAAAAAATTGCAATCTTCCTTGCACGGCTGCTGATGCGAAGCTGAATCGCCAAGGATACTGTTGCAGCCAGACCCACTGCAGCCACAATCTTGGACTCTTGGTTTCCGAATTTGAGCATCTGATGGAGGTGTTCCATAAGAGTTTTCCGGAGTATCGATTGAATTGTTTTGGACAGCAAGACATAGTCTCTAGACACGTTGTTGCTTATTGTTGAGCTCTCCACGATTTCGTTGCTACTCTGCTTTTGTGGGTCGCTTGTGAGTTGCCCCGGCTTGGTAACAATTTGGAATCCTTCTTCTGTTGAAAGATTTTTTGGCTCGCTATCATTCTGATCCTCAGCAGCTGGTTCCTCTGATTTTGGTTCCTCCGAATCCGAGCTGCTATGGTCCTCGGAATCTTTTGTCTCCGTCGTTGTGTCACCATCTAGCCAGCGCAAGAAGGACTTCGGAAACAACTCTTGCTTGAATCCTCCTGGTTCAAAAAGAATTCGGTTTGCTGTTTGTTCATCGACTCCAAGGGAAGCTTGTGTCAGCGTCACTCTTTGAGAAGCAGTTGCTGGGAGACTGTACATCCACATGGCTTGGCCTAGAATCGTCTCGGTGAACAAGCCATACCAGCTGAATGCAGGCTTGAAGAAGAGTATCAATGCGTCATCCCAGACAACACTATCCAGCCATCTCTGAATGATAGCACGACATTGCCGTTCTCCTACACGCCTCGCATCAACTACTAAAAGCGCAAAGCCAAAGAAAAGTAGTCCGAGTTGCGCGAAAGAGAACCACGACAGGGTTCGCAGGAACAAGCAAAGCGCCCAGGAAGAACCAATCGCAATCAGAGCGGGCCCCCGAAGCAAGACAAGGCTGCTGCTAATGTTGATATCGGGCTTGGCTGCGGATTCCATTCTACAAACGTCTTGCTTTCAAGGAGGAGTGAACCATGGTCGTTGCGACCCGCCGTTGTGTTGTGGAAGGGAAGGTGTCGTCGACGCTTCCAAAATTCAGAGACAACGGTAAGGTTAGAGGTGTTCAAGCTTTTAAGCCGGTCAAGTGGGTTAAGCGAAGACAACCAGACCTGACCCTTTCGGGATCATGATGTGGTATTTGCATTGCACTGCCATATCTTCCAGACCAATGGAGACCGTACCGGTACATGTACCATCCCAAGCATTGTCTCTCGCGCTCTTAACTTGTGTCACCATACAATTAATTGGTTCAAACAGAAATGGCCCAATGAATGAATTGCCTTTTATTAAGCAGCATCAGACCTGGATTAACGAGCTACTCTGTATGGTACCGGTGCATGGGAAAAGCGAGCCTGTTACGGCAGCGTGCAGTGGATGAAAGTGAGCCAATTATGAGCACTGGCTTGATCAGAGTTCAACCAATGGCGGGGACCTAGTAGAGTCTATGACAGTACTGATATTTGCAAACTACATGTATTGCAATGAACATTTTGTGTATGCACAGTAGTTTGCAAAAGGTCACAATCATCAATGCCGCCTCCCTGACTGGGGTGCTCTTCCTCTGTGTGAATTGTTTGAATGTGTTAATCTTGTTAGGGAATCCGCATCTTTGTACATCCCTTTCACAATAACATTTCCACAACTCATCTTTCGTAGTCAACTCCAGCATTCCGATCTTCTCCCTCATCAACGTCGTCGTCTCCTTGATAACATTGGAAACCTCCAAAATCTTATCGATGAAAGAATTCGTTTGAGATTGCCATTCCTTAGATTATCAATGATGTAGTTGATTAGAGCAATGGTAGTGCACATCAAATCATGCTCGTGTTGCTGCGCATGAGATGTATTGAGTTCTTGGAAATTACCAACTACTTTGTGGATCCTCCTGCTCATCTTTGAAAGAATGATATGTACAGTATTAGGACCTTCCATTTGCTGGAATCTATGACCCCCAGATCCTGTAGACAGATCGATTTTCTGGTACTTAGAAATCCTCTACGCGCCTCGGGCGTAGACCTGGTACATAATCGCTGACGTGTCTGACACCAGAAAAAAGCAACGGCTGTGGCAAAAAGAACAACAAAATAAAAGAAACAAGCTGACAATGGCAGATAATGGCAACAGTTGCTATGTAGATTGTTAAGACTGACATAGAACACCATGCAGTTGTAACTCTCCACCATGCATGCGCAGCTACCACCAATTGGAAGTAGTAGCATAGATGCCATGGTCAGAGAGAAAGCTCCATTTTTCTTGCCAAATGGGACACACTAGTAAAGGTCCTAGCAATGTTGCATTTGGGCTGTGGCGACACAAACGAAGGCTCATTGTCATTGAGAGCCCATTTGAAACAGGATCACTCAATGACAAACTTACTTCCAGACATGGGTCTGAACACCTTCAGAGGAGGATTCACCATTGACTTCTCTTCATGATTGTCTGGCAAAATCTTGGTCCTCAGCACTTCCAGTTCCCTGAGCTTGTTCTTCTTCATGGTGAATGTCCTCAGAGCAATAATGTCTTCAGTGCCAACACCTCTGTGGATGAACTCTTGCTTGATCTCATCAGAGTGGTAGGCAGCCCTGAGCTTGCCATACCTCTTGAGGCCATCGATGTTGTCAGATCGGTCCACTCCAACATTCCTCTGCCTCTGGGTTTCCTTCTTGTTGATGGCCCCCTTCTTGATGGCTTCTTGCTTGAGGTCCTCCCGTCTCTGCACCCTGAAATTATGCTCTTGCTTCAAGACCTTCTGTCATCCAATCTGCCTTGGTATGTTTCCTTCTGAGTCTTGGCTCAATCCGCATGCTTGTCATTGTGAGCTGTGGCATTGTTCATGAGATGAAGGATCCTGTCAGTACTTGCGAGGTCAGCCAAGGGCTTCAAGTTGTTTGCGTTGTGCACATCAGCAGATCTGATAATGGCAATGGCAGAGCGGAGTTGCTCTGAGCGGTCATTTGGGAGACAAGCTTCGCTTCTTTGACACCTGCCTCAACGAAGTGTGTGTGACAAGCAATGGGAAGGTATGTAGTGAGAAGCCACTGTTTGAATGCATTGTCATTGTTCTCCTCCTTGTTGCGAAAGTCATAACCATCCAGGACCATAGTTGCGGCGTGAGTGCAGCCACAGGGGCAGGTACTGAGCATACTGTTTCTTCTCACAACCAATCATGGAACCGCTGCAAGTCAAAGGTACACCCATGCACAGTAGACTTCCAGATGGCTTGCTGGTGAGTGGCACGGTAAGTCTTCCCAAGAATGACATAAGCCACCACCACTGCCGCTGGTTATTCAGGAGAAGTGCCGCTGGTAGAAGTCGCCTGTTGGCCCATCGTCGGAAGTGATTGGTCAGTGCCTCCTTGGCAATCTTGAAGAAGCGAGAGGCCTTGTTCCTCTGCACCATATGTGTTCCTTGTGGAAGGTTGTCAAAGGAATCACGAAAGGCATCAAAAGCAGGGTAAAATGCAATGCCATTGCGTTCCATGTTTTGCAAGTCATTGTGCATGAGATAGTACCGGCCAATGATGTTGTGCGCTTGGAAGCCAGGAATGCCAGACATATCAACACTGCTCTACAATCAGTCAAAGTGTGGACTGACGAACATGGAGTGGTAGCAATGCATCAGTGTCAAATCAGAGTACAGCTCCGGCTCTAGTAGAAGTGGCTGCAGGCCGGACACAATCTTGTGCTGCTTGGTCTTGGTGTCATGGACGTTGATGACTGTCTGAGTTAGGCGTAGAATCAGTTCGAACACAAGTAGGTAACCCTTGCCGCTTCCCCAACTGTCCACCATCTTGTAAGAACTGGCGCCGGTACTACAGAAAGGAGTAGTCTCTTGAGGTCCTTGTTGTCCAATCCAGAGAACTCACGGAAGGTCTTGGCACGTTCCCACTTCGCGGCAAAGACTTGATCAGTACATGTATCGCCAACATAAGGAGTGGTAGGCTTCCATAAATCTGACCGCCTCTTCCACATGTGTCCGCCACACTTCCTTCTCCATACTGTTCTGTAGATCATAAACACAGTGGATCATTTGCATAGCATTCTTCTTGTCCAATCCACTCTCGCCGAGTACTTCCACAATGGGATTCTTCACGGCCAACTGAAGGTTGTGCAAGCAACAGTTAGCGACAAGATAGTTGGAACAATCCATCAAGAACACCACCTCCACCATTGTCAGTGCAGTGTCCTTGGAACTTAAATCCATCATCGCCAAGTTTCTTCAAAGAACAAGCAATGGCCTTGGCACAAGCATCCGATGTACCTTCTGCTGCATCGATATCCAATAGTCAACGGCGAAGTTGCTTCCATTGTACCAGTGTCAAACCATGACACTACCTTGACAAAGTGTCCGACACCCTTCTTGTTACCTTTGTCACAGGCAAGAAAGACAGTCTTGCCATGAAGAACATTGCCAAGTCCAAGAAGAGTGCGACCGGCATGCTGGAACATGATGTTCCATGGGCAGGCAGTCAGTTCTCGGCCGTCAACAGGTGAGTTGCTTTAATTATTCGAATCGAATCGGCTGCACCTCTATTATCTCTGTTATCCAAACCTCACTCAAGCCGTCCTTCACTGGTGCAGATTCGAAAGTCATCCCTCATTGAATCATATGGACCATGAGATGGCAGTCAGTTCTCGGCCCATGACGGCCAAGTTGGTGCAATTTGAAAAGCACATCTAAGAAGCACGTCTTTTGGTAATCCGGAATCCGCATGGAACTTTTCTTCCTTATCCTTATTGATTGCTTATGGATTGATATTATATTGCTTTCAGCTTCAGACCACACTCTCCTCTTTTGTAAGGTCATATCATGCTGATTGTGGAAGGGCAACCATTCCTATTGAGAAGCACCAAGTTCCCTGACAGTGTGGACCTTTATGGATAGACAACCATGCCTTACAGATTGGGTAGCTAAAGAGCACACGAATCCACAAGCAGCAGCATGGCTGCTAGCCATGGTGTTGGCTGTTTTGGAAGGGGGAGCCTCTCTTTGGATGGTGGAATGGGTGTTCTGGAAGCGCAAAGCCCTCACTAGATGATGTGGTTCCTTGTTCTGTAAGAGGAGAAGCCTCTATTGATACCGGTGTAAGGGCTTCTTGGTGAGGTAATACGCCCTCTTTGGAAGTGACCATGCTGCTGTTCCACAAGGTTGACTTGGATTTATAAGGTGGGGAACCCTGTTTTGTGAAGTGTCATTGGAGAGTACTCTCTTTTCACACTAAAAGATTCAAACAGACTTCACGGAACAGCCTGCAGCCACTCGATCGCTCAACCAACAACAAGAGCAACGTAACACAACAAGAGCAACACAATGGTGGAGGAGGAGCGGCCAATCGCTACTACTACTACTATTACGGGGAAGTCTATTATCAAGTGTGTTATTATTGAAGGCGCAGCACTGACTTCTCTCCCTCATTCAATTCCTATGGTAAACAGGAGGTAAATCCAAGCTTGGCCGACAACAATGGTGAGGAGTGCTTTATCCAATCGGCCGATTGAACGAACGATTCGATTCGAGGTAAGCCTATTATCAAGAGTGTTAATTGAAGGTACAGCGCTGACTTCTCTCCCTCATTGGATTTCTATGGTATTCAGGAGAGCCAAGCTTGGCCGACAACAGGTGAGTTGTTTTAATTATTCGAATCGAATCGGTCGCACCTCTATTATCCAAGCCTCACTCAAGCCGTCCTTCTCTGGTGCAGATGCGAAAGCCATCCCTCATTGCATCCTATGAACCATAGGATGGCAGTCAGTTCTCGGCCCATGACAGCCAAGTTGGTGCAATTTGAAAAGCAAGAGTAAGTCTCCGGTCATCTGCAGTTGAGCACAGAAAACAAAACTCATATCTATTTGTTGTTTTCTCTGCTGTACTGTTGACGGCCGAGGAAATCCCATTGTCGAGTCCTTTTCGAACGTTCGATCGCTCCAGATAACAAGAGGAGAGGCTACCGCTACGGAGGAGGAGGCTCTGTTAACTCCAGCCCTACCAACAGCATGAACGGAGGAGATCGTCGTCGAGTCATTGAAAGGCAACAAGAGAAGGCTATGTGACAACACACAACACCAGAGAGTGGATCCTACTATTGGATCCATCCCTCCAGTGTTATTTCCTAGTGTTTTTGTGGTGATTCCTGTGTTGATGTACCCATTATCAAGTATGCACAAGTCAGTTTCGAGGATTTGGCTAAGTCGACGACGACTTGGTGGTTTCGTACGATAGAAATAGCTAGCTAAGAAGATAATAGAATGCCGATAACCAACCAAATAGACCTTCCCTTTGTTTGATAGACACCTTATTGATCAATAGGATTGCTGGCTCCAGGTTTGTTTTCCTCCTTTGCCCCAATCCACAAGGTTTGCTTGTAGATTGGCAAGGTTGGATACAGATCCATATCGTAGGGTCGACCTTCGACTTTAATCGATAAGGTACCTTATAGATTCGTATCCTACCTTCAGATGCCCTTCTCAGATGCAAGAGTAAGTCGCCGGTTTTCTTGAGCAACCATAGAGAAGAGAATC